CGTCACAATTTGACATTAATTTGTTTAATTTTAATTATGAAAATATTTTTTTTTTTGAAAGGTATTCTAGGAAGTTCTAATTTAGATGAATACCTAACAAAAAATAGGTTTAACAAAAATTACAAAAATTCGGTGTTGATTACATAATCAAATTAAGAAATGTGACGTACGGGACAAGTGTGTGACGTACGGGACAACCCCATATAAAACCAATGCAAGATGTGAAAAAGGAAATGACCAAAAGGAGAATATATATTGTGTTAGGAAACTTGTTGTATACAGGGATATATGAACATTCCAACTGGGTCCCTTCTAGGAATTTACTTGTTTGTACTGAATTTGATGTAATTAGTCTTCAAGCCAGACCCTGGTATTATCAACTTTGATATTTTGCCAGTTGATCTCCCCAACATTGGTAGGATGCTAAATATGTAAATCATAATAGTGTACTAGTTCCTGGAATGAGTCTAATGAAATTATATGGTAGTAGATGCACCAGAAGCTGGCTTTTACAAATCATAGATGCTGCAGGTATTAGAATAGCACATGGTATCAAGCTCTCCATGTGAGTGTTTTTTTAAAATATTCTATTTAAATGTCAGATATGATGGTAAAGGATTACAGCATACCCTGTACATGTTATGGAGCCAGCTCAGGAATTCTGATCTCCTAAAAACTAAATCATGACTTAAGTTTTAAGGAAGGATAGCCTTTTAGAGTATTTCACACTCTCACCCACTTAAGATTTTCATCACTTTTACACCCATGTATTTTTGTTGATTTACGCTTTAAAGATGAAGTTGAGTTCTGGTCATGCGATTGCATTGTGAAAGAAACGGTGTGGAACCGACCAGAACAGGTTGATCATCTAGCATATAAGAATGTGTTTGTATTGCAAGGTTCTGGAATCATCAAAATGATAAGAAATGTGGCCAAGTCTTGGTAAAAATACAAACACTTGCACAGAAAGATGTATATGGAACTACACGAACACGTGGCGTAAAAAGCCGGCCCCCCGATTTTTACGATGTTACATGCATATTTAGAATATGAAGGCATTTGAAGAGCCAAGCTTTTGAGGGAACATGTCTTAACTGATGTTCTTCCACACTTGCATAATAATAATGAGTAATGCTCACAAATTATTTTTCACCTCTTCCCAGAACTCAACCTTCTCTTTAATCATTTGAATTGTGGAAAAGGTCACAAAAACCTTTAGAGTTTTAATTTCTTATATCTGGTGGTGTTAATAAGATGTCTTTAAGGATATGAAAGACATTCCCGATTTATGTTTTTGTATCTCATCTTTCACAATCATGTACATTAATGTACATCAAAATTCTTGAATATGACAGCAACATATACATGTTCTAATCAGTGACAAAAAGATTAAAAAAAACACAATATGTTCAGCATTATCTTTGAATTCCTTCAAAACTCTATGATATTACTATCAAGTAATTCAACCAAGCTATGAAGAAAAGACTTCATATTGGTATTGTATCTTCGTTCACAAACACTTAGAGCATAAGAAATGTTCTTTGACAAAATATGATGTGCCGAGTGTGCCCCTGTGTTCTAAACAAGTTTAAACAAAAGTTTTCAAGTTCAAGTTCATCTTCTTCATTAATCATTATTTAAAAACATTTAGGAATGTTGAATGGAATGGATGAAAGAAATGAGAAAAGAAGCATGACTGCACATGATAGATGGGTAAATGGAATAAAAATGGTACCGGTAATATAGTGTGTATGAATGTAATTCAATTTGTTTTCTTTATTAAAGTAATATTTGTGTTGATTTACCTCATAAATTAACACAGAGGATATTAAGTGAGGGTCAGAGGATCTAATTGGGTTCTAAAACACTCTAATTGTCACTGATTTAAGTTAAAATTGTTCACATTTAACAAATTTTGACGAAAATTCTTCATTTCAATGCATTTTCCCATAGGGAAAAGTTGTCCCGTACGTCACGTGTCCCGTACGTCACATACACACATTTATGTTTTGGTATATTACATAACAACGGAAGGTCAGAAAAATATGGTAATAGTTGTGATTAATGCTTGATTCCATAATGAATTAAGATATCATTACCATAAATCTCATAACTTAATAAATTCAGAGAACTTTTACGATAAACTTATTTTTGAAAAAGTCAGAAATTCTCTGGTCCCGTACGTCACGCAGCACATTAATTACATTAAAAAAAAATTTATGAATTGGTCAGAACCAAAACTTTCCACAAATGAACTAGCCCATAATAGCCACAGACTCATACCAAAAGATAGCCATTTAAATAATTTCATCCATTGCTATTTCTTGTTTAAAGTCTCTGAATGTCCCGTACGTCACAAATCAAATAGCTTGGACCTGCCCATTAATAGATAAACTACAATACCCGAAATCAGGTATCTATATTACTCCTTGCTATGTTGAGCAAGCTTTCAGGTTCTCAAGAACAACCTTTGTTAAAAAAGGATGCATACAATTCATATAGGTACATGTGTAAACCAGTCTTTTAAATGCATGTAGTATGCAACTGTATGCCTATACATGTACATTTGTACACACAAAAGTATGCATCGGTATAGCGCCCCGTGAAATTCCCACACAAGTGAAGTCTATCTTAAATGGATCCGGTAACTTTGTCTCAGATTCTGAAACAAAATCTTGGATTTAGCTTATGCTGCAATGATAATTATAAACCTTTAGGTCAGTCAAGAACCCCATGACTTTAAAAAGCCGATCGCCTGTCTGATTATCAAGATATTTATGATTGAAAATCAAAATCAAATTTTGCGTTTGCCTAATGGTTTTCATAACACTAGCCAACAGTCTATTGGGGAAAACGAGTACCCGGTATGGTAAAACCGGTCACTCAAAGATTTTTCCCTTTTTGAGGTGCTTCTTGATATTTTGAAGCACAATTTTTTTTAGGGCTTCAATATCACACCAATCACAGACACTGATAACAAGTAGGCCCGTGCATCTCAGATTTAACATTGTTAAACGATGGCTTTAAAACATGACTTTAGAGATCAGTCCTCAAGCCTGATTACTACATTCAGACAAGAAAGAGTGGTATTTGGAAGGACACCAGTTGGCAAACTAAGCACAAAGCACAAAGCACAGAGACCAAGGTTCGCAATGGTTCAGTTACTGTCAAAGGATATGAAATCCTAATATGAATTCAACCTCCCTTGCATTGTACAGATGTACATACCGTGAATATCTGGACTAATACTCATCAAGCCATACAAGTTTGCTTCTCTTATGACTAGCTTTCATTTCAGGAATTCATAACTCATCGGAAAGAAAGAAAAATTTGCCATTATCTCTCTTCGGTTTTTGGTAATTTTTGTAAAGCTCTTTGTGAACTGGACACCGATGACCAATGAAACGGAAGGATGACGCTTTACATGAAAATAGAATTTTGATTTGTTTTCTCACAACAGATGGACACACAGCTCATACTGTGCAGCTTTATCAATCCCAGAAAGGGAAGTTAAGGGAATTGCAGCTTTACACCAACATAATTCACAGTTAATTTACTTTTGTAACATACATGTACATCATCATGTACACACTACACAATTTACATTTACATTCATCTACATGTACATGACTATTTCATATTCTGACAACAAAGAGGGGAAAAAAGAGTCAAAAGAGGGCAATATATTGGACATTCAAAATCACAGATCTCATATATCACATTCCTACAAAAAAACTATGAAATATACTTGTCATGTAAAGCAATGTGCTTGTATAGAACGATTCTTTTCAGATACTCAAGGTTGTATGGTTATTGGTCAAGGTTTTTTTAGAATACTGTAGAATTGAAAATTGTCCAAATTTTAGACTACAAATGGGTGAAACTAGAAATTTCATTGTCAAAAGAATTTAGCAATCTCAACATTCAATGCCGGATCAAATGCATTACAACTGAAGAAAAATATCACATTTTAGCGATGTAATCGGCGGTCCCGCTACCCAATCTTAAAAAATCGAGTATCTTACGCATGTTTGTAAGGAATATGGGTACCATAAAATAAGCTGTATTTTTCAGATTTAGAGCACGATTTTGTGTGAGTCGCTAGCTCAAAAGAATCTTATCGCATGTATTAAATCAATGCAGCCGGATACCGCAGCGCACACACAATATCTCTGTCTAATTCAGATTCCAATTACTGATCACCGCAGGGGTAGTTTTCGGCCAGCACATCTCGGGGAGCTCCGGCGTGGGATACCTGCTCCTGCCGCTATAGATCAGCGGGAGTTTTAAACCACCGCTGAAAGATTTTTATCATGGATGTCGATTTTGACCCATAATTTCCTAAAAAGGGACCATTAAACGGATTATTTCATTCAAGTTGTTAAGTGGAACCGAAGTAGTTAAGCCTAGACCTAATCGTCAAAACAAGATGCACCGGATATGGATGTGCATCCTGTAAAATATGGAATTTGGCCGGTAGTTTTGCCAAGTATGGTGTATCGTTTCTTTACACAAAGCGTGAACACTAAAGGGCTGTTCTGTCTCTAAAGAGAGAGCCGAACCTACCCAAATCAGAGGCTAACGAACGAAAGAGACAGAAAAATTCGGTCTAGCTCTAGACAAGCAGATCTCAACTGCTCTGCTCTGGATGGCAATTTTGGAGATTTGTTGGCACATTTATCCTTTAAAATATAAAGAGTCTAGTATCACATTCACAAGTCAAGAGGAATATGAAGAATTTCAAGTCACATTTTACTAGGTGCGTGGACAAGAAGGGAAGAGTGAAGACGAGTTAATGTCTAAATAAAATACCACAAGAACTAAAACACCAGTCCCATTCCTTTCAATGTGTGTTGGAAATCCTTGTTGGTTTGTTAAACGTTCATTCAGATTCACGTTCATTCTCTCGCTCGCACTTCCACTCTCTCAAAATCAAATAATCACAAGATTTCCTCATTCTATAAATCAAAACAGCACTTGATGATGAATTTCCTACTGACCATTACACCAAAAACCAACATGTCAGCTCCATCTGTGATCTTTTAGAATTGAAATTTCACGAAAGAACACCTTTTATAACGTCTCTTGTTTTGTCGTCGACGTCGGGCGACGCTATGCTGAATGATCTGCGGTCTTGCGTACTGTATACTGTACGTGTATAGCGACTCGTACTCGCACATATAGCATCACTAGCGACGGCGATCGCTGGCGTACCGTTGATGCGATAAATTTTCATCTCGGCAAGTAAGGCCTTCATGTGGTATATATCGGATACAAGCTTGTCATTCAATATGTACATTTTCTATGCGCCCTACCAGTCGATAGTGGGATCCGAAATATCTTTTACTCCTTGGGAGTACCGGGTACAGCTGACGTCATCGATGGGCGGTGGTGTGTTTTGTATTGGGTCATAAAACTCATATAGCCTTTTCGGAGAAATTAGCATTTGAGTGGGTGTGGTCATTCGGACCAAGAATATAGAAATATTTTTAGTAAGCCACATTGTCATATTAGGGGAATTTATGAACGAAACTAAAAACAAAAACACTACCGGTATTCATAATTAAATGCTAGTGGTATTTTCTTTCATTAGTCTATATCTATGTTTGCTTCTAGTAATTAGCACATCAAAAATAAATATTTATGATAAAATCACATTGTGATTGGTCTCATTTGTTTGCATAATTGACATATGTATTAGAATTGAAAAAGTAAAAAAAAAACAAAAAAAACCAAGAAATTACATGAAAACAGAAGAAAAAGAAAAGAGAAAGCCTAAAGAAGAAGAAGAAGCAAAATTGGAAGGAGAAGAAGAAGAAAAAGAACAATTTGTGACTAACGGTAGGCTTTAACCCTATTTCTACAGCATCCCCAGCCACACATGCACTGGTTACTGGAACGTCCGTGTTCTATGGCTGGGGGTGCTGTAGAAATAGAGAGAGAGAGAGAGAGAGATAGAAAGCAGAGAGATAGTGAGAGAGAGAGAAAGAGAGAAGGGAATACAAGATAAGAGAAGAGAGAAATAAGAGAGAGAGAGAGAGAGAGAGAGAGAGAGAGAGAGTAAGAGGAGAGATGATTAAAGAAGAGAGAATACAAGAGAAGAGAATAGAGATAGAGGAAAGAGAGAGAGAGAGAGAGAGAGAGAGAGAATTCAAGAGAAAGAAGAGACAGAAAAGAGAGAGTTGTAGAGAAAATTAAAGCTTTCTGCTCCTTTTCTCTACAAGAAAGTACCCTTTGAAAAGTACCCAGTTTTACAGTAACAAGTACCCATTTAAACAAACATAACAGTGCAAAAAATAATTGCTAAAAGTGGCGTCTTCCTCCCTTGGGATAATATTCTTTATTAACCAGATTTCTCTCTTGTTGGCTATGTACCACTTCTCATTCTTTCCCAAGTTCACATATAAATAGAAACTATTGTAAAGTATGAACATGTATGATCGTACTAGAGGCAATCATTAAGATGGATTAAAAATCGTCCTCTTAGGCCTCCATCTATCAGATCCATTAATAAAGGACATTCTCTCCAGAACACTTCTAATCCATTTCCCCATCTTCGTTGACAATATGTCACAATTGTCCACAAGAGGGCAGTATGCTATTTCAATTCAATGGCTTAGAAAGTCATGCTGAGCATGACATAAATGGTGTCTTTTGAAAGATTGTGTACCCTGCCTTAAATGATTGTTAATAGGTTTTTATCTTTTCCCCTCCTTCCAACCTCTAATATTTTTACAGAGAAACAAAAACTACAAACAAACTAACAAGTATTTAGTGATTTTCTTTCCTGGCAAAGAACATTTCTCCGAGTACCCATAGAAGTTTAGTGTCATTTTTTGATAAGGTTTCATTTTTATCTTTTGATCCTGAATGCTCTGAATTACAAATTGTATATGAACAAAAAGTCCTTTTTTGTTACAAAACATTGTGTATTCACGAATAAGAGCAATATAATAGATTTTGTTTAAATAATCATTGAAGTCTCTAAATCAGCAAGGCAGAATGAAATATGTATAAATCAGGGGCGATAGTGAAGAATTTAAAAACAAACAGGTTTTAGTGAGAGTAAAACAAAAAAGGGTTATAGAAATCTGAGCAAAGCAAGGTGCAGTGCTTGTGCAAGGCGTTCAAGCAAGTCATGAAAAAACGGTACTTCACCCCCCCCCCCCCCCCCCCCCCCCCCCCCCCCCCCCCCCCCCCCCTTATTTCAAACCGGATCTACATCCATCTGAGGGACTACCCATTTTCGGAGAGAAAAAGTCATAACAAAAAAGAAGAAAAAGAAGAATGGGAAGAATGAGGAAGTTCTTTTGGAACAATTTGTGACTAGGCTTTAAGAGAGGGAGAGGGAGAGAGAGGGAGGGAGGGAGAGAGAGAGAGAGAGAGAGAGAGTTGAAGAGAAAATACAAGAGTAGAGAGAGAGAGAGAGGAAAAATATTAGGGAAAAATATTAGTTGAGAAACAGATTTAAATCAGACCTGGTTTAAATTGGCAATTTCTTATATTTATTATTTTCGTATTCACGTATTCAATATAAATTATTCAAACTATAAAAGAGTGGAAACTACAAACAATTGTTGTCAATCTGAGTAGGAAAATCTGATTCATTTTATTTTAGACTTAAAAAAACCCTGAATTTTATTTGTTTAAATATTCTCCTCTAAATCAGCACCTTCATTTCTAAAACTTTAATCAAATATTATCAAAATAAGCACAACAAATAAAAAATATTTCTAACATAGTTTCACTTTAATATCCTTTTAATTTTTTGTTCAGGTTGTACATCAATGAAATAAATAATAAACATAATGATCTGGCAAGAATTTCTTTGGTCTCAATCAAGGTGTGTCAGCTGTCAACTATTCATACATTGCATTGCTAGAATATAAATATATAATTATAAATATATCATCTCCACATAATTCAGACAGGCTTTGATTGCTCATCCCCTACAGTATTCAAACTGAGCATAAAATAAATCCAATATAACATTATCCGTATAGTTCATGTTGACAATAATGGTGCTGTGATCTCATTTAATACTAATCTGATTGTTAGAGAATGATATAGGTCTGTTTAAAATCAAACTCCGATGATCTACATGATGTGTTAACATTAATGTTGAGACAGATACATCAGTCAATAATCATGTACTCAACTATAATTACAAAATCACACTTGTGTTACCAAAATAACAAAAATACGTGCTTTCAGTTATCACACCCTGGTGGGAAGTTGGTAATATCAATTGCAAGTTTGATCTATAAAATCTCCTTTCTTCATGATTTATGTGTTGTTATTATTATTGCAGTTAAGTCTAATCCTGATTCCAAACACCCCTCAGTTAGTCCTCTGATGTGGCTTGGTCATTATCTGTTGAAAAAAAAAAAATATTCATAGTAATAATAATAATATGGTTATTTATATAGCGCCGGTATCCGTCAGGCTCTGACGCTCATGGCGCTATATACATATTACCCTGGTCGTAGCCTAGTTGCCAAAGTAAATAGCGCTCAAGCATATCAGATACCCATTTACATCTAGATGGAGAGTGGCAAATGTAGATTAGCGGCTTGCCAAAGGACATTAGTGCTGCGGCGGGACTTGAACCCCGTATCTTGTGATCTGCAGTCGGGTGACTTATCCACTAGTCCACAACACTATTCATATTTGTCCTTTGAGTATTAAAGATATTAATCTACATTGCCTATCTAGCTCAAGTGAAGTAAATGGGTACCTGGTAGAATATTATTCCTTGAATGCTTGAGTATTACGAGGCAGCTTTGCTAAAGCCAATGTAATACTAGTACTGTGTAGGTACCTTGAGCACTCGCTCCCTGTGATGGATGCAGTCAAAATATAAATGTAGCTATTACTATTATAATCATTTGATTTGAAATTTTGATTGACATCTAACTGACGATTTCAATCCTTCATATTTGCAAACATTTCTTTAGCAGCGATGTGTGTGGTCTTCAAATCCCATTTATTGAAGAAAATTGTTAGAAATGATACACGGGGGCTGTACATTATTAGGCAGTGTAGTCGGGACCTGGGACTGTAATTTACTTGTTACTCATTATTTTGTTCAAACTTCTTTCTATTTATTTCTTCTTTCTTCCTTTGTTTTTCGATGTTTTCCCCGTAAGATATCACAACAATGGCTCTTGTTACCAAGTTGACAAGGGTAATGTTCTTTAACGCCCTACTACACTGCTGTTCTTCAATCAAACATAGAAGTCTTTAAAAATAAAGTATTTAAACATCAACAGCAGACAAACTTATGTGATAAGGCATTCCTGCTAACACTAATTCTCACAACACAAGTAACTACCCCACACTAGATGGAACTTTGACTGCGCGCAGTCGAAAAATGATGCCTCCGTGATAGAGCAATTTTACAAACCAAAACAGAAGAAATTTTTCAAATTCAAGTTCGATTGTAATCCATTAACAGGTTCTCAGAATATCGTGATTACAAGCAATTTCTCATATACATATATGACCCATGACCCTAAAATCAACTCAATTCATTGGCTCTGCAAGATGTCCTGAGTTAAATAGTAAATAGTAATCCATCTGTCAGTTCTAATGAGAATTCGTTCACAAGCTATTTTTGCATACATAATGAGCCCATGGCCTTTGACCTTTGACCTCATGACCCAAGAATCTACTCAGTTCATTGGCTCTGCAAGATACATACATGATCTAAGTTTGGCAGGAATCCATCAATCTGTTCTAATGATAATGCGATCACAAGCTATTTTTGCATACATAATGAGCCACATGACCTTTGACCTTGACCTCATGACCCCAAAATTTAATCAGTTCATCGGCTCTGCAAGTAACATACATGACCTAAGTTTGGCAGGAATCCATCAATCGGTTCTTTAGATAACGCGATCACGAGCTGTTTTTGCATACATAATGAGCCATGTGACCTTTGACCTCGTGACCCCAAAATCTAATCAGTTCATCGGCTCTGAAAGATACATACATGACCAAAGTTTGGCAGGAATCCATCAATCGGTTCTTTAGATAACGCGATCACGAGGTGTTTTTGCATACATAATGAGCCCTGTGACCTTTGACCTTTGACCTCATGACCCCCAAATCTACTCAGTTCATTGCCTCGGCAAGATACATACATGACCAAAGTTTAGCAGGAATCCATCAATCGGTTCTTCAGATAACGCGATCACGAGAACGGGACGTACGTACGGACTTTCGGACGGACAACCCGAAAACATAATGCCTCCGGCTACTTCGTAACGGAGGCATAAAAACCTGACACATGTACAACAGTTTCCACCTTGTTATAGCAGCACCACAGTTTAAATTAAAATGTTGCAAAAAGTCAAATGAATGAGACGCAAAACCTACCAAGCATTTTCTGGTCAGCATCTACGGCGGTGTCTTCAGCTGGTTTCTTCACTCCTGAGGTAGGTCGTGACCTTTGTCTAGAGGGTAAAGGTTGACTAGGAGGTCGTGGGGTCAGCGATCCCTTGATTTTGGGCATAGGGGCACCAGGCTTCTGATCTTGAACAGAATCATCTGAATTAAAAGTAAGGAGAAATTTTCAATACAAGTGCTTACAATTTTCTAAAGTTTCACATTAGTCGACTGAGATTTGATTCACTGGTAGTTTTACCAGTATAATAATTCCTTATTAAAACTAAATCATCATATTCCTCATAGTGCTCAAAAATAGTCAAACAGCTTAAAAATCACTAACACAAAGGTAACCAATGTCTCAACTCTCCATGAGCAATGGCTGTATTTTCTCTTAAATCATTACGTGCCATGGAAACGATCTCCCTCTACTACACTCTGTTTCTTGTGGGCTACCTATCAAAAGGTTTTAATACTATTACAATGTATCCAGTGTAAAGCTTATCAATACAGGAGGTTGTTTCACAAAGACTAAGATCGACTTTAAGCTGGACTTAACTATGGCAGGCCATTAATGCCACAATTTTCTCTCGCCATTTACTGGTATTGGTCTCTCAAGGGACGAACAAATCTTGGTCACAAATTGGAAAAAATATTATCTAAAGATCATAATTGAGAGACCAATAGTGAGAGCAACCAGTGGCATGAATGGCCTGCCATAATTAAGTCCAACTTAAAGTCAATCTTAGTCTTTGACTTTGTGAAACACCCCCATGTGTTTAGAGAGTTATCATATAGCTAATCAAGACTGGAACCAGGTAATTTTTGTAAAGCTTTTGTGCCACCTAGAACAATCCTTCTATAGCTTGGTGCCTATCTTATTGTTTGTTTCTGCCAATCTGCATGTGTAGCATACAAGCCTCTGTACTAATTGCCACTGCTGGAAAATGAAGGTTAATTGCTAGATAATTTTCATGTCACACATACAAGGTAGAACAAGAAGTTTATAGCCTGCCCTTTTTACCTTGCTTTGGTTGCGTCCCACTTGATATCTTCTTGCCTACTTGCTCCTTGCTAGACTTTCTACTGGAGACGCTTTCTGTAGACAGACGCTCCATCCGGTTTTCTTTCTCGAGGGAGGCCCGACGTGGCAACAGCCTTTCGTTGGAGCTAGGATGATTGATAGGCAACGATGAGCTTCCCTTCGCTGTATCAAGGGTGGGATTAGACATGACTGGTAGTAAAAGGAATCAATGAGAAAGTAACTCCCTAGATAATACAGTAGAACCTGAGTAAAGGCTAGTTCAGATATGAGGTGGCAAAACCGCTACAATCTCTTATGACATAAAGTGCAATACACTTCACATTTCTGAAATATTTGTAATGAGCAGTTGCCATTCATTTACTATTTCACAGTGTCAACCCTTACCCTAACCTAGCGACCAACCAATAGAACTGACCCTAGATCTTAACCTAAACAAAACCTGAAACAAAACCCTAAACCTATATCTGGAGTGAATGAAGCTGCATCATATATTCATACATGCCAACATTTGAAAATCAGAAATCTGTACAAATTATGCTATTTAAAAAAAAAAGAGGAACAATCCTAACTCTCCTATTCAATACTACAGACAAATTTGTACAGGAAGAGGAACACCTGCATTAAAATGAGAATTATCTTCTCCCAAAAAGAGGAATGTTCCTCTTTAATCTGAACAGTTGGCATGTATGAATATTGGGGGGGGGGGGGGGCATAAACACAACATTGTTGTGTGTGAGAACTTTAACATCACACTTACAACCCCAACAAAATTATTTCAAAATACATATGATTTGATCCTATCTATTCCATGCAAAACATGAATGAAAAGTTATGAGGAAATTAAGACACAAGTTTAACATCTGCATGAAATACATGGAGAAGAGGTCCCAACCTTGTGCTTCGGATGGTGATCTGACCCCCCGATGACCTGACTGAGCCGACCCTGATGGCTTGACTCCAGAGGGCGGTCTAGGCATCACCGTGCTGTCCCGGCTCCCATGCTTACTGCGGGACCCTCGGGAACCTAGCTCCGTTGCGCTGATGAGACTAGCTTGGTGACGACTAAAGGAGCTAGACCTTGAGGGCTTGTTGGGCAGGATCTGGCAGCCACTGATTGAGAGTCCTGCAGAGCTTCCATACGCACTCTTAATCTGTGGAACAAGGATTAAACTCTTTACAATATGATTCATCAAGTGATGCTGAAATGTCAAAATACTTGTGCAAAAATGACATATGGATTATTGAAACATCTTTCCAAAAGATATTCCAAGATTATGTTTGAAATTTTCAACAATGTTTCACATTAAATTCCTGATAGTATGTAAGTATACACAATAGAGGTACTCTCTAAGGTACTTTACACAAAATCATGTTTTCTCATCTTCAAATTAGGCCAGCAAACTGGTAAGTTATTCAAAATTTTCTTCAAGAATCCTTTAAAGCCTTCCAGAAACTTCTAACACATAATAGTTGATATTGTGTGAATAAGTACTGTATATAGTGGTGTAGAGTACTATTCAAAATAGATCATCATCAGTTTGTGGTCACAAATCTAACTATTGTACTTAGCTCGAGGCATGCACTATGATATAAAGCTAAGACCTACAGCTAACAACTAAATTATTCATACCCCTTATGAATTTGATATGTATTTGTCTTTTTAACATAAGGGGACTGGTTGAATTAGGCCCTTTGTTGAATTCTTCTTGATGTAAGCTTGAATATGTCACATCTTCCAGAAACCTTAATCCGGACAAATCATTTTTTCACAAACATAAACATAACAAATTACAAAACTTGGTAAGGGAATGAATAATTAATTTGTTAACTGTATATCTGTCTAACCTTGCTGGCAGATTGGCTTGACATGGAAGCTATCTTCAGAGTAGACCCTGTCCACTTGTGGTGTGAAAGCCCCACCCTGCTGCCCCGCCTAGATGACGATGATGGTGACCTCTGACTGACTGACCCTAACGAACTACGCCTTTCTTTCTCTGAAGTCAAAATCACTGACTTTGCCATCTTGGATCCAATGGGTGTCAGCGCACGTCCAGTGATGGTCATCGACTGTGCCCCAGAGAGGCTGGGATTGGACAGGGACTTCGCTTTTGGGGGTACCGGTGGTTGACTACCTTGAGATGCTCGACTCCCTGACTGAGTAGGACCAGCTTGTGCTTGGCTCAAAGCAGATGCACGCTCACTGGGCATTTGAGGGGACTGCAGCTGGCCGGTGTGGATGGAAGGCAGAAGATGGGGCGACTGGCTACCACTGTCTGTGTTTGCATTGTTGCTGTCATTCTTGATTTGCAGGTGATCTTCAGACGGAGTCTCTGGGTTCATTGGACCATTATCATCAGGAAGTTTGGCTGTATTGAAGAAGATAAAAGAAAATCATGGATAGCAGCTGGACTGACTTAATTAGCCTAAAAATAGACCCATAGCAACAGTGGTCTCTCCCTCTAGAGGTGATTCTGGTGTAGAAATTAGTGTGTTGGGATGAAAAAAAATGATATCATACAAATAAATAGTGACCTTGTATGATTAATGAGAGGTTTTCAATGAATACATGTTGATGTGACAGAGGAATGCAAGAGAATTGTAACTTTTAAGCAATTAAGCTGAACACAAAGGCAAAGGTGACTTCAACACAAACTTTGAAGTAGCTGAGGCCTAGGACTTGGATTCTTGACATGAAATTTGCTATTGAACTACAGTATTATGACTTAGAAGTATAAAACATAGATGTGATGTGATCTTAAGCCCTTTTAAGCAGATTATGTAGATAGGTCAAATGCTAGGCAAAAATAACTCCAACTGACATTGCCTTTTGTGTAGGTGGCTTGGCTAAATGTAGAGGCACGAAAAGACACATTCGGAATTGTACAGAGTTTCGTTTCCATATTTCTTCATTTCTATGTAGCTTTCTTCCTGAATAATAATGATTAATAATAGTTTGTCCTTATGTAGTGCATTTCAGGACCGCATGCCCTCTCAATGCGCTTTACAGATATATATTGAGAACATGAGAATGAGAACATTTAATATTCAAATTAACATTGTCTATCGTTTCTCATCTTTATAAGTAACTCACGGACATATCCTGCCTCTCCAGTTGCCTCGACATCAGAACTAGGTTCCTGGACCTCTATCCTCACAGGGACATCCCCTTCTGTATCATCCCCCTCGAAGATGAGCTCCTCCTCCTCCTCGTCCTCGTTGTCATCCTCCTCATCATTGAGAATTGAAGGGATAGGTGTCTGAGGTCGGTGTGAGGCATAGATGCTCTCCCTTCGCGTAGGAGGATCTATGGTCTTTGAGGTGAAGTGGACACTAGCGCCATGATGGAGGCTGGCACCCTGCTGGAGGCTGGCACCCTGCTGGAGGCTGGCACCCTGCTGGAGACCACTTGAGCTAAGATTGCTCTTCTCACCTAATAATGATAAGGGAAATAATATCGATAACAATATTAATGATGATAACGATGACAATACTAATAAGAATAACATTAGTAGCAAGAAGAAATACTAGTCTAAATTAATTAATTTTGTATTAAGTACTAACTAAATATTATTATCATCATTATAATTATCATCATTGTTAACATCATACATCTATTATAAGTGGGTATGACACATACAGCCACTTGCATTGAAGTACAGGAGATTCTGCCCAAACTACGACTATTTTATTTCCTGCTCACAAAAAAAAATGTTGGTAACAGTTTGATATATTTGGTATTTGGGTTTTATGAGTACATGACTTACCGCTAGCTGTTCCATCCTGTGCGTGTGCCCCCTCTGAAAATGGCCCGCCTGTCAACCTCTCCACGCTCTTCTTTGAGGACTGCCGACTAGCCGGTTCTGACGAGCTTTCATGAGATGGGATGCTAGCGCTTGAGTTCTTGTGTGTTCCTGAAAACACATGACTGATACGTGAGAACAGGCCGCTGATCCCACTCGACGATTTCACCTTCTTGGATTTCTGGCTTCCATGTTTGCGAGAACCGGTGTCCTCCCCCGAGCTGCTGCCCTCATCGCTACCAGCAAGGTTTTGTGAGGCGTCGACGGATTGTGCAGATACCTCACGTTTGGTGCTTCTTCTCTCAGCAGATAGCGCCCTCTGCTTTGCTTCTTCCGCTGACTTGGATGATGGGATAATCCCTGTCTTCTGTTCGGTAGGTGCGTGATCTGAGATGGTTGGCCTTGCACTCTCTTCAGTTGCTGCTGATGGCGCATCATCTTCACCAACCGTCCCATCAGCATTCAGCAAAGTATCTTCAGGGTCTCCATTTGACAAGGTGCGACCTACCTCACACGTTTTTGATTGAAGAACATCTGTAATGTCATACAGAAGATTTTTTACATGTTTCTTGCTTTAAAACAAATATCTTCATCTCCATTAAAAAGAAAATCTTATTATGCAACCAGTAAGTGAAAACCTACTACATCATCATGGCAGGAGAGAAAAGTAGAGTCTGGTTTCTTCTCTCACTAAGCATCTCCCTCAATCTTAGTTCAATGAGAAAGTTGTGTGATTGAGTGTACAGACACGTATGCATGAATTATGATTTGTCGTTTCTGGAGACCAACCTTTAGAATCATCGTTCCAAGGATGTGTGACTCAACTATGAACTGGGTCCAATTTGAGTTGATTGATAAGTAGAGATGGACAGTTGTACCGCTAGACTGATTCCCTATATCCCATATCCCTACGAGCCGGAGCACCAGTAGTTGGTAGAGTACTTCTAATGAAAGCATATATGATTTTATAAGAGACAGGAAGAAGAAGAAGAAGAAGAAGGAGAAGGAGAAGGAGAAGGAGAAGGAGAAGGAGAAGGAGAAGGAGAAGGAGAAGGAGAAGGAGAAGGAGAAGGAGAAGGAGGAGAAGGAGAAGAAGAAGAAGAAGAAGAAGAAGAAGAAGAAGAAGAAGAAGAAGAAGAAGAAGAAGAGGAAGAAGAAGAAGACCTATTGAGGAAACTGACCTTCATCTCCCGGAGGTGTTTCACTAGATGTTATCTCAGCCTGGTCTTGGGCAGTGTCAGGGGGAGCCTCGGCTACAGCAGGTTTGGGTTTCTTCTTAACAGGAAGGTAACACAGTCCCTCTGTTTCCTCCATGGTCACTAGAGCTTCATCAGAATGCTTCTCCATGATGTCCTGCAAGAAGATTGACAGTTTACTTTTAAATTCATTTGGATTCAAATTTGGATTTGAAGTTTTCAAGAGAAAATTTGCAAAACAGTTTCGAAATCAAAAAAGTTTCAAACATAATAGCTTAATTTAAAGTGTTTTAATATATCTATTATAATCACATATTATTAGTCTCAGGGTTTGAAACTTGCTTCAGCTGCATCTGTATATAGCAATGCCGCAGTTGATATTTTTGATGGGTTATTCCTATAATTCACCATGTGAAATTTACTACAAACACTGGGGTCGCTAAATGGCGATGTGTATTGTAAATCCAGTGTGTTGTGGTTTCAAATGCCTTACCTGCTCCTCTTGTTCCAGAACCTCACACACTACGTCCATCCCCGGGAGACTGGCCGTCTGACGACTCCTGATATCCCTGACCAACGTATCCCTCAGCATCCTGGCAGAACCCTGACAGTACGTCATGTCCGGACGGAAGATGTTCCTGAAAGAATTCCTTGCAGCACACTTGCCCTTGCTGGGGACCTTGCCATCAGTCTCTGGCTTCATAGAGATGGCAGAGAGGTGGGATTCAACCAGGTGTCCTCCTATGTTGATCAGGTTCTTCTGGTAGATGGGGACGATGAAGGAGTGGTCTTCAGGGATCTCTTCACCTTCATCTTCAGAGCAGCTGCTGCTGCTGCTGGAAGCCGTTGCCTTCTCCCTCGTCAGGCCACTGCGTGAGCTGGATGCCTGGTTTCAAAGCAGGATAATCATAGTAAAGGCCCACTGCACTACTTATAGCTACTTCCACCCTCTATATAACAAACAATGCATAATCGGTGACCATTGGTCCCCCATGATCCTCTATTCCTTATAAATGTTAAATGAGAGCTGAGTTGATGAGATAACCACCTGTCCAGTGACCTTGCAGGGTAGTATAATCCCTCCTGTACACTAGTACAGATGAGCTATAAACCACACTCAAGGACAATACATGCACGAAGAGGGCTGACATTTGCTCCATCAAGATTAGCTCAAGGCTGTATTTTCATTTCATCAAAAATATAGATAGATTAGGGTTAGCTATTGGATTTTTAACTATAGGTTAGAAATCAAGGGATAGGGTTACGCATAATTTTGGCAACAAAGAACGAAGCTGAACTTACATATAGGGATACGACTGGTATACAAAACTGAATGCAGAGCGATTATAATCAGAGGTTGTGTTATACAACCTGCATAGCCTACATTGAATTGCTGCCAGTCCAATAATGCATGGAATACGGTACAACTGGTCAGCATTCTCAGAGCTACTGACCAACTATTATTTTCTTGCAGTATTTGGTTGGAGAGGGGACTGGGGGGCATTTCACAAAACTTGTGATCAGTGACATATAACAGTTTTTGTTATAAGCTACTGAAATCCTTGCTTCTGATTGGTTATCAGCAGATTTGTCAATGATTTTTGTCACTTGTCATTGAAAAAAGGCTTTGTGAAACGGGTCCCCGGTGTGAGCAATGGACTTACCCCAGACAAGCTACCTGAAGCTCTCTCTAAAGTGATGTCAGACAGAATTCTCTCGGTGATTGTCTGAGTATCATGCTCAGCAGTCAGAACAGCGCCCTCCACGATAAGATGTCCATCATCTGCCTTGTGCATGACTACGTGCAATCCCTCGTCGACGTCCGTATCGCCCGATGGCCCTCCGGCATGCAGGAGCTCGTCCATGAGGATAGGGTTCTCCACGATGCCAATGACGGCGTCATCCTCCTCTTCTGCTTCGCTCTCGCTCTCACTGGAGTCTTGGGTGTGTGTTATGGATGGGGTACCTTCAGCGGGCTCCTAGTCATAGTCATTCAGGAATAAGATTAAAGATGATGATAATAATGATAGTAAAGATTATGATAATAATAATGATGATAATGATGATAATGATAATGATGATGATAATAATGATAATGATGATGATAATGACAACAGCAACAACAACACTAGTGATGATAACCATACCAAATGTGTGTACGAAGAATATATCATCTTATATGGGTTTCCAAGTTGCTCGAATTTTAAGGTCATAGCAAGGACAGGCCCATGCAGTGAAACTAATACATTTAAAGATGACATGTTCCTATAGAATACTAATGCTCAAAATATGTCTACATAAACTTGAAAATCCACATCTCCCTCGAGCTTGTTCAAGATATGACGCGATAAACTGCTGCACATTTTGTTACGTGTTAAAGGTAATACGAAGTTGTGAGAAATTTTGAAAATTGGGTGAATAGTGATCCTTTACAATTTCGACATATTTGGATGCCCCTGTGGATGTATTATAAGCACTAGAAAATTTAGCCCTTAAAACACTTCTGCTTTCGAGGAAAATTGGATATAAAAATTTACTGGTGCTCCCGGTAAATTTTGATGAATTTCAAATAGCGTCACAGGCCATACGATGGTACATGTAGCTGCGACCATGAAAATCTCAGAATATGTAAGTGTGATATATAATCTCCAAACAGGAATAGCTAATCGGTCAATTTTAGTCAAGAAACATTGTTTTTTATAGCTCATTTAATATCTTGACCTTGAGAGGGAGCTATACAACATAAAAGTTTATTATCTACAATTTCATAACTTTAGACTCGATTTCAACCGCGACAACCATCACTGAATATTGTAGGATCGCATATGCTTCCAATATGTTCATTTGAACCAAATTCATGACCCCATACCAAAACTTTGTATTACCTTTAATTGAATGGCATCCTCGCGCAACTAAGGAATTGCGTGTATTGACTGAGCTCTGTGTTATATGATCCAGAAACGTGAAGAATCTTACAACACAGAACCCAGTCATTATATGCCAGTGCATTGTTGGGTGCAGTTGCTATCCATTCATTCCAAACTGCCACGGTTTCATCGCATCATATCGCAAAAAGCCTTGACAAGTTAAAATTCTTGAGCATACCTGGAAAATCTCTATGATTGAAGAGAGATCAACAGCTTCTTCCGTCCCTTCACCTAGCCTGTCATCCAACTCATATGACCTTTGACCTGGCTCGTCAGCTTCCTCTGAAGGCTGGAGATGGGGATCCAAATACAAGTGGATTTAATTGAATGTTTTACCTGACGAGTGTCTAACAAACTTTCTCCAAAGATTTATGATGATATATTTTTCTTTGAATTGTTCCATTCATATTTACAATACTAGAAATGCTCAAAATATCCACCTCCCTTTACACCGCATATCAACAACTCAGAATTCAATTTTTTACAATGGACCAATGATTTGGAAAGATCTCGCAACTAATCTCAAGAATAGTAAGACAGTAAAACAGTTCAAACGTTTAGTTAAACAACACCTCCTAAACTCATAAATGATGAATATTTTGTTATGTTTCCAACCTTTTCTTCCTTATCTATTTTTAATTTTTATTTTCATGTCTTTGTTATGTATTTTCTTACAATGTATAATATGTTATGTGTATACTTGTTAAGGGGTCATTTTTAATGAGCCAATAGCTGCTTTTCATGATCCCGCCACTTATTATCCATATGTATTTGTTATTGATTTGTAAATTTGTTTAAAAGTGGAAATACATTGAATTGAAATTGAATAACATTGACTGGATTCAGCTAAAGTCTGGCTCAATTTGAATCAAATAAAGTTCTGCATCAAATTAATATCAACTTCCCTTGAATGAATTTGATCAGAACATACCAACCAAGAGATTTAATCTTTGGATGGCTGAAGGAAGTGATTTCACAATTTACCTTGTTTTCCATCAATTCTGGATGACTGGATTGGAGGAGACTCTCAAGAGAGGTCTTAATAACTTTAGAGACAATAGACCGAGCATTCTTCTCGATTGGGGTAACCTAAAATAAAGAAACATGCATAAAACACATTTATTACCTGGGCCTTGTTGTACAAAACTTATCATTGATGGGAACTTTGCCATCAATGGTAACTACCATCATGATGGAAACCTTGATTTTGATTGGTTGTTGAGCCACATTACCATGGTAGTTGCCATTGATGGCAAAGTTACCATCAATGGTAAGTTTTATGCAACGGGGCCCAGGGCCCTATTCTGAAAACTGTGTTATCTTTTATGTTTGGGAAACAATGTTCATTGTCATAAAAAAATTGAAATTCCATGGAATCAGTACTTATCACTGGTGCTTGCGGAGATGTGTCTTTCATCTGTACATGAAGGCAGCTAGCCTGTGCAGACAATACCCAATAGCCTGTCCTAATGTGTGATCTCTCATGATAATCAACTTTGTTTTACTAACATTCCAATAACATCATTTCAGAATGCCATTCTTGATTAAATGGTGGACATAAAAGACTGAATCTTACATGATGCCTTGATAATTCCTGATCCAATGTGAATGTGAATGTGCAAACATGTAACTCATTCATGATCCTCTCCTCACTATATGCTTTACATTGTACAATTCATTTACTTACATATACATGTTATTGTTACTTTAATACTAGCTGCCACATGTGCAGAGGGAGGGTATTTTCTTTTCTTTTCCAAAATATAAAGGGTATTTTAAATGTGAAGTATCCTTGCAAATGCTAGGATTCTTCACAGTATATAAAACTTGATTTGCATTGCAATTGTTTTGTTGAAACACATCATAAATCAATTTGAAATTCAAACCATTGCATCATTAGTAGTATAATGGGTGTTGGGTTGAACCCTTAACCGTAAATTAACCCTATGGGGTTTACAACATTCAGTAGTCAACGGGATAAACCTTTACCATGGTGAGCTGTGACCCTTCAAGCTGGTTCAAGGCATTCTTCAAAGCATTAGCAACCATCATACTGGCATGAGGACTCACTTCACAAGCCTTTCAACAAAGAAACAAAAATAAGAAAATGAGGGATTATGCTGGACCACAAATACATAAATGTACAGTGTTTAGAAGCATGTAATGATATTACGGTACATGAAATGTCAACACTATTGTATGAGTATTTAGAGTTTTTTTGTGCAGAAAACAAATATTTAAAATAAATAATCAGATCAATTTATATAGCTCAGTTACTATATAAATATTATACTGCACTGTGATGAAAACAAAACTCATAACAGTGCTACTTTACAGAAACATGCACACACAACCATAACATAGCTTCGGAAATCATGTGCGTCTTCAACAAAACTTTGATGACAGAAACAGATGAGGCTTTTCCTATGTCTGGTCTAATGGTAGGTTATTTCAATGCTTTGGAACGGCGCAACTGAAAGCACAATCTCCAAGAATTTATGTTTGAGTGAGGTATCTTTAGAAGCAGCTTATCTGGTGAACTTTGTAAGTTATGTGAAATTGTGAATATGGATGTGATTTAAAACATGATCAAATAATTTGGGGCTTGACCATTCAAAGCTTTGTAAATGAGCAACATGCAACTCCATGCCTCATTGGAATCCAATGTAACTTAATTAAAACAGGTGCAATGTGGACATTTTTTGAAGAATTGGACACAAGTCTTGGCAAGAACTGGCTGCAAATTCATTATTTGTAAATCTGGCAAGCCAAACTATAATCCACTATCATTACAAAAATAAATGCTAATTAATGCATGGACAAGGCTTTCAGCATTTTCCAGTCTATGTCTCTATGGAAGTGACAAGGATTGTATGATATGTTTGGGTTGGATATGAGCTTCCCATGTGTAAACAAGAATCAAGCCATATTCCCAGATCTCTCACAGAGCTTGATAGTTTTACATGTACTTCTTACTCTCCACATATAATGTATAGCTTTGCTACAAACTCTGTTCTTCCATCATTCAGCATTATTGGAACATCCATGATTGGATATACCGCATACATGATCCAAAATTGAGATGTTGTCATCTTGATGTTCTTTATTAGGGCTAAAAAAAAATTTTGAACGTGTGTCATCGGCAAGACAACGACAGGAATCAGTTGGGATAAATGATGATAAAAAATTGATAAACTTGAAACTTGAAAAAGATATGTGCTTATATATCATGTATATATATATATATATTATGCATTAAAAAATTATCGCGAAAAATGTTGAGGGGGGGGGGCTTCTAAAGCCCCCTCCCCCCCCCCCCCCCACGGGCTAAATAGGGTTAAGGGGTCATTTTTAATAAGTCAATTGGTGCTTTTCATGATCCCGCAAATATTATCCATATGTATTTGTTATTGATTTGTAAATTCGTTTAAAAGTGGAAATACATTGAATTGAAATTGAATAACATTGACTGGATTCAGCTAAAGTCTGGCTCAATTTGAATCAAAATAAGTTCCGCATCAAATTAATATCAACTTCCCTTGAATGAATTTGATCAGACCATACCAACCAAGAAATGTAATCTTTGGATGGCTGAAGGAAGTGAGTTCACAATTTACCTTGTTTTCCATCAATTCTGGATGACTGGATGGGAGGAGACTCTCAAGAGAGGTCTTAATAACTTTAGAGACAATAGACCGAGCCCTCTTCTCGATCGGGGTAACCTAAGAAACATGCATAGAACAGTTATTACCTGGGCCTCGTTGTATAAAACTTATCATTGATGGGAACTTTGCCATCAATGGTAACTACCATCATGATGGAAACCTTGATTTTGATAGGCTGTTGGGCCATGTTACCATGGTAGTTGCCATTGATGGCCATCAATGGTAAGTTTTATGCAATGGGGCCCAGGGGCCCTATTCTGAAAACTGTGTTATCATTAATGTTTGGGAAACAATGTTCATATTGTTATAACAAACTGAAACTCCATGGAATTAGTACTTATCACTGGTGCTTGCGGAGATGTCTGTTTCATCTGTACATGAAGGCAGCTAGCCTGTGCAGACAATACCCTATAGCCTGTCCTAATGTGTGATCTCTCATGATAATCAACTTTGTTTTACTAACATTCAAATAACATCATTTCAGAATGCCATTCCTGACTAAATGGTGGACATAAAAGACTGAATCTTACATGATGCCTTGATAATTCCTGTTCCAATGTGAATGTGCAAACATGTAACTCATTCATGATGCTCTTCTCACTATATGCTTTACATTGTACAATTCATTTACGTACATGTACATGTACTGACTATAGCTGCTACATGTGCAGAGGGAGAGTATTTTGTTATTTTGTTTCCTTTTCCATAATAGAAAGGGTATTTTAAATGTGAAGTATCCTTGCAAATGCTAGGATTCTTCACAGTATATAAAACTTGATTTGCATTGCAAGTGTTTTGTTGAAACACATTATAAATCAATACATTGCATCATTAGTAGTATAATGGGTGGTGGGTTGAACCCTTAACCGTGTATTAAGCCTATGGGGTGGTATTCTCGAAAGCGGACTAACTTTAGTCCATTGTTTAATCCACCGACTAAGTATGGAATGCCAAGTGTCCACATGAATATGTTTTTGAATACTTTAATCTGTCACTAAATTAAAATAAAATGTAATAACATAATTGTTAAACAACAATATAACTATGATACAATCATGTTATCATGGTAATGGGACATTTCAAATTATTCAGAACTATATTCTTATGGACACCTGGCATTCCATACTTGGGTGGATTAGACCATGGACTAAAGTTAGTTCACTTTCGAGAATACCACCCCATGGGGGTTTACAACATTCAGTAGTCAACGCAGGGATAAACCTTTACCATGGTGAGCTGGGACCCTTCAAGCTGGTTCAAGGCATTCTTCAAAGCATTAGCAACCATCATACTGGCATGAGGACTCACTTCACAAGCCTTTCAACAAAGAAACAAATAACAAATTAATGGATTATGAGGGACCACAAATACATTTAATTATTACCCGTATCAGACATCTGAGCTGGTAATTTACAAAACCGTATTGCCCTAGTTTTCACTAGCAGTGGGAACGGAGGGGTATATTCTTTGTATTTTCCTTGGTCTCCTTGCTCGTATAGACTTTGCGTGAAGAGACGAGTGAAAATATACCTTGGTATTTTCCACTGTCTGGCATCCGGGCATCTTGTATTGACCGCGCTGTATTTTGTCATTTTCATTGCGCATCTATTATGCGTACGAGAACCTGCGCACTTTGCGCGCACTCTATTGTGACGTAATAATCACACCAAATGCACACTGTTTGCAGTGTATCAAACATTTTCGTCAAGCACTGGATGCACACTACTGATTTGACAAAGTTTGTTCAGTTCTTTGAGATTGTCATGGTGGATTTTTGTATTTGCTCTAGATGTCTGATTTGGATAACAATAAAAATATTGACTGGCTTTACTTTCGGGGGATATAAGAAATATTGACCGCGCTAAGACCATATTGCCCTCGTCTTTCGACTCGGGGCAATATGATCTGAGTTTGGTCAATATTTCTGATATACCCCTCAAGGCCAGTCAATATTATATAAATATACAGTGTTTAGATGCATATAATGATATTATGGTATATGAAATTTTACCACTATTGTACGAGTATTTAGAAATATTTTGTGCAGAAAACGAATATTAAGAATAAATAATGAGATCAATTTATATAGCTCAGTTACATGTACCTTAAATCTCTGTGTGTAAGGCGCACCCCTATTTTTGAGACAGCCAAGAAAAAAAGTAATTTTTGACCTAGTGTCGTCGGCAAGACAACGACAAGAATCAGTTCAGGATAAATGATGATAAAAAATTGATGAACTTGAAATTGTAACATATGTGCTTATATATCAGAACAAGTTAAAACATTTCTTTGTGTTGATATATCCTACGGACATTAATATTGTGAGACTTTCACTTTTTCCACTGAAAAAACAAATCTGGTGATATACTCACGTCAATATAAACAGGTGGACTGCCAGACCTATAAAACAACCAGAACAGAATTAATACTCATTTGAATGATATAACCATTATTCCATACATTGAATAATAAGTGGAATTTATTTTTCTTTCATTTTCCAATCACAATCAAATATTAAAATTCAAATTACATAAAATCATGGGCCCATAGCATAACATTTCCCTCAAATATAGGGAAATAGGAATCATATGGCAATACACAAGCGTTAATTAATGCAGATTTAACTTCTGCTCATCAGGGTTGTTTGATTTAAATCATGTCGATTTAAATCATGATTTAAATCGCGATTTAAATCACTTGATTTTTTTCAAAAAAATCACTGATTTAAATCAACTTTTATGAAAAAAATTAGTTTTCTCTATTTTCTCTTCTTCTTAACAGATACTTTCAATGTAATCATTTTCATTTCTGTTCCACATGCTTTAGAGATACTTTAAAAGAATGATACACCCTCATGGAGTCTGATTTAACACCACTGTTTTATTTTCAAATTGTAAAACAAGCAAAACTGATGAAAACAACAAGTTTCTAACGAAGTAATGATAAATAACTCTCTGTATGTACACCAAACTGTTAAATCTTCAATAAAATAATATATAAAATCTACAAAGGTGCTCAAAGTCCACAACTTGGATACTTTTACAAAACAGCTGAACTACTTGTATGTACCTCCTTCTTGTTACTATTAATACCCATTCTTTCAATTACTTAAGTTGAAGGCATATGTGTACATTTGATAAGAATTACATGTATATTTGCATGCTTGTGTATTTTCTTATCAATACCCATACATTCAATTACACAATTTCAAAGTACACATGTATACTTAATAAGTAAGAATTTAAAAATGGGAAAGTTGCTGGGCAAGTGTTACTGTATGCAGCAATACAACTGCTGTGCTTGCTTGTTCATGTAATAGTTTGAAAAAACAGCACATCAATGATGTGGTGGACAGTGGTGCTTATCCTGCATCTTGCAACGAAATTTATTGAAGTTTTATTTGGAACTGAGGTTACACTGTAATGAAAACATAAAATGTGTATTTTGTTACAAGCATATCAGGAAGTGCCTATTGCAAATCTGGTTAAATATTACATTCAAATTAGATGTTAACGTACAGACTGATATAAAAATTTCAAGAGTTTAAATGTATATATAATACATAACATTACTTGGGCTTCCATAAAATGTCCCTCTCTATAATGCAAATAAATAAAAAAAAATAAATAAAAAAAATTACCTGTATATAAGTGGATTATTGTGTCAAATAGTACAATACACAATGTTCAAAAGACTACTTGACCACTATTATTGGTGTAAAACAGTTTAAATATAGTCTAAAACTTGTTAAGTGTGACCATTATTTTTCGTTGGAAAAAAATCAAAAAAATCTGATTTAAATCATAAAAATCCGATTTAAATCAAAACTAGATGGAACTTCGACTGCGCGCAGTCGAAATGATGCCTCCGTCATAGAGCAATTTTACAAACCAAAACAGAAGAAATTGTTCAAATTCAAGTTCAATTGTAATCCATTAACAGGTTCTCAGAATATCGTGATTACAAGCAATTTCTCATAAACATATATGACCCTTTGATCTTTGACCACATGACCCTAACATCTACTCAGTTAATTGGCTCTGCAAGATGTCCCGAGTTAAAAGTAATCCATCTGTCAGTTCTAATGAGAATGCGTTCACAAGCTATTTTTGCATGCATAATGAGCCCATGACCTTTGACCTTTGACCTCATGACCCAAGAATCTACTCAGTTCATTGGCTCTGCAAGATACATACATGATCTAAGTTTGGGAGGAATCCATCAATCTGTTCTAATGATAATGCGATCACAAGCTATTTTTGCATGCATAATGAGCCGCATGACCTTTGACCTTGACCTCATGACCCAAAAATTTAATCGGTTCATCGGCTCTGCAAGTAACATACATGACCTAAGTTTGGCAGGAATCCATCAATCGGTTCTTGAGATAACGCGATCACAAGCTGTTTCAGCATACATAATGAGCCCTGTGACCTTTGACCTTTGACCTCGTGACCCCCAAAATCTAATCAGTTCATCGTCTCTGCAAGATACATACATGACCTAAGTTTGGCAGGAATCCATCAATTGGTTAATCAGATAATGCGATCACGAGCTGTTTTTGCATACATAATGAGCCCTGTGACCTTTGACCTTTGACCTCGTGACCCCCAAAATCTAATCAGTTCATCGGCTCTGCAAGATACATACATGACCAAAGTTTGGCAGGAATCCATCAATCGGTTCTTCAGATAACGCGATCACGAGAACGGGACGTACGGACGGACGGACGTACGTACAGACGTACGTACGGACGGACGGACAACCCGAAAACATAATGCCTCCGGCTACTTCGTAACGGAGGCATAAAAATCTGATTTGTTTGATTTTTTTTAAAAAATCAAAAAAATCAACAACCCTGCTGCTCATTGTATGACTATCATAGTGACAAATTGTTTATTTTTGAATTATTACTGAATGATTTTGAACAAAACAGAGAGACGTTTGTACCACGTCTATTACTGCTGTGTTATATCTTTCTAACTGTATGATGGCATTTTATTTTGACTGTTCTGTATACAATATACAATATACTTTTTGATGTAAATATGTTCGTGATTATTCAGGGCCCCATGGAAGACCACTACTTATTGGTGAATGGGCTACCCTGACAAAAAATTAGAAATAATTAAATAAATAAATAAATACAATCCTGTATATCTCTTGCTCCTCTTCCTCCCCATCTCTTCCTCTCCTTCTCTCTTTCCTTCCCTGTGTTCTTCATTCCTCTCCATCTCTTCCTCTCCTTCTCTCTTTCCTTCCCTTTGTTCTTCATTCCTCCCCATCTCTTTCTCTCCTTCTCTCTTTCCTTCCCTTTGTTCTTCATTCCTCCCCATCTCTTCCTCTCCTTCTCTCTTTCCTTCCCTTTGTTCTTCTTTCCTCCCCATATCTTCCTCTCCTTCTCTCTTTCCTTCCCTTTGTTCTTCATTCCTCCCCATCTCTTTCTCTCCTTCTCTCTTTCCTTCCCTTTGTTCTTCATTCCTCCCCATCTCTTCCTCTCCTTCTCTCTTTCCTTCCCTTTGTTCTTCATTCCTCCCCATCTCTTCCTCTCCTTCTCTCTTTCCTTCCCTTTGTTCTTCATTCCTCCCCATCTATTCCTCTCCTTCTCTCTTTCCTTCCCTTTGTTCTTCATTCCTCCCCATCTCTTCCTCTCCTTCTCTCTTTCCTTCCCTTTGTTCTTCATTCCTCCCCATCTCTTCCTCTCCTTCTCTCTTTCCTTCCCTTTGTTCTTCATTCCTCCCCATCTCTTTCTCTCCTTCTCTCTTTCCTTCCCTTTGTTCTTCATTCCTCCCCATCTCTTCCTCTCCTTCTCTCTTTCCTTCCCTTTGTTCTTCATTCCTCCCCATCATCCTCTCCTTCTCTCTTTCCTTCCCTTTGTTCATCATTCCTCCCCATCTCTTCCTCTCCTTCTCTCTTTCCTTCCCTTTGTTCTTCATTCCTCCCCATCTCTTCCTCTCCTTCTCTCTTTCCTTCCCTTTGTTCTTCATTCCTCCCCATCTCTTCCTCTCCTTCTCTCTTTCCTTCCCTTTGTTCTTCATTCCTCCATTACCTTTCCAAGCCAGGCTGGTCCTTCTGTTCATCGGTCTTCCATGTCCCGTCATTCCCCTCTTCCCATTCCACATTCACAAACTCCTGGTCAGCCCTCAGCTCCTTGAATACCGTGGAGACAAGTTGCCTAGCAACAAGATCGAAGGAGTCCAGGACCTCAGGAATAGACGCTGGAGCATCCCCCGTTGATACAACTGTAGTAGTAGTAGTAGTAGTAGTAATGGTTTATTGAAATAAAATCAATCACAGCTCGAAAGCCGAATTACAGGTTATGTACAATAGAAAAAGCAAACATCAAAATTACAGGAAACAAAATAGGAAATAACATGTAATAATTAAAGTAATGAGATCATAATGACAAAGATTAAGTAAATAACGGGCAGTGCCAGTCAGCACTCGTTGACTACACCACTACACCCTATTACTTTTACTATTAATATTATCATTATTATTATTATTAACCGAGAGGTTGAAAGACCCAATGAAAATCCTGACCAGTACTTAACTGTAAAAGGCGTGGCAGGAGGTGAGAGGAAGGGGGCACAATCCACCCCCGTTGATGCACGCCACAATACATTCATGGATCATTTTTAATGGTGTTGCATTCTTTCAGGACTTTATAGCCTAGAATCTTTTGTGGCTTTTGATACCAAATTAACAAAATTTTGACCAACAGGTATTGTGAATTGCAAAAATGAACATTTCCCCACATATATTGTACACAATGCAGAATTGTAAGTTTGAGTTATATAAAGTGACTATTAGTCCATTAGCATTAATGAGCAATAATTAAGAAATCAACTGAAATAAAGATATCGAACTTCATGGGCCTATTCCTTATGAGATACTCTGTCTGTACGCAAAGTATCAGAATTTGTTGTCCCTCCATGCCGAGATCAGCCATGATAGCGCACCAAAATAAACCAGCCATTTTTAGGATTATAGGTAGTGTTTCATTGTGTAAGAGGAAAACGGTGGAAGGGAAAGGGGTAAGGAAGAGAGGGGAGGGAGGGACAAAGAAGAGAAAGTAAAAGAGGGCACGAGATATAGACAGACAGATTGGAAGGGAGAAAAACAGACATAGTGAAGAAGTGTCGTAATCGAGTGGTTTAAGCACTTGACTTGGAATTCAAAGGTTGTGGTTTGATCCCTGACACGGCACTAATGTCCTTTGGCAAGGCATTAATCTTCATTTGGCACACTTGACCCAAGTGAGGTAAATGGGGACCTGGCAGGAATTCGTTCCTTGAAATGCTGGAGCGCTGTAATGGCAGCTAGGCCACAGCTGGGGTATTAAATTTCTAGATAGACGGTGCTATAGAAATGCCTATTATTATTATTACAGAGATGAAGAGTAATGGAGAGAGATAGAGACAGAGATACAGAGACAGAAAGATAGAAAGGGAGACGGGGGGGGGGGGGGGATGAATGCAAGAAGAGGATGACAAGGCCCCTAGTCCCGCCCCAATTTCTATTTTTGTTGTCTGTATGGTCAGTCAGAGCACCCCTACCACCCCCTTTTTTCTTCTTTATAATTAACTGACAATAATGGTGATGAAGAAATTAGGTTTTAAGAGTTACCTGAAGACTGAACAGATGGCAGAGAAGATGTATCAAAGAGGACCCTAGAGGGCGGGCCGTCCTGCCTTCTGTCTACTCCTGATTCTTCTATAAAGAAAATCATCAATGCCATTATTAGAATCAAACCATTACACCTACATATATAAACACTGTTGAATACATGTATAATCACAACAGCTTGTGAGTTCAACAAGATTATATATCTCTATATAAAACAAAACAAAACAAAAAACAGTTCAGTCTAATAAAAAATGACAATAACCTTTGCCAATAATCTAAAAGACCAACTATACAGATAGAGGTGATGTGACATTTGTCTCGCTAATATTTGCTCCAGGGTTTATTTTGTCAAGTACCAAACCCATTGTCTTATGGTTATAATAAGGTATGATCACCATGCCAACATTTATATATACCTGAGCAGATGATGGGACATGGGTTATCTGTGCTATCACATTCAGAGCAGACTCCTCTTTTTGCTGGTTCAAATGATAGTCAAATAATAGTTCAAATTGACTGCTTCCCACTGAAACTGACAAACACGACCATCAAAAAAAAAGAAGCCTTCCAGGCTGCTAGTATAGTGCAAGCCATTCAATTGACTGTTCTCATTTCAGATGTGACGTGCATTAGATCATGTTATCAGATGATGCGTAGATCCTAATCAAATGATTGGTTGAAAGCGTGACCAGGCATTTATTTTGCCTAACACGTAATTTGGATAATGACCGGTCATTATCCAATTCCATTACTGGTCATTAGTAAAATCATTTTATAAAACATCATTTTATAAAACAAATAAAACATCACTATGTTTGGGCATTAGTAAAATGACCCACACACGGTACCTTCAAAACAGTCCAAACACCCTTGGCTACCGCCTCGGGCGTGTTAGACTGTTCCAAAGGTACCTCGTGTGGGTAATTCTTACTAATGCCCTCACTGATGTGTATTATTTGTATACTATCTAGTATCTTCCATGGCATGTCCCCAGGAGGTGCTCCAGAGGGCGGTGCAATGTTTGGGATCACCTTGTCACACTGATGGGAGGACCGCAATGATGATGCTGATTCTCATCTCAGAATACTCTTGTAGTGAGAAAGGGGTCTATGATGATTACATACATGTATGTATATACCTGATAAGATGATGGGAGGTAGTTTATCTGCATGTGTGGTATCAGGTCTACTCCCCTCTCTCTCCTTGATGTTCCATGTCGTCATGTTGGTTGTTAGCTTAGGGTTGATCAGAGGAAAGCACCTCTTACCACCTGATATGAGAGAGGGAGAGACGCAAAGGTATGATTCAAATACCATCAAATGTCCTCTTTTTCCATTTTTTATCGGGTACAGAGGGAACCCTGGCAATGATGAACATTGCAGCAGAAGCAAGAAACAGCAGCAATGTAATAATAACATTAAAAATAATGATGACGATGATGATATTAATAATAGTAATTATAATGAATCAACATTAAATACATTACAAACTAGAGATATTGCAATCTCCATTGCCGCGCAATGCAAATGTATCCCCCGGCGCTAGCAGTGATTTTTGTGTCATCCTTACATGTATGTTCGAAGGAGGGACAAAGATTCCCCCTCTCTCACCTCCCTGAAACAAAAGAATGACGTAGAGATTTCCATTAGTGGCTCGGACCATTGTCAAGACAAGGAGCAGCATCACCAGATTAGAGTATAATTCACCTCTATAGAGAAATTTGAAAGAAATCTGTCAAGAAATGTGACCTGCAGATTAACAATGAACATTGTTCCAGTGACATAATGATAACAGAACACATCATTTTCAGAATACCACCAGCCCAGCAGTGTAGCTAGTACACTACATGATGCTTAGTGTGTCCTGTTAGCCTGACGCCTTGCTTATAGATAAGGATAAACCAACTTACGTTTTGGTCCAGCAGTGTATTTCCGACATAAGCCCTCTACTTTCTTCTCTAGGTGCTCAGCAATGAAGGCCTCTTTTTTCAAAGCTGACTTCTGGCGTTGTTTTTTAATATGAGCAAGATTATCTGTGCATGGGAAAAAGAACAGGGCCTAGTGTCATAAAATTTGTTCTCAATAAACAACGTTGCCATCTTTTCATGCTGGGAGTCAATATATGTAATGATTTCAATAGCTTTTATCAATCATTGTAAGTTGTATCAACGGATGATGATGACAGTGTATAAAACAGGGGCTGTGTTCTGAAATCTATTTTATATTTTATGGCAACTGTTGTAACAAATAAACACTTACTATTGGTGCTTGCACAGATGCCTCTCCCAACTGTACACATGCAGTGCTAGAGCATTGCACACAAAATAACCAATGAAATGTCCTAATGTAGATTTGTTATGACAATTAATTATTTTTTTTAAAGTTAAGAGTTAACAAAGTTGTAAAAATACCACCCCAAGTCTTATACTTTGTTAATTAGGCTCTACACAATCTTGGATGAGGACTACAACTACAGTTAGGGTTTGATGCATTTAACTCTCAGAAGATGATAGTAGTGTCCAAGAACCCACTATTATTCTTCTAATTATCATTATATCATAATAATGTTTTGAAGGTCAGGAAAAAAGAAACCAGGAAAGCTCCATCACCTTGTTGTTTTTCTCTTTGCTTAGCAACCATTTGTTCTCTTATTTCCACTCCTCGATTTATCTCTGCTTTCATCTGAGCCAACTTGATTCTATCTTTCATCATTCTTTTAGCTCGACCCAGCTCACGTCGAAACCACTGCTCTTCTAACTGTAAAAATAATTAAGGTGAACCAAAATAATTTGCGTACAGCTATAATCAAGCTTTAAAAAAATGGCATGGGTTAACGGAGTATAAAGAAAATAAAGAATTACAAGAAACCGTATGCATGGAACTCAAGTCTGACTTGTGTTTAACTTTTGTGCGGCAGTGCGGGCCCTATCTCTTGCCAGCATTTGTGTGTGGGTGTGTGTGTGTGTAATTGGGTATTTACAGACCTGTATCAATTCAGATATGATTATTTACGCCTGGGGATTGACCTTTAACGCCACCATCCAAAAAACGTGACTCAGTTTTGAGCCGGTGTTGCCTGTAGACAAAGACAGAGAGTTGACCAAGTGAATGTGAAGCTAGACCAACTCACATCTCCCTTCTTTTACAGTTGCCCCCAGTTGTCTGCCCCTTTTATGTTAATTAAGAGAGTATATAGACTTGCAAAATCTCTTTTCAGGAGTAATATTTGAAGCTCATATTTTAAATATAGCATTAACACATAGAATTATTAAAATACACATGTTGCATACCTCCTTTGTTTTATTATAATTGTCAAATATATTATATATGCTCATGTGTGCTATTTGATCTGGTTTGTAAATGAATTTGCTGATGTTGATAAGCAGAATTAACAACACTAACAAAAAAATTATGCTGCTTTAAAATCTTAAATATCATTGAGTTATATCACACTTTGAATGAAAGATGTTCTTTTAAATACATTATTTGTTTGCATGAATCAGAATGTCCAGTTTGTAAATGACATTTAACGACTCATGTACTCACTACTGCATAGAAAACACAGACAAAAATAAGAAGAAGAAAAGCTGTTGCTGTCATCAATGTTAAACTTATGCAAAATATTCCTTTTGAATGGGAAATGTATGGGTATATTGTAAAAATGGCAAGCAAAAACTGAGTTTTCTCGTTTCGTAATCTGTTATCATAAATTATGATATTATAATTTCAATCTAAATTACATGCACATGTACATGTATGTGAATGTTCATATCTTATGAAAGCATCAATTGCAATAGCCTAAACAAAGAATAATAAATGTGAAGAAAAAAATGCATCAGAAATTCATAACAAAATGTGTAACTAGAATTAAATGTTTCTCTCGATGATATCTGCATTACCTTCATTTCTTTTTCCTCCTTCATTGTTTTGCGTTGTACTTTCAACTGCTCTTTTCTTCGCATCTCCTCAGCAGTTCTTTTAGTTTTTATCAAGGTCTTCTTTGTTATAGCCTGTTTGAGGGAGCCGGGGACAAAAGACAATTCAAAACTAAGGTGTTTAAAGGTTTTATTTTTTATTTCATTTTATCTATCATAAAGTTTTCAGATAATCTTGCCTCATCTCTGCTTTCATAACAAACATCATTTTAGTAGTAACGTCATCACCAAGACCAAAATTACCATCATCATCACCATCATCATCATTATCATCATCATCATCACCACCACCACCACCATTATCACCATAATTATCATCATCATCACAAATACTACCATCACCATCATTATCATCATCACCACCACCACCACCACCACCACCACCACCACCACCATTATCACCATAATTATCATCATCACCACCACCACCACCATCACTATCATCACCACTATCACCATCACCATTCTTACCTCTGCTTCCAGAGTTCTCCTGATATTGTGATGTTTTTCCTCACTCTCCTGCCGTGCGCTCTGCTGAAGAGCTGTTTTCTTGCGGCGCTGCTCCACCAATCTAATCATAGTCTTCCTGTAATCTCTCTGCAGCTTACGAGACAACCTGTGCAACAAACAAAACACTCAATTTGTACAAAATGATGCAAGACACAGGAAGATTTTAAACCATTAGATTCCTATTGTACTAAATATGGCAATGACTCTGTCATGCATTCCTGCAGTAGCTACAGGTTCGTGTTTGATCAAACTTGTCATCACTAACAAGTTACGTTAATTCTTATAAGCCACTGAAATTGTGGCATTTGATTGGCTGAGAGCAAATTTGCCATAGAAAGGTAATATTTGTTATTGTTAACAAGTTTTATGAAATACAGCCCAGATTTTGTAAGTCAAAGACATAGGCCCGAATTTACAAAGGAGGTTTAAATCTTCATTTACATAACCTACATGTATGGTTTAAAATTGGTGCAAAATAGACGCGACACAGTCAAAGGTCCTATATTAGATGCGCGCAAGGTAAGGTACGCTTAATTTGCGCTATATGTTAAACCATGGGTTATGTAAATGAGGGTTTAAACCATGGGTTAAATTTAAAGCTCCTTTGTGACTCTGGGCCATGGTGTTGCGATTAAGTTAGGTTTACGTAGAGTGCTGGCATTTAGATAATGTAACTAATAAAAGCCTTCAAGCAATGAGGTAGCGACTAGTAAGCAAATAACTACCGTTGGTGAAGGTGATGGGACAAACTATCACTTCCGAGGCGATCAGGATGTAGCTACATTCAGATTGTCGAGGAAGTGATAGTTTGCCATCACCTAAAACCAAAAGGTGATTATTTGCTTTATATTCCACATTGGGAACATTTTACTTCTTCCATCATTCTAGAGCAACAAGTCATCAATTAACAGCTTGCAAACGGTGTATGATACATACAGTGCATGCAGAATGGTGGTGTAACCATATAGTTCGCCTGTGACCAAAGTTCGCGTACTAACACTAAAAGCGCTTAAAGAGGAGAGCAATACGCAGCGTATACAATTAAAGTGCGTTGCACTGTGTAGATAGTACTTCTATCTTCATAGAAAGTGCGTTGCACTGTGTAGATCTACACAGTGCAACAAACTTTTCTTCTCCCATCAATGATGGGCTAACTATCTTTCATCACATGATTTACTTTTGACCAATCGTAGAGCAAGATTCTTAGTATGTGGAATATAATAAGTTATATTGATCAATTTATCCTTCCTTTCTCCTCATCTACCTCTTCTTTTCAAATACAACTTTGTTTTCCTTGCACCAGACTTTCTTCTTTTTGAGCAGAGATTATCTGATACCCCCTTCTCTTTATCTCTCTTCCATTCCCCAATGTCACTATCGCTCAATACTTACTTTTTCCTTTCTTTCTCTCTAACTTGTTTCTGTTTAATGAGAGAGTCTTTGATAAGCCTGTCTCTCTCGCTAACATCCTTACGAATGCTTTGTTTGCGCTGCCGGTTGAGGCGTTCTCTTTCTTCAAGCAACTTCAAAATGGCAAAAGAGGTGATAGAAAGGAAAGGTGGAAAAAAGAAGAACAGCGCATACTGGTATACTGTATATGGAAATTGAATGCAAATAGATTGTGCATATAGTGTAAGCATACACAGACATAATGTGGTGAGCCACAAACATGTAGAAATTAAAGATAAACTTGAGTTCTGGTAAAAAAAAGAAACTGAATTCTCACAGAATCTAACGAAACTTACACTGAATGTTCAAGATTACAAATAAATGTAATGTGCCAAACAATTTTGGAACAAAATGTATACTGGCTGAGTTATGAGCATACAAAGATAAGGAAATCAGGGTAGTGCTAGCCCCGACACCATGTGTGTTGTCCCATAAACATCTTTCTGTGTAAGTGATTGTTACTTTACCAAGACCAAGCCAAATTTATGATGATTTTGATGACTCCAGAACCTTGCATTACACACCATTACTTACATGTACATGCTATATGATCAACTTTTCTGATCCATTCCACACCTTTTCTTTCACAATGCAATCGCATTACCAGAACTCAAGTTTATCTTTAAAGTATGAAAGAGTGAGTGTAGGAAGAAACAAAAACAAGTGCATGTACTAAAGATACCCAATAGATGTGATTTGCAAATGAAAATTAGTGTCACAAACAATATAATACATAAATACCTGTAAATAGGAAGAAAGAGTGGAAAAACAAAACCTTTTTTTTAAGCATAGATAAAGGATGAAATGAGATAAACTGCAAAGCGATGACAAAATGGCAAACACACAAAAAAATTGTTGATATTGTGTGACAAAGGAGACTTCATAGGCAAAGACATGGAAGAAAGAAAAAGTACAAATATTATTGGTTGCAAATATTGATGAAATGTGAGAAGCCACAAATATTGTAACATAACACACATACATCTACATGTATATAGAAAAACAGCGCTGGGGCCTATACAGCCCCACAAGCTTTGTTGCCAATTTGAAGGTATCTTACCATTTTCTTTCTCTCCTGAGTGATTTTCTCAAGTTGAACTGATTTCAGATACTGGTGGTACTCATTGAACTCTTTCAAGGTGCATTTCACCTGGTGACCATATTCAAAGTAGAAGTGCACATGAAAATACAGCATAGAAAATTTAATTGACTCAGTAACATTGTTGAAGGTTGATGAAAAAACTACTTAATTTTTGTATAAAATGTTACTTATTATATTCCTTCTACTGTACTACAAACCCTCTAACATGCAAAAAATCCTGAAAAAGTTCTCAAACCACAAAGATATTTATGGTTTTCTTTGAAGACGTCACTGCGCGGCACCCTCTAACAGTAAATTCTCCCAACTTTTTTTAAATTTCCCTAAGCGTTTTTCCATGAAATAAGACATGACAGGCTTATTAAAATGTTTCAACAATTAAATATCTAGAATGGTATATAGAGCCAATTCATCGCTTTGTGACGATTTACATTCACCTAAAATGTAATTAAATTGTAATATAGTTGGGAAAATTATCAGATCATTTTTTTTCTCAATTTTTATCGTTAATAATGATCTGTTTTCACTCAAACTTTCAGATTATCTTTAATTGTACATCTAGCATTGAAGTAACTACCTTAGCACCATTTTCTCTCATCTGAACACTAAAATTACTCTGAATCTGAATCTGAGTAAGATATTGCTATCATATTCCCCCAACAAAATACAAAAATAATAAAAAATCTCTCATTTTTCTACTGTTTATTATCAGCTTTAATATCAATCAATATTAACCTACCGACCTATCAACATCTCTCCCTCTGCCTCTCTCTGCCTTTAGCCCTATTTTGCTAAAAAATCAATCTACAATGTATGTTTGTTCTTACCATTCCATCTGGTGTGATATATCCTGATTTGATGAGTCTGTCATAGGTGGCCCGCGTTGTATAGTAGCTCTTTAGATGCGGATCATGAAGACTCTGATATTCCCAGTACAGTCCGGCAGCCACGGGGTCAAAGTCAAGGTCATCGGGGGTTTGATGAAGCTAGGAGGAGGATACCATTGGAATGTTTCTTATGTTGTTCATTCATTGTCACATTTAGCTTTCCAAACACTTCCCCATTTTCCATTTCCTTAATGCTTCTACTCATTTATTCACAGCCTCAGTTGTCATTTGTGCTTACACACTCACAGGTCTGTCAGTGATTCCATTCTTTCCTCCTTACTCACTTCTCAATCATTTACATTTCTTCCCTTTCTCTCTTGGGCTATTCTATTATTTTGGACTTGTCCATTTATGTTATCTGATTGGCTGAGATGCTTCAAATTATAATTTTCTGAATGTGCTGCATCAAGCAGTCTGTAACATAGAGAAATAAAGCAGGGCACTACAGGACTTCAACGTGTATACATCTATTTATTTAGGCTCTCAAATTACTGTAAAACCAAACTCTTTTGTAACCAGAAAGATAATCATGTACTGGTTCTGAATTTCACTGCGAAAGAAACCATCTAAAAAATCTTCTCAATTTGTTCATACACTAAGCCACAGCACCATCTGAAAAAGGCCCTATGTATAAAGCCAATTATCATTTATTTAGTTAATTGTGTAATGCAGACTTTAAAAGTAATGAAAATTCAATTAAATTGGCTAAATCTTGCTGAAAACTCACTAATAATTATCTTGTAATTCAGATTTTTTTTCTTCTCTCTCTCTCTATCTTTTTTAAATTCTATTCATTATTTCTTATTTTTAAAAGAAGAGGATTCGGGGAGGGGGGGGGGGGGGGGGGGGCATCTAACAACATTCCCCCTTTTTGTGTAAGAAAATTGGGGGAAAATAGGGAAGAATAGAGAAAATAAGGAAACATTCAGGAAACTAGGGATAAAATCAAGAGAAATAAAATCAGAAAATCAGGAAGAAAAAAAATCAGGAACAAATCGAGAAACCGATTTAATTCGGGTAATTATCAGGTCTGGTTTTTGTCGTTTAGTGGAAATGAGCCTGGAGCCTTACCTTCTTGCACAGACCGGTAGTGGCGAGCACAATCCTTCCCTTGGGAGCTGGGACCATGGGTAGTTTACTGTACATGGGTGTGTCTAGCATCCATGCTGGTAGAGGGGGCAGTGGACCCAGTAGCTTCTCATGCCCGAGGTAGAAAGGGGTGCTGATTAGGGATGAAAGAGGGCCAAAACAAGCAACATCAGGGAGGGAAAGTGAGGTGCATGTTACAAATATATATATATACTATATCGTCGGTGGGGTGACAAAACCTCGTATCTCAAAAATCATGAATTTTCAGGAGAGCGAAAAAACATTTCCTGTCTCAACAGATTTAGTGCTCTGACACCGTCCTTTGTGTGGAATTTGTGAAAAAACCGAGACAGGAGGCGTTCCATGGATTTATCAGGTGGTGTCATGGCCATTAGGTACACAATTATGCAAAAAAATCTAAATCTCAAAAAATTGAGATACAAGGTTTTGTCACCCCACCGACGATATGTACATATATATAAGGCTACAGGTACAGATTCTTATTTTGAAATAACTTTTTAAAAATTCCATAAGGTCTTGAGCTAATTAGCCTTAACTCTGCCAGTCTCTGGCTTTGTTGAGTAGATACTTGTCAAGAGTTGCTACAGTATAGTACCCATGGACTGCAAATGCCCTTTTGTTTCCATCCAAATATCCTAAATTGTGTAATTTTAATATCTCTACTAGATCATGACAGACAGGGTGAATTAAATCAACAATTTTGAATGTAACCTACATGTACTGACATGCACTTAAACAAATGTATTTTGTTCCATTTTTTTTTTTTTTGGCTCTCATAATTAATCAGGTTTACAGGTTACTGACCATGATTTTGGTTCCTCATCATTGGTTACGGTACATCATAGCGCTTTCATAGAGACAGTTCCAACATTCACAAGCATACACTGTACACATTCAAGGTTCAATAAATGGAGCTCCAAATAGTACCCGCCCACATACAATCTCTATGGGAGGGAATATGAATTGAAACTTGAGTTTGTAGTTGTACACATACAGTATATGTACAATGTACATGTGTGTGTCACAACTATCTCTCGCAATACGCCATGTACAGGCTGCATCAGCTTAAAGGGAAAGTCCACCCCCAAAATAAGTTTGTTTCGATAGAGGCAGAATAATAAGAAAATCAGGTGAGTGAAAGTTTGAGCAAATTCTGAATGAAAATAAGAAAGTTATGAATTATTGAAGTTGTGATCAATCAAATACAAATTGGCAACTCTGTGACTTATTATACGAGCTCTCCTTCATTTGCTTTGTGCATAATATTCCATAAATTCATGTTTTCTTCGTTATTGATGACGGAATATATATTTGTTCCTTGCAGGGGGAGTATAGAAACATATTTGCAATTATTATATTTAGGGTGCATGTATGGTTGAAATTTTTCTTGAGGGAAAATGAAAATTTTAGATTTTTTTAGTACTGAGCAAATGGAAGTTGAGCTCGCATGATACGTCATAGAGTTGCCAATTTGTGTTTGATTGATCACAACTTCAAAAATCCTAACTTCCTTATTTTTAATCGGAATTTGCTCAAACTTTCACTGACTTGTTTCTCTCATTTTTCTACTCCTATTAAAACTAACTTAATTTCAGGGTGGACTTCCCCTTTAAACATAGTTGAGATTGATCAAAATCAAGACTGCTAATCAATTGCAAGTTTGCAATATCTCTTATGCACGTAGTTGCGATTAGGCCAAAAAAAAAAATCATTTGGTTGTCCTCGACCCCACGTTCCTCATTTTTCGGGCCGCTCGTATGTTTGTTTGTTTTTTTTTGTTTTTGTTTTGTTTGTTTTTTTATTTATTTATTTATTTTTTATTTATTTTTTTTTTTTTTTTTTTTTTTTTGGGGGGGGGAGCAATCTAAACTGCCAAACATACCATTTTATGCATTTGCAAGGATCAAAATGCGTCCCGTTGCCAGTTTTGTCTTTTCAGTACGCAATTAGGTATTTATTAAACTTGCCATTTTTATTTTTCTATGTCAAAATGCCGTTCATTCAAATCAGGTTCTGAGCATTCTTAAATTCATTTTAAAGCCCATCTGTACTAGTTTACAGGAGGGATTAGACCACCCTGCAAGGTCACTGGACAGGTGGTTATCTCATCAAATCAGCTCTCAGTTAATATAAGATAAAGAGGATCATGGGGGACCAATGGTCACCGATTAGGCATTGTTTGCTACATAGAGGGCGCAAGTAGCTATAAGTAGTACAATGGAGATTTAAAAGGTGCTTTATTTCAAAGCCCAAAATACTGTTGGTCTTGATATTCATTGTACATGAAACTAGTCTTTTACCATACTAAAGCGTTTTATAGACTTTGTTTGTTTAAATGCTTGACAATCACAATTATTTATTTTTTTTATGGAAATTTTTTTTTTTTTTTAAATAAAAAATGGGGGAAAAAAAAAAAAAAAAAAAAAATCCGCCCGGCCGCCCCTACTCGAGAAAAGCAATCGAGGACAACCAAACAATTTTTTTGGGGGCCTTACTATAAGACGGGGCCCAAGGCCATACACCCTTCTGATTTTGTTTCCTTCATGATGCACTCACCTGAGACTGGAGCTAAGGTTGCACAACTCTGGGTCTATCTCCATCTCGCCCGCCAGGACAGACTTGTAGAGTGAGCTCTGGGCCATCGTGCTTGTTCCAGACATCTTCAACTCAGTGTGAAGAACCTGAAAGGTCAAAGGTCAATTGATATTCATAAAATGGCATCTGAATTTACATGTACATGTTTGGTACATGTAAGTAATTGAGCGTAGAGACTTGAGACCACCGAGTTTCAAGTTTAATGAGCTCGATCAACCCTGTATTAACTTTAGGGTTTAAAAAGAAAGTCCACTTTTGGCATCATTTTGGATTTTAAACCAAAATTATATGTTTCATCTTTATTCAGCGTAATAAACAAAGAAGTATAAACATTTGAACCCAGGTCCATGACACAATGTAGTATACAATACACAACTGTGTCACTGGCAGGGTATACAAGACAAGTACAACATGTACAACATAGGAAACATATAAAGCATATATAGAAAGTGGTTAACAACATAATGGAAAGAGAAGTACGAAGTTGAGATTCCTCAACGGTAATAGGCAATCCGATTCTATCTTTGGCGATCTTAAATACCAGTATAAATAGTATAAATGTAACCATGAATAAGTGCATTATGCTTGATTTTGCGACAATGCACTAGTTTCTCTGGCATGTATTTTATTACCATGATTTTGATAATAATACTAGTTTGTTTTACGAATGTGGGTCATGATTATTTACACCTTTTGTGGCTTGCTTGTTTTTCTATATACTCGGATAAATGTTATTTACACCGAACGTAAAATGATATACATGGAGTATTTAAATACTAAATGGTTTCTTAAATATAAACATTTTTAGATTTGTTCATAGTAAACTTGCATGATATGTTCATAACATGTATTGCATCGTTGTAAACATCATTCGAGCATTGTCGTAAATATAGTTATACATATTTTGAAGAAAAATAATGAAATGAGAGTACCTCTTCTTCGTACATGCACTGTTATTCCTCCTTGTATGATTAATTGTATACAAAATGCAATGACCCTCTAAATAGGATGGGTTCTTCAACATGTTCAGGGGAAGGGGTGACTATTTAAGCACCTGGGAGTCAGAGACTTATATTATTTACACTGAACGAAGAGTGATATACATGGAGTATTTAAATATTAAATGGTTTCTTAAATATAAACATTTTTAGATTTGTTCAACTTTAGGGTTTAAAAAGAAAGTCCACTTTTGGCATCATTTTGGATTTTAAACCAAAAAAACTTATAACTGAAAGAAGTGGATCAATGAAATCTAGAGGAAAATGTGATAAAGAACAAGAGAGGTGTACATGTATATGTAAATATTCAAACTGGAAAATGATGTAACACATTCACAAAGTGACAACTCTGTGAAGTGATTTTTGAACACCTCTCCAATTTGTTCTGTGTGATAAGGAAACCTACCGGTATGTCTGTACACAAGTCTAGATTCAACTTGAAATGGAACATCCCCTCCAGCACATACATGTACATGTAACATTTCTTCATCAACAATGAAAATGGAAATTTACAGAATTTTCATTAAAAAGCAAATATTAGGAGAGATGCTCAGAAGATTAGCCCGCATCCTCATTGTATATTTGAGTGATCACAACTAAAAATGATGTCTTAGTTCTTTAATTTGGGTTAAACTTGGAAGGACAAGTGTTTTGTAGGACAACAGTTTTGTTGTGAGACTGAGAGGGCAGTCTATGATATTCCTCCGCAGCAGCGCTGCTAACTCTGTGTTAGTAACAGAATTAGCTGACTTGGTAATGACATCCATGTGGTGATTCCACTTCATGTTTTCCTGGAAGTTAACACCATCAGCAGATCTTGCTTTCTCAGTTTCCACCAGAGGTATTCCATGAATGCAGTGCCAGTACCGGACAATAGGTGTTTGTTTTTTTGTTTTTTTACTCAACACCCCACCCCACCCCTCTATAGTCTGTAATTAAGAGACTGAATTAGCTTCACCAGTTCACTGTAACTACTTGTAGTCTAAACTTTTAAACTTTAAAGTTTCACTTTGTCTTTAGTTTAGTTTTTAATTTCATTTTCCTCCTCCTTCTTCTTCTTCAGGATAATCTGCCTCCTTCACTGCTGAAGTCTCTTGCAGATGTGTGTGGCAACATGGGGATGCCAAGGTGTGCAGACGTACATGTACGTATGGTCTGTATATAGGCCTAGACTAGTGCCAGTATAAATGTTGCCTGAAGTTTACTTCACGCCTGTCTTTACTATTTAGTACTTTACTTAGAGGGTCTAGTTGTCACTGAAACTGAAAGGCTTCCATTGACGGAGCCAGGACAACCTCAAGTCAAGAGGGAGGGCATTCCACTGTGGAAAGGAAAGGAGTGAATATGTTGCTCAGTTTGTGACTGTATATAAGGACGACACGATCTTGTAGTTCTTACGACTGTTGCCGGTTGGATAAATAATGGTGCCTGTGTGAGTGGTGGATGTCAAACTGTCAACCATGAACCAGCTGAGAGTGTATAGGTCTAGACTAGTCTAGATAGAACATATTCATAATTCAGGCGTGTGACAGTAATGATCACCCACACCTAGTCAGATACCGTATCCAATTTGTAATCTCAATCGCGATACATTAAAAAAATTCCTTTGCACTCGCTCATTACACCGGAAATGCTGAGCGGTTAATGCAATATATTTAGCGGGGAGGTAGCCGCGTCTAACGGTGATGACCGCTCGCTCGCCATTGTTAGCTACTGCTCCAGTGAACACAACACGTCGTTTAACTTTTGGAGCCCGGGCCCGGTACAAAAACATATATCAAAACAATTTTGCTTACCTTTATTCTTCCAACCTAGGTTCAATTTCATCCCCGAGAGTGGATTAATGATAAGATTGCATATGTTGGCTGGGTTCCGGAAATAACCCCCCAAATTATGTTGAATATAGGGCTTGAATTCGCCGCCTTCCCCCACCCAGGCCAGTGGATTCCGTTTGTTTACGTTGAAAAATCACATGTACTGTGACGTCACAAGCGTAATTTGAACAGACACTGGATGATGACGTAACGAGTTTAAGAAGAAACTTTTTCATGAATATTCATAAGGATTATTCTTTTCGGCCCTTACATCCAGTTTGGTTGGGGAGGGGGGGGGGGGGGGGGGGGGGTGCTGGACAGTGGCGGATCAAGGGGAGGGGGTGAGTTTTTTTTAAAGTTTTATTTGTAGTGCTCACTACGCCCTCCCCCCGGTCAGTTGTGCAAAAACGAATTGCAAACGACCTCCCTAGAAGCAGTTGCCTAAAGGGAGGGGGTATCCAAATATTTAAAATAATATATAGGCCTGTATAAATGAACGAAACCATAATGGAAAAAAATGACAAGAAAACAGAAGAAGCGACGTGGGTGCTTTGCGGTACGTGGATTTTCCATGTTCGACATTGGGACAATCTACAACCTCACAAATTGGCAGCGAGGTTCCCGAATAGTGCGAATCAAATACTATTTTCTTTCTACTTTTAGGACGGGGAGTTACTTTCCATCAAAGACTGATATAAGATGTAGAAAAATTATTAGTTAGTCTTCTGTCGCACGATGAATGGTGGTGATATGAAGACCGATAGATTTTTTTTTTCACATAGGGACTAATGAAAGGATTTACATTCCATGCAGGTTTCAATTGGCAGTAGTATATAACAATTTGTTCATGTGTTTGTATCACTCACTTATCGGCCTAGTTTACGACAAATAATACGTTTCTTTACCGACTGAAATTCAATATTGTGCCTGTAACTCACACACAGATATCGTGCTATTATCGTCTGTTGAGAGCCAGGCGGACGTTAACCCTGTGTAAGGAAAGTAATCGCATTCTAGGTTCAAGGTTCATTTCATTTCTTTCTTTCACAACATTTTTACATATAATAATAGAACAAAAAACAGCATGAGAAAAAAAAAACAATTTAAGTGTAATTTTAAGTCGATATATAATCCAAATGAAAGAAAGTGGAGACCTTAGACAAGCTGGGCTTGTAAGAGCAAGGTCCCCCTGTAACATAATCCATCAATGTTTCACTTTTTAAAATGTTTCAAAGTTATAAAAACTACACATGATTAAATATGGGGGAAATATTTACAAAAGGGATAGCTTAAAATTTGAAAAGGAGAGGATGAAAATATATACAAAAGGATCGAGAGGAAAAAAGCAAAATGGAACGAGAAAAACAACAAAACAGAGAAAAACAGAGAAAGAAGAAAGTTATATGTATATAGGTGAAAATGGTATTTGGTGTAAAGAAAAAGAAAAATTGAAGAGAGGAGGGGGGAGGGGAGAGAGGGAGAGAGAGAATGTGAAATGCTGACATTTATATTGAATAATCAAACATAACAAAAACAAAAAGATAATGCACGTTATCAATAACAAGTAATAAATTATTACTTATTACTCATTCTATCTAACATTGGTATTAGTTATATCGATATGTGCGCTATTTAACGTTGGTAAAATTTGTATAAACATTTTGTTCTGTTTTGGGTTTATTTTTTGTGAGGGAGTATATAACAATAATAAAAAGAGGCCACATGTTAGGTTTAGTGTAATGTTGAGGTATAGTGCTTGGTGTAGTGTTATTTTGAACAGTCAGTGTAGTATATTTGTATGGCATGTGTTTGTGAGTTTGTGTCTGTGAGTTTCTCCAGGAGAAAATTATGCAGGTGCGGTGCGGTTCTAGAAGAACATTTTTCTTTGGGTGAGGGGGGGGGGGGGTTACGTTTGATTTTTTTTCAAATGTGACTCGCTTTGATTCTTATTTTATGAAGAGTTGTTGGGTTTGTCTTTGGTTTGGGTGGCATGGGGGTGGGGGGGGGGGGGGGTTGAAGACGTTCGGATGGTGAGGGTTGGAGTCCGAAAGCCCCCTCGGGTCAGGAATAAGGTATACATTTTCATTATTACTGAATACGATGACGGTAATAAAAAGGAGGCCTACAATTAAATTTTGAAAATATATTTGTCACCCTTTGGAAGGGAGCCGGAATTCGCATTTTTAGAGAAATCTTGACGTCGAAAATCTCTTAATATGCCCGCGGTACTTACGGTTCTTGATGGTATCACCATGGACCCTACCGGAACCTTGTGGCAGGGTCCATGGTATCACTAACACTACTCTATTGGTCATGTCAAGATAATCTTTAATTATTGAATGAAAAATATGGGAGGGGATGTCGTACTGGACACATTACATATAGAATCGCTCTGCAGAAGATAAATAGTTATCAACCAGGGTTGACAGAGGGAAGACGAAAATTGTGTATGATTGGGGTGAACCTTCTGATGTTTGACTCACTAGCTATTAAAGTAATCTATAAGAGAGCAGGAAAATATTTAAAAAAACAGAATGGTGACATACAGTAGGCGTGCGGGTGCACGATGTGTGTGTGTGTGTGTGTGTGTGTGAGAGAGAGAGAGAGAGAGAGAGAGAGAGAGAGGATTGAGGGGTCCTGAAAAAAGGACTCTCGGAATGGTGACAGTTTGAAAGAAATATAACCAAAATTGGTTGTTAAAGAAAGTTAAAGAGTTCTTGAAAACTTTTGTCACTATACGTCTGGGAACTTCAAAGTGGCTTAATCTGTAATGTCAGTCTAACGTAGTGCTGGACAACTTTCCTATTTGTTACAAAACATAAATGACGAAACAGTCAATTATTTTAATGTATAACTCGGAAGAGAGAAGGAACTAAGGTGAATAAGAGATATTAACGATATTTTTGTTGTACACGACAAACTAACCGAATTGCCTATCTGAAATTCGCATATAGCTTTATAGTGATCGCATATTTTAAACATTAATAACTCTCATTATTGATCCGATTCATTTCAACTGACTTTCGACACTCTGTTTATTTTATTTGTTCTGCTTTCGTACAAAAGTCAAAGTTATACAATGATCGGGGAGAAATAGGACTCCATTTGACCTCATTGACCACATTACTTTCCTGCACAACTACCTGCATCAACTCCCATTACTTTATCCAGGTCATTTAAGCTAATCAATCTATTATTTAAAAAATAGGATATTATTGATAAACACGGAAAAGGAGAAGATGCGGGGGTTACATGCCAAGAAGGTATGTGAAGATAAACATTAGTAGGTTGTGTTTCGTTTCATTATAGAACCTTATAGCTTCTATGTTCCGCTTCTACCTGATGACCAACCGCATCACGTCGTACTCCGGTAAGTTGATAACGATGAACCACGATGCACTGGCCAATAAATGAAACAATATCCATATCTTTCAAGTAATGCTAGATGTAATGTAAATAACAACATTCTTTTGAAAAGGAGTGTAAACACACGCACACACACACCATATGTATATGTCAGTCCATCAATATTTTGATGTATGATCAATGAAACGGACGTTTCACACAATTTTGAATATATTTGCTTTAATAATCAACATCAATTATTATTTCGTTATGTTTGTTTTGGACTCAATAACACCTGTATTTAGCTTGGGTTGAGCAAATACTTACAATGTTTTAAAATATTAACTTTTCAAGCCGTCCATCAATATTTTGTTAATGAACAATGTTACGAGTGCTTCACACAGTCAATGTTGAATTTGTTCGGTTAATTTAACTAAATGGGTATTAAATTGCAGTTAATTCAAAGCTAACATAAATTGTTTGCTTTCCGACATTTTTTACACGCGATTTTTTTTGGTCTAATATCGTCTCCGTGGTATGGGGTCAAGGTGTCTCTATCAATCTTGAAACAGAGAGAGAGAGAGAGAGAATAAACTTGAATAGATGGGTCACGAATAACATATACATTTTCATTAATACTGAATATGATAACAGTAATAAAAAATAGGCCTACAATTAAATATTGAAAGTATATTTGTCACCCTTTGGAAGGGAGCCGGAATTCGCATTTTTAAAAATGCTTGTCGTCCAAAGGGTGACAAATATATTTTCAATATTTAATTGTAGGCCTATTTTTTTATTACCGTCATCATGTTCAGTAAAAATAAAAATGTATATGTTATTCGTGACCCATCTATTAAAGTTTATTTTATCTCTCTTTTTCTCTCTTTCAAGATTGATAGGGACACCTGTTATAAATATTTTTGTATGATGTTATCCGTGATTTTGTATCTGAATAAAGATTTATTTAAAATTTACAAAATTAATAAATTAAACTAACACTACTCTATTGGTCATGTCAAGATAATCTTTAATTCTTGAATAAAAGAAATGGGGGGGGGGGGGGGAGATAATGTCGTACTGGATAACTTACATGGAATCGCTGTACAGAAGATAAATACACTGTCGCTCATAAAGTTGGAATATTTTTGTTTTACCCCAATTTATGGAATTATTTTAAAAACAATTACAAAATAATAGATCTAGATAATAGTATACATTCTCAGATTGTATTGAATGATGATTTGACAATGTGTGTTTTGCGTGACTGCTAAAGCATGTGTATGCTACTATGCTTATCAACTAGGGGACCTACGCCCTTAAGTCATAAATGACAAAAATGAGGATTAATGCCCCACAAAAGGGCACTAAAATAGCATATCGACACGGTTTTGATCCTGGGGCCTCACAGTTACGAGGCCATTGCTTTGTCACTGAACCATGACTGTACGCAGCGGGGGCTAGGATAGGGGGCAGTTTTCATAAATTAAATAAAACAATGAAAATGCAATAATTTTTCAATAATTTATTGCATATTGCCCCGGTTCCCAACATAAACAAAATCCTCTGTGTATCCATGCCTTGAGCCATAATGCATGGCCGTCTAGAGGATTTTTGATGTTGGGGACCGGGGTAAAACGCAATAAATTATTGAAAATTTATTGCATTTAAAAAAAAACTAGCACGCGCATGCGCATGCACGATAGGACGTCATATCATATGACAACTGTCGTCCAATGATTTTGCTCCAATCCACTAACTAATGCGCATGCGCAAGTTCAACACCATAACACCAAGACTCGGAACATCAACCTGTTATTAAATATGTCGACACTCTGTTGGTGTTGAACGGACGTGAAATTAACACCAAGGGTGTTGTTTTTTCTGTTCCGCGCTGGTGTTAGAAATTTAACACCCTGGTTTTTGCAGTGTACTTACGAATATTTTGTTAACAGGGAATCCAACCTTACTAGAAAACTATTCTATAAGAGAGCAGGAAATTATAGCAAAACAGAATGGTGACAGTTTGAAAGAAATATAACCCAAATTGGTTTTTAAAGAAAGTTATGAGTTCTTGAAACTTTCGTCACTATACGTCTGGGAACTTCAAAGTGGCTTAATTTGTAATGTCAGTCTGACGTAGTGCTGGACAACTTTCCCATTTGTTACAAAACATAAATGACGAAACAGTCAATTATTTCAATGTATGACTCGGAAGAGAGGAGGAACTAAGGTCGGGGAGAAATAGGACTCCATTTGACCTCATTGCCCACATTACTTTCCTGCAAAACTACCTGCATCAACTCCCATTACTTTATCCAGGTCATTTAAGCTAATCAATCTATCATTTAAAAAATAGGATATTATTGATAAAAGCTGGTTCAGACCGAATAATTGTTAATGATTCATTATACCACGTTAAGGTGAGACATTATCCAAATACTGTCTTCTCTGATTACCGCTATTACCGCTGTCTGTATACCAAAAGCTAAAAAAGGTGACAGGTGCTGAGAGAGAAATCGATCATTTCACGAAGTTTGTCTTTAAGGAACAACGAATAAGTAACTAAATCGCTACTTTCTTAATTCTTTAACAAAATGCTTTCTTTTATTGTTTTATAGCCTGAATGGCGTGTTGATTTTAAGAAACGAGACAATGAAAACTACTAATGCTTGGAAAATATTTGCGGTAAAATGTCATGCAAACGAAAAGCAGACAGGTGGTGAGAGAAAATCAATCCTTTTGCGAAGTTTATCTTTAGAAAATAGCAAATAAGTGACTACATCGTTACTTACTTGATTGTTACAGAAAAACACTTTCCAAGGATTCTAGCTTGAATGGCGTGTTTATTTAAAAGAAACGAGACGAAGAAAACTACTAATGCTTGGAAAATATTTGCGGCAAAATGTCAAGCAAAGAAAAAGCGGACAGATGGTGAGGGAAAATCAATCCTTTAGCGAAGTTTATCGTTCACGAATAGCGAATAAGTAACTACATCTTTAATTTCCTTGATTCTTTTAACGAAACGGTTGCTCAAACTTTTAGCTTGAATGGCGTGTTGGTTTAAAAGAAACGAGACAAGGAAAACTATGAATATTTGGTAAATATTTGCGGGAAAGTGCATGCAAACGAAATAATATTTGATTGCTTGAAAGTAAACTTAGTTGTACATGAGCATGGTGCGGCTAAATTATTATATAAGTGGAGGCGAGGAACGTGTGATCAAGGCATTGTGTCTTGTTAGCTGAAACTGACAACAACATGTGGACTGCACAACCAGTCTTCTGGACCTCCGTCCTCGTGACTTTAGGTGTGGCTCTGTTCCAGATCTCCGATGCACAACTCGGTAAGTCCTTCACATATTCATACCTCAATCAATCATACCACCAAACCGACTCCACGCAGACCCAAAACCGAGGCCTTTATAATTATCTCAATATTTTAAAGACATACATGCAAATGATATTGCCCGAGCAGAACCCGTTGAGTTTTTTCTTTTCCCTTTTTTGTAATCTTCATAATATCACTTTAATGTCTCTTTCTTGAATCAATGTATCTTTTGATTTAATATTACGGTACTGGTGGAGGCCATTCGGAAGACGTGAAGCGGTTCATAGCTCAAACTCAAGAACATTTAAGAAAAGAAGAGGTCATCTCCAAACAATTGGCAAATAATATATATTTTCATATATATATATATATAGCGAACAATGTATTTCTTAGAATATCTATAAATAAATTAAAAAAACGAAATAAAAATTAGCTGACTGCGTTCATGGAATCAAGGAAAACCAATGCAAAGCCCATTTGGAAAATAAAAATAAAATAAAATAATTACTCTCTAATGATAAGGATATTTTGTTCTTCTTTAGAATTGAAGATTAGCTTGAATTGACATTTTTTTCATGAAAAAAGATGAAATAAATCTGAATTTGAGCCTCCTTCAAACATATGCACCTCCCATTACAGAAGTTCGACTAGTGAATGGTGGAAACCATTTAGAAGGTCGTGTAGAGGTTCTAAGTAACGGAGTATGGGGAACTGTTTGTGACGACTCCTTCGATGATAACGACGCCCAGGTGTTCTGTCGTATGTTGGGACTGCAAGGAGGAGTGGCCCACTCATACGCAACCTTCGGCCAAGGAAGTGGTCAAATTTTGCTTGATGACTTGTATTGTACAGGATCTGAGGATAACATCGCAGACTGTATAAGTAGGGGTCTTGGAAGTCATAACTGCGGACACCATGAAGATGCTGGGGTTACATGCGAAGAAGGTATGTCAAGATAAACATCGGTAGATTGCATTTCGTTTCATGATAGAACCTTATAGACCTTATGTTCTGTCTCTGCCTAATGACCAACTACATTAAAAAATCTCCATATCTTTCAAGTAATGCTAGATGTAATTTAAATAACAACATTTTTTGAAAAGGAGTGTAAACACACGCATACACACGCATACTCCATATATATATTTAAAAGTATGTGAGAGGGTGCGTGAATGTGGATGTGTGTATACAATGACACGGCAATTAAAGAATAAGTGTATGAATTCTTATCTGACAGGTGTTTTGTTTGGTAGGTAAATATGTATCGACAATATAATATCTAACGTCTACAACTAAAAAACCTGGTAAAGTGATTATCAAACTTCCTTGCTTTTCTCTTCTACACAAACTAACGTCTTTTCTCTCGTTTATTTAGTTTGGCATTATCTACAAGACCACTTTTGAAATGGTTAAATAAAAGTCTTAGTGGAAATTTGGAATATATATAGATATATATTTATTTGTGAGTATTTGTAATGTTGTCTTTTTTGTATTTGTGCGAAGGTGTATATAATGAAACCAATATTGATTCAGAAGAAGAAAAGCTTCATGCTTTGTTATCCAACTGTATTCTGGGGGTCACTCAGAAACTGATGATGATATACAAGTAACAGCGTGGTCAAGTGATTATCAAACTTCTCTTGTATATTTGTTATTCATCATCTTAGTATGCCAACTTAATAAACTGAATACAATATATATTAACAAACAAATCTCTCCCATTTTTCTCTAACAGATTACAACAGTGAATATTAATATGATTATTCATCATATCATCATCGATATTTGGAAAGAAAATATAAAAACTGAATTTAACCACCTTCCCTAAAAACATAAAAGTATATAAACACACAATATACGCAAACAGATGCTTGTTTGTGTGTACTTACGTATATATTTATGCGTTATATATACACGGCAAAATATATATTACCGATACTAATCTATAATTTTTTTCTTTATTCGATCATATTCATTAAGCGTCTTTTCGACATGATTATCATGCTTCTCTTGTTTAATTTTCGCGTCATCCTCTTCGAATAGCAACATAATGGGCTTACTAAGGTAGATATGTTTTACGTATCTCCACTGTTTTTCTCTTCTAGAATACTCCAGTGACTATTCGTATGAATATTCATCATTCAACGGTAAGTTGATTATGCCATGAGAGTGCACTGGTTATATCATCCACATAGATGATATTTGCACGAGACTCTCATTGAAATTTGGAAGAAAAGCACATAAATTCACTAAACCACCTTCCCTGAAAACACGTAATGTGTTCATAACGTTTAGCAAACCGGACGTTCAAACGTTAACAGGGTCTTCTAAAGGGTCCATGACATCGAAATACAATTGTATTTCTGTTGGTGTGCAGTCCTGCATACATCTCATATTTTGATATGTAAACTTCTGAATTGGTTTCATAGATTTTTGAATATATTTTTAAATATTTGTTTTTCAAACTAAGCTCCACCCCAAAACCTCCAGATCTCATTCCCCTTGTGACATCATCTGTCAGTCATCAATGAGCTAACTTGAGAAAGTGGTATGTATCATTGCCGAAGTCGAGCACCTGTTACAATACGTAATACAATAGCTACATACAAGTTACTATGTCAGACATGCTGTAGCATCACCAGGAAGACAAAGCACAAAGGCAATGATGATGTATTGTACATATGTATGGAAGTATGCAATTCTGTTATGAACGTGTGCTAAGCTGGGTGAATTTACATACCATTGTCTATTCTAGAATATTAGTTTAGTCTGACATGTCTGACATAGCAACTTATATGTTGCTATTGTTTGTGGTATTGTAACAGGTGGTCAACTTTGGCAAAGTTCCATGCCACTTTCTTCCTTTGCATATTTTGGATATATCATCTTAAAATGCCAACTTAACCCTAATAAGGCCGGGGAGCCATTATGCCCCCCCCCCCCACGATTTATTTTGATTGTTCGAGAACGCATATAGATGGCGCCCCGCCGCTGGCTAACTTTTTTTCTTGCGCGACTTTAAACAAAAAATGAAAATCGGACTTACAGTTACAAGGTCACGTTACTTTTTGTCTTTGCATGTCAGCCAAAATATCGCTCATTTTTGTGATTTGTGTACAAAACATATGGAAATGTCATTTTCCTAAAAATAGATCAAACATTACTTTTGGGGTCTTGTTTAAAGTTTAGGTGTTTTTTTTTTTGGGGGGGGGGGTGGTCAAAATAGTTGAATTGTAGTAAGAAATAAAATAAAACAACAAAATAAACAAAATAACAAAGTTAAAAAACAATGAAATACATAAGAAATTATTAAAATAAGAGATAATATAAGGAATAAGCTGGCTCTTCCTTATTTTTAACCAATAGTAATCTATTATTAGTAGTAGTATTATTCGATCATATTCATTGAGCGTCTTTCCCAAGTGATTATCATGCTTCTCTTGTTAAATTTTTGCGTCATTATCTTATCAAAGCAACATAATGGGCTTAATAAAGGGATAATAATAATAATAATATTAATTTTTTTAATTTTAATTATTAATTTTTTAATTTTTAATTTGTATATAGGTAAATATGTATTATATATCTTTACTGTTTTTATCTTCTTAGACTACCCCAGTGAATATTGGTCTGAATATTCATCTTTCAGCTGTAAGTTTATTATGCCATGAGATTGCACTGGTTATATTATTAACAAAGATGACACATGCACGTGATTTGTGTACATTGTCATGTACAAAGTTTGGCATTACTACAAGACTACACTACAAATGGTAGATGTTAGTCTTAGGGAAAAGTTGGTATATATATTATATTGCATGTGGATTTTGTCAAGTGGTTATCAAACTTTCTTTGCATATTTTGGATATATCATCTTAAAATGCCAACTTAACCCTAATAAGGCCGGGGAGCCATTATGCCCCCCCCCCCCCACGATGATTTGTATTGTTCGGGAACGCATAAGGATGGCGCCCCGCCGCTCCCAGACATTTTTCTTTCGAGTCTTGCGCAACTTTAAAAAAAAATAATGAAAATCAGACCTACAGTTACAAGGTCAAGTGACCTTTTGTCTTTGCATATCAGCCCGAAAATCGCTCATTTTTGTGATTGGTGTACAAAACATACGGAAATGTCATTTTTTTGGTAAAAATAGATCAAACATTACTTATTGGGTCTTGTTAAAAGTTAAGGTGGTTATTTGGGGGGTCAAAATAGTTGAATTGTAATAAGAAATGAAATAAAACAACAAAATAAATGAAATAAATAAGTTAAAAAACAATGAAATACATAAGAAATTATCAAATCAATTAATAACATAAGGAATAAGCTGGCTCTTTCTCATTTTTAACCAATAGTAATCTATTATTAGTAGTAGTATTATTCGATCATATTCATTGAGCGTCTTTCCCCAGTGATTATCATGCTTCTCTTGTTTAATTTTTACGTCATTATCTTATCAAAGCAACATAATGGGCTTAATAAGGTAAATATTTTATTTTATATCTTTACTGTTTTTCTCTTCTTAGACTATCCCAGTGAATATTGGTCTGATTATTCATCGTTCAGCGGTAAGTTAATTATGCCATGAGATTGCACTGGTTATATTATTAACGAAGATGACACATACACGTGATTTGTGTACATTGTCATGTACAAAGTTTGGCATTACCACAAGACTACACTAAAAATGGTAGATGTTAGCTTTAGGGAAAAGTAGGTATATATATTGTATTGCGTGTGTATTTTGTCAAGTGGTTATCAACTTCCTTTGCATATTTTGGATATTTCATCTTAAAATGCCAACTTAACCCTATTAAGGCCGGGGAGCCATTATGCCCTACCCCCCCCCCCCCTCCATGACTTTGTTTTGTTGTTCGGGAACGCATAAGGATGGCGCCCCGCCGTTTGCTGACTTTTTTCTTTCGAGTCTTGCGCAACTTTAAAAAAAAAATGAAAATCGGACCTACATTACAAGGTCACGTGACCTTATGTTTTTGCATGTCAGCCCGAAAATCGCTCATTTTTGTGATTTATTTACAAAACATATGGAAATTCATTTTTCCTAAAAATAGATCAAACATTACTTATTGGGTCTTGTTTAAAGTTTGAATGTTTTTTGATTGTTTCGGGGGTGGGGGATGGGGGGGGGGGTCAAATTAGTTGAATTGTAGTAAGAAATGAAATAAAACAACAAAATAAATTAAATAAATAAGTTAAAAAACAATGAAATACATAAGAAATTATCAAATCAATAAATAATATAAGGAATAAGCTGGCTCTTTATCATTTTTAACCAATAGTAATCTATTATTAGTAGTAGTATTATTCGATCATATTCATTGAGCGTCTTTCCCCAGTGATTATCATGATTCTCTTGTTTAATTTTTACGTCATTATCTTATCAAAGCAACATAATGGGATTAATAAGGTAAATATATATAATATATCTTTACTGTTTTTCTCTTCTTAGACTACCCCAGTGAATATTGGTCTGATTATTCATCGTTCAGCGGTAAGTTAATTATGCCATGAGATTGCACTTGTTATATTTTAAACAAAGATGACACATGCACGTCATTTGTGTACATTGTCATGTACAAAGTTTGGCATTACTACAAGACTACACTACAAATGGTAGATGTTAGTCTTAGGGAAAAGTTGGTATATATATTATATTGCATGTTGATTTTGTCAAGTGGTTATTAAACTTCTTTTGCATATTTTGAGCGATTTTCGGGCTGATATGCAAAGACAAAACTTTAAACAAAAAATGAAAATCGGACTTACAGTACAAGGTCACGTGACCTTATGTCTTTGCATTTCAGCCCGAAAATCGCTCATTTTTGTGATTTTTTAACAAAACATATGGAAATTCATTTTTCCTAAAAATAGATCAAACATTACTTATTGGGTCTTGTTTAAAGTTTGAATGTTTTTTGTTTGTTTCGGGGGTGGGGGAAGGGGGGGGGGGTCAAATTAGTTGAAGTGTAGTAAGAAATGAAATAAAACAACAAAATAAATAAAATAAATGAGTTAAAAAACAATGAAATACATAAGAAATTATCAAATCAATAAATAACATAAGGAATAAGCTGGCTCTTTCTCATTTTTAACCAATAGTAATCTATTATTAGTAGTAGTATTATTCGATCATATTCATTGAGCGTCTTTCCCCAGTGATTATCATGCTTCTCTTGTTTAGTTTTTACGTCATTATCTTATCAAAGCAACATAATGGGCTTAATAAGGTAAATATGTATTATATATCTTTACTGTTTTTCTCTTCTTAGACTATCCCAGTGAATATTGGTCTGATTATTCATCGTTCAGCGGTAAGTTAATTATGCCATGAGATTGCACTGGTTATATTATAAACAAAGATGAAACATGCACGTCATTTGTGTACATTGTCATGTACAAAGTTTGGCATTACCACAAGACTACACTACAAATGGTAGATGTTAGTCTTAGGGAAAAGTTGGTTTATATATTATATTGCATGTGGATTTTGTCAAGTGGTTATTAAACTTCTTTAGCATATTTTGGAGCGATTTTTGGGCTGATATGCAAAGAAAAAACTTTAAACAAAAAACGAAAATCGGACCCACAGTACAAGGTCACGTGACCTTTTGTCTTTGCATATCAGCCCGAAAATCGCTCATTTTTCGTGATTTTTTAACAAAACATATGGAAATTCATTTTTCCTAAAAATAGATGAAACATTACTTATTGGGTCTTGTTTAAAGTTTAGATGGTTATTTGGGGGTCAAAATAGTTGAATTGTAGTAAGAAATAAAATAAAACAACAAAATAAATATAATAAATAAGTTAAAAAACAATGAAATAAATTAGAAATTATCAGAACAATGGATAACATAAGGAATAAGCTGGCTCTTCCTAATTTTTAACTAATAGTAATCTATTATTAGTAGTAGTATTATTCGATCATATTCATTGAGCTTCTTTCCCTAGTGATTATCATGCTTTTCTTGTTTAATGTTTATGTCATTATCTTATCAAAGAAACATAATGGGCTTAATAAGGTAAATATGTATTATATATCTTTACTGTTTTTCTCTTCTTAGACTACCCCAGTGAATATTGGTCTGAATATTCATCTTTCAGCTGTAAGTTTATTATGCCATGAGATTGCACTGGTTATATTATTAACAAAGATGACACATGCACTTGATTTGTGTACATTGGCATGTACAAAGTTTGGCATTACCACAAGACTACACTACAAATGGTAGTTGTTAGTCTTAGGGAAAAATAGGTATATATATATTATATTGCGTGTGGATTTTGTCAAGTGGTTATCAACTTCCTTTGCATATTTTTGATATTTCATCTTAAAATGCCAACTTAACGCTATTAAGGCCGGGGAGCCATTTTGCCTTACCCCCCCCCCCCCCCTCCATGACTTTGTTTTGATTGTTCGGGAACGCATAAGGATGGCGCCCCGCCGTTTGCTGACTTTTTTCTTTCGAGTCTTGCGCAACTTTAAAAAAAAAAATGAAAATCGGACCTACAAGACAAGGTGACGTGACCTTATGTTTTTGCTTGTCAGCCCGAAAATTGCTCATTTTTGTGATTTGTTTACGAAACATATGGAAATTCATTTTTCCTAAAAATAGATCAAACATTACTTATTGGGTCTTGTTTAAAGTTTGAATGTTTTTTGTTTGTTTCGGGGGTGGGGGATGGGGGGGGGGGGGTCAAATTAGTTGAATTGTAGTAAGAAATGAAATAAAACAACAAAATAAATAAAATAAATAAGTTAAAAAACAATGAAATACATAATAAATTATCAAATCAATAAATAACATAAGGAATAAGCTGGCTCTTTCTCATTTTTAACCAATAGTAATCTATTATTAGTAGTAGTATTATTCGATCATATTCATTGAGCGTCTTTCCCCAGTGATTATCATGCTTCTCTTGTTTAGTTTTTACGTCATTATCTTATCAAAGCAACATAATGGGCTTAATAAGGTAAATATGTATTATATATCTTTACTGTTTTTCTCTTTTTAGACTACCCCAGTGAATATTGGTCTGATTATTCATCGTTCAGCGGTAAGTTAATTATGCCATGAAATTGCACTGGTTATATTATTAAAAAAGATGACACATGCACGTGATTTGTGTACATTGTCATGTACAAAATTTGGCATTACCACAAGACTACACTAAAAATGGTAGATGTTAGTTTTAGGGAAAAGTAGGTATATATATTATATTGCGTGTGTATTTTGTCAAGTGGTTATCAACTTCCTTTGCATATTTTGGATATTTCATCTTAAAATGCCAACTTAACCCTATTAAGGCCGGGGAGCCTTTATGCCCCCCAGCCCCCCCCCCTCCACTATTTTTGTTTGATTGTTCGAGAACGCATATGGATGGCGCCCCGCCGTTTGCTGACTTTTTTCTTTCGAGTCTTGCGCAACTTTAAAAAAAAAAATGAAAATCGGACCTACATTACAAGGTCACGTGACCTTACGTTTTTGCATGTCAGCCCGAAAATCGCTCATTTTTGTGATTTGTTTACAAAACATATGGAAATTCTTTTTTCCTAAAAATAGATCAAACATTACTTATTGGGTCTTGTTTAAAGTTTGAATGTTTTTTGTTTGTTTCGGGGGTGGGGATTGGGGGGGGGGGTCAAATTAGTTGAGTTGTAGTAAGAAATGAAATAAAACAACAAAATAAATAAAATAAATAAGTTAAAAAAAAATGGAATACATAAGAAATTATCAAATCAATAAATAACATAAAGAATAAGCTGGCTCTTTCTCATTTTTAACCAATAGTAATTTATTATTAGTAGTAGTATTATTCGATCATATTCATTGAGCGTCTTTCCCAGTGATTATCATGCTTCTCTTGTTTAATTTTTACGTCATTATCTTATCAAAGCAACATAATGGGATTAATAAGGTAAATATATATAATATATCTTTACTGTTTTTCTCTTCTTAGACTACCCCAGTGAATATTGGTCTGATTATTCATCGTTCAGCGGTAAGTTAATTATGCCATGAGATTGCACTGGTTATATTATAAACAAAGATGACACATGCACGTCATTTGTGTACATTGTCATGTACAAAGTTTGGCATAACCACAAGACTACACTACAAATGGTAGATTTTAGTCTTAGGGAAAAGTTGGTTTATATATTATATTGCATGTGGACTTTGTCAAGTGGTTATCAAACTTCCTTTGAATATTTTGGAGCGATTTTCGGGCTGATATGCAAAGACAAAACTTAAAAAAAAGAAATGAAAATCGGACCTACAGTACAAGGTCACGTGACCTTATGTCTTTGCATTTCAGCCCGAAAATCGCTCATTTTTGTGATTTGTTTACAAAACATATGGAAATTCATTTTCCTTAAAATAGATCCAACATTACTTATTCGGTCTTGTTTAAAGTTTGAATGTTTTTTGTTTTTTCGGGGGTTGGGGATGGGGATGGGGGGTCAAAATAGTTGAATTGTAGTAAGAAATGAAATAAAATAACAAAATAAATAAGTTAAAAAACAATGAAATAAATTAAAAATTATCAAAACAATAGATAACATAAGGAATAAGCTGGCTCTTTCTCATTTTTAACCAATAGTAATCTATTATTAGTAGTAGTATTATTCGATCATATTCATTGAGCGTCTTTCCCCAGTGATTATCATGCTTCATTTGTTTAATGTTTATGTCATTATCTTATCAAAGAAACATAATGGGCTTAATAAGGTAAATATGTATTATATATCTTTACTGTTTTTCTCTTCTTAGACTACCCCAGTGAATATTGGTCTGAATATTCATCGTTCAGCTGTAAGTTAATTATGCCATGAGATTGCACTGGTTATATTATTAACAAAGATGACGCATGCACTTGATTTGTGTACATTGTCATGTACAAAGTATGGAATTACTACAAGACTACACTACAAATGGTAGATGTTAGTCTTAGGGAAAAGTTGGTTTATATATTATATTGCATGTAGATTTTGTCAAGTGGTTATCAAACTTCCTTTGCATATTTTGGAGCGATTTTCGGGCTGATATGCAAAGACAAAACTTTGAAGAAAAAAAAAATGAAAATCGGACCTACAGTAAAAGTCACGTGACCTTATGTCTTTGCATATCAGCCCGAAAATCGCTAATTTTTGTGATTTTTTAACAAAACATATGGAAATTAATTTTTCCTACAAATAGATGAAACATTATTTATTGGGTCTTGTTTAAAGTTTAGATGGTTATTTGGGGGTCAAAATAGTTGAATTGTATTAAGAAATGAAATAAAACAACAAAATAAATAAAATAAATGAGTTAAAAAACAATGAAATAAATTAGAAATTATTAAAACAATAGATAACATAAGGAATAAGCTGGCTATTCCTAATTTTTAACCACTAGTATTCTATTATTAGTAGTAGTATTATTCGATCATATTCATCGAGCGTCTTTCCCCAGTGATTATCATGCTTCTCTTGTTTAATTTTACGTCATTATCTTATCAAAGAAACATAATGGGCTTAATAAGGTAAACATGTATTATATATCTTTACTGTTTTACTCTTCTTAGACTACCCCAGTGAATATTGGTCTGAATATTCATCGTTCAGCGGTAAGTTAATTATGCCATGAGATGGCACTGGTTATATCATTAACAAAGATGACACATGCACGTGATTTGTGTACATTGTCATGTACAAAGTTTGGAATTACTACAAGACTACACTACAAATGGTATATGTTAGTCTTAGGGAAAAGTTGGTTTATATATTATATTGCATGTGGATTTTGTCAAGTGGTTATCAAACTTCCTTTGCATATTTTGGAGCGATTTTCGGGCTGATATGCAAAGACAAAACTTTAAAGAAAAAAAAGTGAAAATCGGACCTACAGTACAAGGTCACGTGACCTTATGTCTTTGCCTGTCAGCCCGAAAATCGTTCATTTTTGTGATTTGTTTACAAAACATATGGAAATTCATTTTTCCTAAAAATAGATCAAACATTACTTATTCGGTCTTGTTTTAAGTTTAGATGGTTATTTGGGGGTCAAAATAGTTGATTTGTAGTAAGAAATGAAATAAAAGAACAAAATAAATGAAATAAATAAGTTAAAAACCAATGAAATACATTAGAAATTGTCAAAATAATGGATAACATGAGGAATAAGCTGGCTCTTCCTAATTTTTAACCATTAGTAATCTGTTATTAGTAGTAGTATTATTCGATCATATTCATTGAGCGTCTTTCCCTAGTGATTATCATGCTTTTCTTGTTTAATGTTTATGTCATTATCTTATCAAAGAAACATAATGGGCTTAATAAGGTAAATATGTATTATATATCTTTACTGTTTTTCTCTTTTTAGACTACCCCAGTGAATATTGGTCTGATTATTCATCGTTCAGCGGTAAGTTAATTATGCCATGAAATTGCACTGGTTATATTATTAACAAAGATGACACATGCACGTGATTTGTGTACATTGTCATGTACAAAATTTGGCATTACCACAAGACTACACTAAAAATGGTAGATGTTAGTTTTAGGGAAAAGTAGGTATATATATTATATTGCGTGTGTATTTTGTCAAGTGGTTATCAACTTCCTTTGCATATTTTGGATATTTCATCTTAAAATGCCAACTTAACCCTATTAAGGCCGGGGAGCCTTTATGCCCCCCAGCCCCCCCCCCCCTCCACTATTTTTGTTTGATTGTTCGAGAACGCATATGGATGGCGCCCCGCCGTTTGCTGACTTTTTTCTTTCGAGTCTTGCGCAACTTTAAAAAAAAAATGAAAATCGGACCTACATTACAAGGTCACGTGACCTTACGTTTTTGCATGTCAGCCCGAAAATCGCTCATTTTTGTGATTTGTTTACAAAACATATGGAAATTCTTTTTTCCTAAAAATAGATCAAACATTACTTATTGGGTCTTGTTTAAAGTTTGAATGTTTTTCGTTTGTTTCGGGGGTGGGGATTGGGGGGGGGGGGGTCAAATTAGTTGAGTTGTAGTAAGAAATGAAATAAAACAACAAAATAAATAAAATAAATAAGTTTTAAAAAAATGGAATACATAAGAAATTATCAAATCAATAAATAACATAAAGAATAAGCTGGCTCTTTCTCATTTTTAACCAATAGTAATTTATTATTAGTAGTAGTATTATTCGATCATATTCATTGAGCGTCTTTCCCCAGTGATTATCATGCTTCTCTTGTTTAATTTTTACGTCATTATCTTATCAAAGAAACATAATGGGCTTAATAAGGTAAACATGTATTATATATCTTTACTGTTTTACTCTTCTTAGACTACCCCAGTGAATATTGGTCTGAATATTCATCGTTCAGCGGTAAGTTAATTATGCCATGAGATGGCACTGGTTATATCATTAACAAAGATGACACATGCACGTGATTTGTGTACATTGTCATGTACAAAGTTTGGAATTACTACAAGACTACACTACAAATGGTAGATGTTAGTCTTAGGGAAAAGTTGGTTTATATATTATATTGCATGTGGACTTTGTCAAGTGGTTATCAAACTTCCTTTGCATATTTTGGAGCGATTTTCGGGCTGATATGCAAAGAAAAAACTTTTTTTTTAAATATGAAAATCGGACCTACAGTACAAGGTCACGTGACCTTATGTCTTTGCCTGTCAGCCCGAAAATCGTTCATTTTTGTGATTTGTTTACAAAACATATGGAAATTCATTTTTCCTAAAAATAGATCAAACATTACTTATTCGGTCTTGTTTAAAGTTTAGATGGTTATTTGGGGGTCAAAATAGTTGATTTGTAGTAAGAAATGAAATAAAAGAACAAAATAAATGAAATAAATAAGTTAAAAACCAATGAAATACATTAGAAATTGTCAAAACAATGGATAACATAAGGAATAAGCTGGCTCTTCCTAATTTTTAACCATTAGTAATCTGTTATTAGTAGTAGTATTATTCGATCATATTCATTGAGCGTCTTTCCCTAGTGATTATCATGCTTTTCTTGTTTAATGTTTATGTCATTATCTTATCAAAGAAACATAATGGGCTTAATAAGGTAAATATGTATTATATATCTTTACTGTTTTTCTCTTTTTAGACTACCCCAGTGAATATTGGTCTGATTATTCATCGTTCAGCGGTAAGTTAATTATGCCATGAAATTGCACTGGTTATATTATTAACAAAGATGACACATGCACGTGATTTGTGTACATTGTCATGTACAAAATTTGGCATTACCACAAGACTACACTAAAAATGGTAGATGTTAGTTTTAGGGAAAAGTAGGTATATATATTATATTGCGTGTGTATTTTGTCAAGTGGTTATCAACTTCCTTTGCATATTTTGGATATTTCATCTTAAAATGCCAACTTAACCCTATTAAGGCCGGGGAGCCTTTATGCCCCCCAGCCCCCCCCCCCTCCACTATTTTTGTTTGATTGTTCGAGAACGCATATGGATGGCGCCCCGCCGTTTGCTGACTTTTTTCTTTCGAGTCTTGCGCAACTTTAAAAAAAAAATGAAAATCGGACCTACATTACAAGGTCACGTGACCTTACGTTTTTGCATGTCAGCCCGAAAATCGCTCATTTTTGTGATTTGTTTACAAAACATATGGAAATTCTTTTTTCCTAAAAATAGATCAAACATTACTTATTGGGTCTTGTTTAAAGTTTGAATGTTTTTCGTTTGTTTCGGGGGTGGGGATTGGGGGGGGGGGTCAAATTAGTTGAGTTGTAGTAAGAAATGAAATAAAACAACAAAATAAATAAAATAAATAAGTTTTCAAAAAATGGAATACATAAGAAATTATCAAATCAATAAATAACATAAAGAATAAGCTGGCTCTTTCTCATTTTTAACCAATAGTAATTTATTATTAGTAGTAGTATTATTCGATCATATTCATTGAGCGTCTTTCCCCAGTGATTATCATGCTTCTCTTGTTTAATTTTTACGTCATTATCTTATCAAAGAAACATAATGGGCTTAATAAGGTAAACATGTATTATATATCTTTACTGTTTTACTCTTCTTAGACTACCCCAGTGAATATTGGTCTGAATATTCATCGTTCAGCGGTAAGTTAATTATGCCATGAGATGGCACTGGTTATATCATTAACAAAGATGACACATGCACGTGATTTGTGTACATTGTCATGTACAAAGTTTGGAATTACTACAAGACTACACTACAAATGGTAGATGTTAGTCTTAGGGAAAAGTTGGTTTATATATTATATTGCATGTGGATTTTGTCAAGTGGTTATCAAACTTCCTTTGCATATTTTGGAGCGATTTTCGGGCTGATATGCAAAGAAAAAACTTTTTTTTTTAAATATGAAAATCGGACCTACAGTACAAGGTCACGTGACCTTATGTCTTTGCCTGTCAGCCCGAAAATCGTTCATTTTTGTGATTTGTTTACAAAACATATGGAAATTCATTTTTCCTAAAAATAGATCAAACATTACTTATTCGGTCTTGTTTTAAGTTTAGATGGTTATTTGGGGGTCAAAATAGTTGATTTGTAGTAAGAAATGAAATAAAAGAACAAAATAAATGAAATAAATAAGTTAAAAACCAATGAAATACATTAGAAATTGTCAAAATAATGGATAACATGAGGAATAAGCTGGCTCTTCCTAATTTTTAACCATTAGTAATCTGTTATTAGTAGTAGTATTATTCGATCATATTCATTGAGCGTCTTTCCCTAGTGATTATCATGCTTTTCTTGTTTAATGTTTATGTCATTATCTTATCAAAGAAACATAATGGGCTTAATAAGGTAAATATGTATTATATATCTTTACTGTTTTTCTCTTTTTAGACTACCCCAGTGAATATTGGTCTGATTATTCATCGTTCAGCGGTAAGTTAATTATGCCATGAAATTGCACTGGTTATATTATTAACAAAGATGACACATGCACGTGATTTGTGTACATTGTCATGTACAAAATTTGGCATTACCACAAGACTACACTAAAAATGGTAGATGTTAGTTTTAGGGAAAAGTAGGTATATATATTATATTGCGTGTGTATTTTGTCAAGTGGTTATCAACTTCCTTTGCATATTTTGGATATTTCATCTTAAAATGCCAACTTAACCCTATTAAGGCCGGGGAGCCTTTATGCCCCCCAGCCCCCCCCCTCCACTATTTTTGTTTGATTGTTCGAGAACGCATATGGATGGCGCCCCGCCGTTTGCTGACTTTTTTCTTTCGAGTCTTGCGCAACTTTAAAAAAAAAATGAAAATCGGACCTACATTACAAGGTCACGTGACCTTACGTTTTTGCATGTCAGCCCGAAAATCGCTCATTTTTGTGATTTGTTTACAAAACATATGGAAATTCTTTTTTCCTAAAAATAGATCAAACATTACTTATTGGGTCTTGTTTAAAGTTTGAATGTTTTTCGTTTGTTTCGGGGGTGGGGATTGGGGGGGGGGGGTCAAATTAGTTGAGTTGTAGTAAGAAATGAAATAAAACAACAAAATAAATAAAATAAATAAGTTTTAAAAAAATGGAATACATAAGAAATTATCAAATCAATAAATAACATAAAGAATAAGCTGGCTCTTTCTCATTTTTAACCAATAGTAATTTATTATTAGTAGTAGTATTATTCGATCATATTCATTGAGCGTCTTTCCCCAGTGATTATCATGCTTCTCTTGTTTAATTTTTACGTCATTATCTTATCAAAGAAACATAATGGGCTTAATAAGGTAAACATGTATTATATATCTTTACTGTTTTACTCTTCTTAGACTACCCCAGTGAATATTGGTCTGAATATTCATCGTTCAGCGGTAAGTTAATTATGCCATGAGATGGCACTGGTTATATCATTAACAAAGATGACACATGCACGTGATTTGTGTACATTGTCATGTACAAAGTTTGGAATTACTACAAGACTACACTACAAATGGTAGATGTTAGTCTTAGGGAAAAGTTGGTTTATATATTATATTGCATGTGGATTTTGTCAAGTGGTTATCAAACTTCCTTTGCATATTTTGGAGCGATTTTCGGGCTGATATGCAAAGAAAAAACTTTTTTTTTTAAATATGAAAATCGGACCTACAGTACAAGGTCACGTGACCTTATGTCTTTGCCTGTCAGCCCGAAAATCGTTCATTTTTGTGATTTGTTTACAAAACATATGGAAATTCATTTTTCCTAAAAATAGATCAAACATTACTTATTCGGTCTTGTTTAAAGTTTAGATGGTTATTTGGGGGTCAAAATAGTTGATTTGTAGTAAGAAATGAAATAAAAGAACAAAATAAATGAAATAAATGAGTTAAAAACCAATGAAATACATTAGAAATTGTCAAAATAATGGATAACATGAGGAATAAGCTGGCTCTTCCTAATTTTTAACCATTAGTAATCTGTTATTAGTAGTAGTATTATTCGATCATATTCATTGAGCGTCTTTCCCTAGTGATTATCATGCTTTTCTTGTTTAATGTTTATGTCATTATCTTATCAAAGAAACATAATGGGCTTAATAAGGTAAATATGTATTATATATCTTTACTGTTTTTCTCTTTTTAGACTACCCCAGTGAATATTGGTCTGATTATTCATCGTTCAGCGGTAAGTTAATTATGCCATGAAATTGCACTGGTTATATTATTAACAAAGATGACACATGCACGTGATTTGTGTACATTGTCATGTACAAAATTTGGCATTACCACAAGACTACACTAAAAATGGTAGATGTTAGTTTTAGGGAAAAGTAGGTATATATATTATATTGCGTGTGTATTTTGTCAAGTGGTTATCAACTTCCTTTGCATATTTTGGATATTTCATCTTAAAATGCCAACTTAACCCTATTAAGGCCGGGGAGCCTTTATGCCCCCCAGCCCCCCCCCCTCTACTATTTTTGTTTGATTGTTCGAGAACGCATATGGATGGCGCCCCGCCGTTTGCTGACTTTTTTCTTTCGAGTCTTGCGCAACTTTAAAAAAAAAATGAAAATCGGACCTACATTACAAGGTCACGTGACCTTACGTTTTTGCATGTCAGCCCGAAAATCGCTCATTTTTGTGATTTGTTTACAAAACATATGGAAATTCTTTTTTCCTAAAAATAGATCAAACATTACTTATTGGGTCTTGTTTAAAGTTTGAATGTTTTTCGTTTGTTTCGGGGGTGGGGATTGGGGGGGGGGGGGTCAAATTAGTTGAGTTGTAGTAAGAAATGAAATAAAACAACAAAATAAATAAAATAAATAAGTTTTCAAAAAATGGAATACATAAGAAATTATCAAATCAATAAATAACATAAAGAATAAGCTGGCTCTTTCTCATTTTTAACCAATAGTAATTTATTATTAGTAGTAGTATTATTCGATCATATTCATTGAGCGTCTTTCCCCAGTGATTATCATGCTTCTCTTGTTTAATTTTTACGTCATTATCTTATCAAAGAAACATAATGGGCTTAATAAGGTAAACATGTATTATATATCTTTACTGTTTTACTCTTCTTAGACTACCCCAGTGAATATTGGTCTGAATATTCATCGTTCAGCGGTAAGTTAATTATGCCATGAGATGGCACTGGTTATATCATTAACAAAGATGACACATGCACGTGATTTGTGTACATTGTCATGTACAAAGTTTGGAATTACTACAAGACTACACTACAAATGGTAGATGTTAGTCTTAGGGAAAAGTTGGTTTATATATTATATTGCATGTGGATTTTGTCAAGTGGTTATCAAACTTCCTTTGCATATTTTGGAGCGATTTTCGGGCTGATATGCAAAGAAAAAACTTTTTTTTTTAAATATGAAAATCGGACCTACAGTACAAGGTCACGTGACCTTATGTCTTTGCCTGTCAGCCCGAAAATCGTTCATTTTTGTGATTTGTTTACAAAACATATGGAAATTCATTTTTCCTAAAAATAGATCAAACATTACTTATTCGGTCTTGTTTAAAGTTTAGATGGTTATTTGGGGGTCAAAATAGTTGATTTGTAGTAAGAAATGAAATAAAAGAACAAAATAAATGAAATAAATAAGTTAAAAACCAATGAAATACATTAGAAATTGTCAAAATAATGGATAACATGAGGAATAAGCTGGCTCTTCCTAACTTTTAACCATTAGTAATCTGTTATTAGTAGTAGTATTATTCGATCATATTCATTGAGCGTCTTTCCCTAGTGATTATCATGCTTTTCTTGTTTAATGTTTATGTCATTATCTTATCAAAGAAACATAATGGGCTTAATAAGGTAAATATGTATTATATATCTTTACTGTTTTTCTCTTTTTAGACTACCCCAGTGAATATTGGTCTGATTATTCATCGTTCAGCGGTAAGTTAATTATGCCATGAAATTGCACTGGTTATATTATTAACAAAGATGACACATGCACGTGATTTGTGTACATTGTCATGTACAAAATTTGGCATTACCACAAGACTACACTAAAAATGGTAGATGTTAGTTTTAGGGAAAAGTAGGTATATATATTATATTGCGTGTGTATTTTGTCAAGTGGTTATCAACTTCCTTTGCATATTTTGGATATTTCATCTTAAAATGCCAACTTAACCCTATTAAGGCCGGGGAGCCTTTATGCCCCCCAGCCCCCCCCCCCCCCTCCACTATTTTTGTTTGATTGTTCGAGAACGCATATGGATGGCGCCCCGCCGTTTGCTGACTTTTTTCTTTCGAGTCTTGCGCAACTTTAAAAAAAAAATGAAAATCGGACCTACATTACAAGGTCACGTGACCTTACGTTTTTGCATGTCAGCCCGAAAATCGCTCATTTTTGTGATTTGTTTACAAAACATATGGAAATTCTTTTTCCTAAAAATAGATCAAACATTACTTATTGGGTCTTGTTTAAAGTTTGAATGTTTTTCGTTTGTTTCGGGGGTGGGGATTGGGGGGGGGGGTCAAATTAGTTGAGTTGTAGTAAGAAATGAAATAAAACAACAAAATAAATAAAATAAATAAGTTTTAAAAAAATGGAATACATAAGAAATTATCAAATCAATAAATAACATAAAGAATAAGCTGGCTCTTTCTCATTTTTAACCAATAGTAATTTATTATTAGTAGTAGTATTATTCGATCATATTCATTGAGCGTCTTTCCCCAGTGATTATCATGCTTCTCTTGTTTAATTTTTACGTCATTATCTTATCAAAGAAACATAATGGGCTTAATAAGGTAAACATGTATTATATATCTTTACTGTTTTACTCTTCTTAGACTACCCCAGTGAATATTGGTCTGAATATTCATCGTTCAGCGGTAAGTTAATTATGCCATGAGATGGCACTGGTTATATCATTAACAAAGATGACACATGCACGTGATTTGTGTACATTGTCATGTACAAAGTTTGGAATTACTACAAGACTACACTACAAATGGTAGATGTTAGTCTTAGGGAAAAGTTGGTTTATATATTATATTGCATGTGGATTTTGTCAAGTGGTTATCAAACTTCCTTTGCATATTTTGGAGCGATTTTCGGGCTGATATGCAAAGAAAAAACTTTTTTTTTTAAATATGAAAATCGGACCTACAGTACAAGGTCACGTGACCTTATGTCTTTGCCTGTCAGCCCGAAAATCGTTCATTTTTGTGATTTGTTTACAAAACATATGGAAATTCATTTTTCCTAAAAATAGATCAAACATTACTTATTCGGTCTTGTTTAAAGTTTAGATGGTTATTTGGGGGTCAAAATAGTTGATTTGTAGTAAGAAATGAAATAAAAGAACAAAATAAATGAAATAAATAAGTTAAAAACCAATGAAATACATTAGAAATTGTCAAAATAATGGATAACATAAGGAATAAGCTGGCTCTTCCTAATTTTTAACCATTAGTAATCTGTTATTAGTAGTAGTATTATTCGATCATATTCATTGAGCGTCTTTCCCTAGTGATTATCATGCTTTTCTTGTTTAATGTTTATGTCATTATCTTATCAAAGAAACATAATGGGCTTAATAAGGTAAATATGTATTATATATCTTTACTGTTTTTCTCTTCTTAGACTATCCCAGTGAATATTGGTCTGATTATTCATCGTTCAGCTGTAAGTTTATTATGCCATGAGATTGCACTGGTTATATTATTAACAAAGATGACACATGCACGTGATTTGTGTACATTGTCACGTACAAAGTTTGGAATTACCACAAGACTACACTACAAATGCTAGATGTTAGTCTTAGAGAAAAGTTGGTTTATATATTATATTGCATGTGGATTTTGTCAAGTGGTTATCAAACTTCCTTTGCATATTTTGGAGCGATTTTCGGGCTGATATGCAAAGACAAAACTTAAAAAAAAAAAAAAAAATGAAAATCGGGCCTACAGTACAAGGTCACATGACCTTATGTCTTTGCATATCAGCCCGAAAATCGCTAATTTTTGTGATTTTTTAACAAAACATATGGAAATTCATTTTTCCTAAAAATAGATCAAACATTACTTATTGGGTCTTGTTAAAAGTTTAGATGGTTATTTGGGGGTCAAAATAGTTGAATTGTCGTAAGAAATGAAATAAAACAACAAAATAAATAAAATAAATAAGTTAAAAAACAATGAAATAAATTAGAAATTATCAAAACAATAGATAACATGAGGAATAAGCTGGCTCTTCGTAATTTTTAACCAATAGTATTCTATTATTAGTAGTAGTATTATTCGATCATATTCATTGAGCGTCTTTCCCCAGTGATTATCATGCTTAATAAGGTTAACATGTATTATATATCTTTACTGTTTTACTCTTCTTAGACTACCCCAGTGAATATTGGTCTGAATATTCATCGTTCAGCGGTAAGTTAATTATGCCATGAGATTGCACTGGTTATATTATTAACAAAGATGACACATGCACGTGATTTGTGTACATTGTCATGTACAAAGTTTGGCATTACCACAAGACTACACTACAAATGGTAGATGTTAGTCTTAGGGAAAAGTTGGTTTATATATTATATTGCATGTGGATTTTGTCAAGTGGTTATTAAACTTCCTCTGCATATTTTGGATATATCATCTTAAAATGCCAACTTAACCGTATTAAGGCCGGGGAGCCTTTATGCCCCCCAGCCCCCCCTCCACTATTTTTGTTTGATTGTTCGAGAACGCATATGGATGGCGCCCCGCCGTTTGCTGACTTTTTTCTTTCGAGTCTTGCGCAACTTAAAAAAAAAAAAAATGAAAAATGAAAATCGGACCTACAGTACAAGGTCACGTGACCTTATGTCTTTGCCTGTCAGCCCGAAAATCGCTCATTTTTGTGATTTGTGTACAAAACATGAGGAAATGTCATTTTTCCTAAAAATAGATCAAACATTACTTATTGGGTCTTGTTTAAAGTTTAAATGTTTTTTTTTTGGGGGGGGTCAAAATAGTTGAATTGTAGTAAGAGGTGTTGTGGTCGAGTGGATACGTCGCCGAACTGTCGATCACAAAGTCCGCGGTTCGAGTCCCGCCGCTGCACTAATGTCCTTTGGCAAGACATTGATCTACATTTGCCACACCCCACCCAGGTGAAGTGAATGGGTACCTGGTAGGAATTTATTCCTTGAAACGCAGCGCGCGTAACAGCTGTACTGCTAAAGCCAGGGTAATTATGCTGCATTATTGTAGAGCGCTTAAAGACTTCTGACAAAGTAAGTGTTAGGCGCTATATAAGCACTGTAATTATTATTATTATTATTATTATTAAGAAATGCAATAAAACAACAAAACAAATGAAATAAATAAGAACCTTTGGTAGATTTGTGTTTAAATGCGGCATATAAAAGGGATATCGACTGCTTTAAAGGGATTGTTTAAGAATGTTGAATCTGAGATGCACGGCCCTACGTGTTATTAGTGTCTGTGATATGGTGTTATATTGAAGCCCTAAAAAAATTGCGCTTCAAAATGATCAAGAAGTGTCTAAAAAGAGTAAAAATCTTTGAGTCACCGGTTTCACTATATTCGTATTCCTCAATATTTTGTAGTATTATGAAAACCGTTTGGCAAACGCAAAATTTCGATTTTCAATCATAAATATCTTGATCTTCAGACAGGCGATCGGCTTGTAAAAGTCATGGGGTTCTTGACTGACCTAAAGGTTTATAAATATCATTGCAGCGTGAGCTTAATCAAGGATTTTGTAAAGGATCTAAGTTACCGGATCCCTTCATACTTTAGGACTGGCTGTTTTATACTGGCTCTCGGGGAATTTGCCTCCGCTGCTATCACCCTTCGGCGCGCCACCTCTCTATAATATGGATGTGTTGTCATATTAGACCTACGTACTAGTCTCGTTATCATACTGATCTTACTACTAAAACACTTTCATATTTGTGAAGGTTGTTCGCCCGATGACTTCCAATGTTGGGACGGTTCGTGTATACCCGGTTACTGGCATTGCGATAATATTCCAGACTGTTCAAATCAGGAGGATGAAGCTAATTGCGATGGTGAGTTTATCGTAAGATCAAATTATACAAGTATAGTGCAGCTGCCTACCGTTTGAAAAGCTTGTGTTAGGCATTTTGATATTAATGCAAGCTTAGTTCAATAATGGTTATTAATGGTTCTATTGAAGTTTTCTTCTTTTCATATGCAGAGTAACTGTCGTACTCTGGTGAGTTAATTTCGCGATAGTAATATCAACATTGCTCCATTCATCTTGAAATTCAGAGATGAAGCTTAACCCACTGATGAAATATCCCACATTTGTTCCTTGAATCTGATAATCTGATTCATAGTATCAACAACAAAAATAACATCATCATGCACCACGATGCACTGGCCGACGAATGAAATATTCCCCAAATATTCCAAGTAAAGTTTAATGTTATATGATTAACTAATTATTTTTATAAAAGTGTTAACACACGCGCATGCGCACTCATATATATATGTATAGTTATGTATGTGTGTGTGTGTGTGTGTGTATAATGACGCAAATGGCACATGTTCTACTGCTAAAATCAAGAACATGTTCTTCTCCTTTCAAATAGAGACACTCGAAAATAATTATATGACAGGAAAATATGATATCCATACGAAGTAGTTCTGTAGAAAATTAGGAGCCGATGTACGCGACATGTTAAGGTACCCTGCCATTTATAATTCATTACAGTAAAGAAGGATTTTAAATGTTTATATTATAACAAGTTATTTTTGAAACGAAGTTTGACATCACTATAAGAACCTTTTAGCTATAGTCAAATGATAATCTGAGTGAATATTTTGAATTTCATATTTTTATTTTCAGACTACAATTCGTATGATTCTGGTAAGATAATTTCGTGTTTATAGCGTAGGGGAAAGTGGGGCATAATGGAACACTTAATTTCAAACTTGCAATATGACGTCATCAACGTCACAAAAACAGTAAACATAACAGTTTCAGATAGATGTTGTATGCACTTTATTATGTCGACGAAAAACCGACAAAAACCACTGCAAAATTGCAGAGAAACTCGAAACGAATTTTACAAAAGAAAAATCCAACTTGCCCCATCCCTGAGGCATAATGGCACTCCCCCCCCCCCCCCCTGGGGCAAAATGGATCTACGAATCCGTATTGCCCCATCAGAACTCTAACGTTCTATATTGAGTAATGTACCTAAAGTAATTTTAAGCAAACTTGGTGGGCAGAGCTGCATAATGAAAGCCTATAGTAGTTTCAAACATTTATGGGGCAAAACTGGAAAGGTAATCGTAATAAAGCCTGATTTAAAACTAGAAAATGTAGACTTGTAAAATGTGCATTACACTCTCAATTTCTTAGACTGGAATCTGGGTCACATTTTCGTTCTGATACAACCATTAGTCACGTAAACCAACTGCTAGGCACATACTTTGAATTCAGCTAACTTATACATCTAAAACTGGCTGGGAAACTAAAACAACTATCAATTTGTTTTATGAACCAACTACTTTCAGAATGGAACATGAAACATTGGTAAACAGGCCCCTATAAAAAGGGCGAAAACAGTATTTTGTTTATTTTTGTGAATTATTTTACAAGACAAAACAAAATTAGTAATGTTGATTTTTATTCCCTTTATGCATTTGTTGTCTCTGTGCTATAATGTCGCCATAATTAAAGCACCTACTGGCTCAACAATGAATGATATTTGGAAATAAAGAGTGGAAAACGTTAAACTTATAAAAATACAACAAGAAAATCCAAATATAATGATAAAAATACATATATGCATACACACAAGTGCACACGCACATTCACTCAACCATTCAGTCTTTAGGACCAACAGGGACACCATAACATTGGAGTAGTTTACTTTTTTACATTTCTATTTGAAGCCGTAAACCCTTGGCATTTGCTTAAGTCAAGCTTTCACAAGATATGTTATTTTCAATTGGGGTAAAATGGAACCCTGTTCCACTTTGTCCCGCACCTATATGGTCCATTTTGCCCCAATGACATATTTTTTAATAAAAGTTTGCGTAGAAAATACCTGAAGCATAGTTGGCATGCAAACAGGCGAGTCTAACGTTGATATCTTTATGATTAATATATACAAATATTTTATTAGAATCGATACCAAAATTACCAAATTTCAGCCATATGAACATCCCCTTACTTTAGATCATGAGGCTGTAATTTTTTGGATGGGATCTTACTCCGATGTGCCTCGATGTAACCGGATGAAAATTCAGTGCTGAAATTATTTTGGCATCTTCTCTTCTTCAAAGAATTTGCACAGAGGGCGACCTTTTAACATATGCTAATTTCAAAGTTTCATTTTGCCCCCCGGGTCCGTTATGCCCCACTTTCCCCTACCTTCATTGTATATGTATAAATTTAATATATAAATATGTATATATATATATATATATATATATATACATACATATATTTATAAATACATAGGTTTACATACACACACACACACATACACACACACACACACACACACATAAACATATAGATATATATCCATGTATTTATATACTGTGCTCCTTCAATCAAAATATACACGTTCGAGATCATAGCAGGTCTATCTTGCATCGCTGATTCCAGGTGATTTGTAGTATATATATCTGAATGGAATGATAGATCACAACTGTACGTACCATAGGGAAAGCTCTTTGCACCCAACAGATCCCCGTATAATAGACCAAGCGCTTTTTCAAAGGAATTTTGATAGTACTGTTGGCCTAGTTGAGTAATGGTTATTAATGAGTTTATTGATTTTTTTTTCTTATAATTTTCAGACTTCTTTTCGTACTCTGGTAAAGTCGATTTCAAGATTTTAAGATCAACATTGCTCCATTCCTCTCGAAAATGCATGATAATATTTCACAATTATTTTCTTCTTATAATTACAATTAAAATTATTAGTTTAGTTAGTTTCCTTTTTTGTTTTAACTCCTATTTTGAATATTTAACAATGTTCATTGTAGGTATTTTAGATTAATACAAATTCCGTTAACTTACGAATGTTTATAAGTTTACTAAAATGTACCTTATTTTTATTTGCAGACTACCCGCCGTACTCTGGTAAGCTTATGTCATAATATGAATATCAACATTTCCCAATTTTGCAGTAGACGTTTAAAAAAAACATAACTCATTGATTAAAAAAATATCCTTATTTGTTCCTTGAAAGAGTAAACTGTATGTATGGTATTAGAAATCGTAATAAACCTAACGCATAACGCTGCACTGGTCGATAACTGAAACCGTATAATAGACCAAGCGCTTTTTCAAAGGAATTTTGATAGTACTGTTGGCCTAGTTGAGTAATGGTTATTAATGAGTTCATTGAATTTTTGTTCTTATAATTTTCAGACTTCTTTTCGTACTCTGGTAAGATGATTTCAAGATTTTAATATCAACATTGCTCCATTCCTCTCGAAAATGCATGATAGTATTTCACAATTATTTTTTTATATTATTACAATTCACAATTTTAGTATTGTTAGTTTCCTTTTTTTGTTTTAGCTCTTATTTTGAATATTTAACAATGTTCATTGTAGGTATTTTAGATTAATGCAAAATCCGTTAACTTACGAATGTTTATAAGTTTACTAAAACGTTCCTTATTTTTATTTGCAGACTACCCGTCGTACTCTGGTAAGCTAATGTCATAATATGAATATCAATATTTCCACATTTTGCATAAAACGTTTAAAAACATAACTCATTGATAAAAAAAAATATCCTTATTTGTTCCTTGAAAGAGTAAATTGGATGTATGGTATTAGAAATCATAATAAACCTAACGCATAACGCTGCACTGGCCGATAACTGAAATCTTCTTCATATTTTCCAAATAATGTTAAATGTTATATGATTAACTAATTATTTTCATTAAAGTGTTAACACACGCGAATGCGCACGCATACACACATGTACATTAATACACCAACACACAGATATGTGTGTAATCCGCCAGCTTTAGTTTGTTCTTCTTTAATTTCAAAGGCAAAAAACAATTTTTAAATTGCTGTCATTTTTTGCTATCGTTCGCTAAAGTAATGTTTAAATGATGTATTGAATAACGTAAAATTGAATTTATCGATTTAATTTACAGACTACCCGTCGTACTCTGGTAAGTTAATTTCGTGATATGAATAGCGATATTGATATCAACATTGGTCCATTCCCACTTGAAATCAAGAGATGAAGCTTAACCTATTCATAATTTGTTCTTTGAAACTGTAATTTGGATTCATAGTATAAATGAAATGAACACCATGCACCACGATGCACTGGCCGAAGAATGAAATATTTTCAATCCCATCCAAGTATAGGATTTCCCGGCCAAATTCGCGAGTTTGTCATTCATATTAATTTGTCTTGCGTTCAAATTCGACGGTTTTAGTGCAGTCAGGTATATCTCGGGTTTATATTTCCTTTTCTAGTTTTCAAATCTATGGAATTTTCGTTAGAATCTACGTATGTTCCATTCAAATTAACGAACATTGTGCTTCTTTCGCTATTTGGTCATTCAATTTGGCGCAACACGATTTTCTGACAACGCGACGATGTACTTCTAGCATTCTAATTCATTTGTAGCATTCAAATTAACACTTTTTGCACTTAAATTTTTATGATGGTCATTATACATTTCTCGTTTATTACACACTTTTTATAGCTCATTCTTTTTCTTTCAAGATTGTTTTTTCATGTGTATTTCATCATATTTCATTTTCTTGCATCTATACACATATACTTATTAGATCTATCTGATATTCATCAGCATTTAAGTTTGATTATTAAGAAGAAAAAAACGACTTGTATCTACGGACCTGATGGTCTCGGTATATTTGTAAACGTTCATGTAAGGAAGTTGATTGTCTTATGTTTCATCATAAATTGATCATAATTTCATCATAATTTCATAATGGAAGAAGGGTACAATATTGTGACTGGTGTGGGGACTAGAGTCAACAATTTAAACATGATTCATTATTTAGCCATGTCTTTAGCCATCGATCTGCTGGCGGGCAAGTAAACTATGAAACTCTTTAAGAAAAACAGAGGGGTGTGCTGGGTATAAGAGACGATGTGAATTACTTTTGTAAAATTCCGAGTCTGTAGTAAAAGGGGGCGATTGAGGGTACCCCCACCTTTCCCGGGTATATGAACATGTCCGTGCAGAAATGCTATATCCCTTGATTTCGCCCCTTCTTTACTTTATGTCTGATTACATCCATCTGCATTGTCCTGAAAATAAATAAATGGATTAACAGCTTAGAACCCAATGACAAATCATGCATTTTAACTGCATTATTTAAAAACTGTAAAGTTTGTTGCAATTCTTCCCCCTAACATTCCTAACTTGAATAAAAATATTACGAATACGAATGACAGGTGTTAATTTGAATTCGACAAGTGAATATTAATTTGAATGCTAGTTAAGCAGTTTCTAAATTGAATGACAGATCCATGAAACCCTTCGACCAAAATCCTAAATTAAATACAAAAGCTGGAAAATTGAATGATAATTGGCATGGCAAAGCCGATCTGCGCTAACTTAAATGCAAAGAAAATGAATTCGAATGACAAACACGCGAATTTGGCCGGGAAATCCTATAATAAAATATTAAATATATATTCAATATTTTTTAAGAAAGAAGTGTTAGAACACTGACACAAAGCTTCGCCACGTATATATCTATTTATACACACACTCACACACACATATATATATATATATATATCTTTATAAACACGTGTGTGTGGGTGTGTGTTCGTGTGGGTGTGTGTTTTGTATGATGACGCAGCTGTCAAAGGACAGAAGTTTCATTACTTGTAATTTGATTCTTTTAAAAAAAAAAATTAGCTCAGACATTTCGACGATATTTACCTAGCGTCTTTTTCAAGTGATAGTAAAAAGTATCTTGTTCAATTCTTTGCCTTGTATTGGTGAACACATAACTAAAATACTTTAATATATACATTTGTGAAGGTTGTTCACCCGATGACTTCCAATGTTGGGACGGTTCGTGTATACCCGGTTACTGGTATTGCGATCAGATTCCAGACTGTTCAAATCATGAGGATGAGGCTTATTGCGATAGTGAGTGTAATATAGTTTAATTGTAGTATGCTTCTCTTTGGTGGTAAGATTCATTAGGGTACTAGCTCTAAATAGTATGCTTCTCTTTGGTGGTAAGATTCATTAGGGTGCTAGCTCTAAATAGTATGTTTCTCTTTGGTGGTAAGATTCATTAGGGTACTAGCTCTAAATAGTATGCTTCTCTTTGGTGGTAAGATTCATTAGGGTGCTAGCTCTAAATAGTATGCTTCTCTTTGGTGGTAAGATTCATTAGGGTACTAGCTCTAAATAGTATGCTTCTCTTTGGTGGTAAGATTCATTAGGGTACTAGCTCTAAATAGTATGTTTCTCTTTAGTGGTAAGATTCATTAGGGTGCTAGCTCTAAATAGTATGCTTCTCTTTGGTGGTAAGATTCATTAGGGTACTAGCTCTAAATAGTATGTTTCTCTTTGGTGGTAAGATTCATTAGGGTACTAGCTCCAAATAGTATGCTTCTCTTTGGTGGTAAGATTCATTAGGGTGCTAGCTCTAAATAGTATGCTTCTCTTTGGAGGTAAGATTCATTAGGGTACTAGCTCTAAATAGTATGCTTCTCTTTGGTGTTAAGATTCCTTAGGGTGCTAGCTCTAAATAGTATGCTTCTCTTTGGTGGTAAGATTCATTAGGGTACAAGCTCTAAATAGTATGCTTGATTTCGGTTTTCTTGTGACAAACGGGAGGTTTTTTCAAAGCTGCAGTCCAATATGAGGGCTGTATAAAGCCATACCAACAAACAGGAAAGCAAAAACATTGAAAAGTCAACCTAAGGCAAGCGCAATATAATAATTCATTTAATCTTTTGTTTGGAATTTGTTTAAAGCTTTTTTTTCCATACAGTTTCTAAAAGATATAATTGTTCGTCACGTTTGTTTTAGGTTGGAACTCTGAGTCATCATACATGGGTGAGTAAGATTAGAAAACATGCACAAATAGTTTATACAAATATTTTTTTTTCACGGTTGTTTCTACGGGTAATTTCATCAAGCATTATTGACAGTATACCGCATTTCTTTATTTAAGAGGCTATGTTTCAATCACAGTCTCCAAAATATGATAACTGGCTCTTTCCGGAGAATCAGAACTATTTGCAATAAGGGGTCCATATCCTGACAATAGTTTAAGTGTAGTCTATATTTATATGAATATTGACATTTTTATTCAAATGAATAAAATGACACAATATTGACTTCGCCAGAATGAGTCCCTTTTGATAAAAATAAATATTTGCAATAATGTGCAAGAAAAATTACATCCATTTTCTAATAAAAAAATCAATAGTTGTCACGGATAATGAGAGGGTTTAGAAAGACAAAGTACGGATTTTGCTCCGTTCATTGTCCTATCCGACCTTTTGATATGATCACAAAAGATGAGGTCCAGTTTGATTCTGTTAATCTTCTCTATTTTGTATTATTGATTTGTTTAGGCTGGACACCGGAGCCGTACCCCTGGTCATCTACTGATGGTGAGTGAGACTAAAAGAAAGGTTTAGTTCTGGCATGGACCTATTACGGATGGACATTCATCGGTTTCTTAACGTATTCATTGTGATTGTCTCCGTCAATGTCGTCTCAATAACATTCCGTTCATGTTTCTTCACTTTGATCTCATCATGGTCACCGCCAAAAAGCCGGGACAGAATTAAGATAGTTATTTTACACATGTTAATATACATGCGCAGAAGATAATTACTTGCCTAAATCATGGAAAATCGATGTGCAGTTCGGGCTTATAATCGGAAATTCTTGTTCCGTGTACTGTACATGTATTTTATTTTAGTAAAAATGATAGTATGAAAGTATCTTGTTCAATTCTTTGTCTTGTATTGGTGAACACCTAACTAAAATACTTTAATGTATATATATTTGTGAAGGTTGTTCACCCGATGACTTCCAATGTTGGGACGGTTCGTGTATACCCGGTTACTGGTATTGCGATCAGATTCCAGACTGTTCAAATCAGGAGGATGAGGCTTATTGCGATAGTGAGTGTAATATAGTTTAATTGTAGTATGCTTCTCTTTGGTGGTAAGATTCATTAGGGTACTAGCTCTAAATAGTATGCTTCTCTTTGGTGGTAAGATTCATTAGGGTACTAGCTCTAAATAGTATGCTTCTCTTTGGTGGTAAGATTCATTAGGGTACTAGCTCTAAATAGTATGCTTCTCTTTGGTGGTAAGATTCATTAGGGTGCTAGGTCTAAATAGTATGCTTCTCTTTGGTGGTAAGATTCATTAGGGTACTAGCTCTAAATAGTATGCTTCTCTTTGGTGGTAAGATTCATTAGGGTACTAGCTCTAAATAGTATGCTTCTCTTTGGTGGTAAGATTCATTAGGGTGCTAGCTCTAAATAGTATGCTTCTCTTTGGTGGTAAGATTCATTAGGGTACTAGCTCTAAATAGTATGCTTCTCTTTGGTGGTAAGATTCATTAGGGTGCTAGGTCTAAATAGTATGCTTCTCTTTGGTGGTAAGATTCATTAGGGTACTAGCTCTAAATAGTATGCTTCTCTTTGGTGGTAAGATTCATTAGGGTACTAGCTCTAAATAGTATGCTTCTCTTTGGTGGTAAGATTCATTAGGGTACTAGCTTTAAATAGTATGCTTCTCTTTGGTGGTAAGATTCATTAGGGTACTAGCTCTAAATAGTATGCTTCTCTTTGGTGGTAAGATTCATTAGGGTGCTAGCTCTAAATAGTATGCTTCTCTTTGGTGGTAAGATTCATTAGGGTGCTAGGTCTAAACAGTATGCTTCTCTTTGGTGGTAAGATTCATTAGGGTACTAGCTCTAAATAGTATGCTTCTCTTTGGTGGTAAGATTCATTAGGGTACTAGCTCTAAATAGTATGCTTCTCTTTGGTGGTAAGATTCATTAGGGTACTAGCTCTAAATAGTATGCTTCTCTTTGGTGGTAAGATTCATTAGGGTGCTAGCTCTAAATAGTATTCTTCTCTTTGTTGGTAAGATTCATTAGGGTACTAGCTCTAAATAGTATGCTTCTCTTTGGTGGTAAGATTCATTAGGGTACTAGCTTTAAATAGTATGCTTCTCTTTGGTGGTAAGATTCATTAGGGTGCTAGCTCTAAATAGTATGCTTCTCTTTGGTGGTAAGATTCATTAGGGTGCTAGCTCTAAATAGTATGCTTCTCTTTGGTGGTAAGATTCATTAGGGTACTAGCTCTAAATAGTATGCTTCTCTTTGGTGGTAAGATTCATTAGGGTGCTAGGTCTAAATAGTATGCTTCTCTTTGGTGGTAAGATTCATTAGGGTACTAGCTCTAAATAGTATGTTTCTCTTTGGTGGTAAGATTCATTAGGGTACTAGCTCTAAGTAGTATGCTTCTCTTTGGTGGTAAGATTCATTAGGGTACTAGCTCTAAATAGTATGCTTCTCTTTGGTGGTAAGATTCATTAGGGTACTAGCTCTAAATAGTATGCTTCTCTTTGGTGTTAAGATTCATTAGGGTACTAGCTCTAAATAGTATGCTTGATTTCGGTTTTCTTGTGACAAATGGAAGGTTTTTTCAAAGCTTGGTCTAACATGAGGGCTGTATAAAGCCATACCAACAAACAGGAAAGCAAAAACATTGAAAAGTCAACCTAAGGCAAGCGCAATATAATAATTCATTTAATCTTTTGTTTGGAATTTGTTTAAAGTTTTTTTTTCCATACAGTTTCTAAAAGATATAATTGTTCGTCACGTTTGTTTTAGGTTGGAACTCTGAGTCATCATACATGGGTGAGTAAGATTAGAAAACATGTACAAATAGTTTATACAAATATTTTTTTTCACGATTGTTTGTACGGGTAATTTCATCAAGCATTATTGACAGTATACCGCATTTCTTTATTTAAGAGGCTAGGTTTTAATCACAGTCTCCAAAATATGATAACTGGCTCTTTCCGAAGAATCAGAACTATTTGCAATAAGGGGTCCATATCCTGACAATAGTTTAAGTGTAGTCTATATTTATATGAATATTGACATTTTTATTCAAATGAACAAAATGACACAATATTGACTTCGCCAGAATGAGTCCCTTTTGCTCAAAATAAATATTTGCAATAATGTGCAAGAAAAATTACATCCATTTTCTAATAAAAAAATCAATAGTTGTCACGGATAATGAGAGGGTTTAGAAAGACAAAGTACGGATTTTTCTCCGTTCATTGTCCTATCCGACCTTTTGATATGATCACAAAAGATGAGGTCCAGTTTGATTCTGTTTATCTTCTCAATTTGTATTCTTGATTTGTTAAGGCTGGACATCGGAGCCGTACCCCTGGTCATCTACTGATGGTGAGTGAGACTAAAAGAAAGGTTTAGTTCTGGCATGGACCTATTACGGATGGACATTCATCGGTTTCTTAACGTATTCATTGTGATTGTCTCCGTCAATGTCGTCTCAATAGCATTCCGTTCATGTTTCTTCACTTTGATCTCATCATGGTCACCGCCAAAAAGCCGGGACAGAATCAAGATCGTTATTTTACACATGTTAATCTACATGCGCAGAAGATGATTACTTGCCTAAATCATGGAAAATCGATGTGCAGTTCTGGCTTATAATCGGAAATTCTTGTTCCGTGTACTGTACATGTATTTTATTTTAGTAAAAATGATAGTATAAAAGTATCTTGTTCAATTCTTTGTCTTGTATTGGTGAACACCTAACTAAAATACTTTAATATATATATATATTTGTGAAGGTTGTTCACCCGGTGACTTCCAATGTTGGGACGGTTCATGTATACCCGGTTACTGGTATTGCGATCAGATTCCAGACTGTTCAAATCAGGAGGATGAGGCTTATTGCGATAGTGAGTGTAATATAGTTTAATTGTAGTATGCTTCTCTTTGGTGGTAAGATTCATTAGAGTACTAGCTCTAAATAGTATGCTTCTCTTTGGTGGTAAGATTCATTAGGGTGCTAGCTCTAAATAGTATGCTTCTCTTTGGTGGTAAGATTCATTAGGGTGCTAGCTCTAAATAGTATTCTTCTCTTTGGTGGTAAGATTCATTAGGGTACTAGCTCTAAATAGTATGCTTCTCTTTGTTGGTAAGATTCATTAGGGTACTAGCTCTAAATAGTATGCTTCTCTTTGTTGGTAAGATTCATTAGGGTACTAGCTCTAAATAGTATGCTTCTCTTTGGTGGTAAGATTCATTAGGGTACTAGCTCTAAATAGTATGCTTCTCTTTGGTGGTAAGATTCATTAGGGTAGTAGCTCTGAATAGTATGCTTCTCTTTGGTGGTAAGATTCATTAGGGTACTAGCTCTAAATAGTATGCTTCTCTTTGGTGGTAAGATTCATTAGGGTACTAGCTCTAAATAGTATGCTTCTCTTTGTTGGTAAGATTCATTAGGGTACTAGCTCTAAATAGTATGCTTCTCTTTGTTGGTAAGATTCATTAGGGTACTAGCTCTAAATAATATGCTTCTCTTTGGTGGTAAGATTCATTAGGGTACTAGCTCTAAATAGTATGCTTCTCTTTGGAGGTAAGATTCATTAGGGTACTAGCTCTAAATAGTATTCTTCTCTTTGGTGGTAAGATTCATTAGGGTACTAGCTCTAAATAGTATGCTTCTCTTTGGTGGTAAGATTCATTAGGGTACTAGCTCTAAATAGTATGCTTCTCTTTGGTGGTAAGATTCATTAGGGTACTAGCTCTAAATAGTATTCTTCTCTTTGGTGGTAAGATTCATTAGGGTACTAGCTCTAAATAGTATGCTTCTCTTTGTTGGTAAGATTCATTAGGGTACTAGCTCTAAATAGTATGCTTCTCTTTGGTGGTAAGATTCATTAGTGTACTAGCTCTAAATAGTGTGCTTCTCTTTGGTGGTAAGATTCATTAGGGTACTAGCTCTAAATAGTATTCTTCTCTTTGGTGGTAAGATTCATTAGGGTGCTAGCTCTAAATAGTGTGCTTCTCTTTGGTGGTAAGATTCATTAGGGTACTAGCTCTAAATAGTATGCTTCTCTTTGTTGGTAAGATTCATTAGGGTACTAGCTCTAAATAGTATGCTTCTCTTTGGTGGTAAGATTCATTAGTGTACTAGCTCTAAATAGTATTCTTCTCTTTGGTGGTAAGATTCATTAGTGTACTAGCTCTAAATAGTATTCTTCTCTTTGGTGGTAAGATTCATTAGGGTGCTAGCTCTAAATAGTATTCTTCTCTTTGGTGGTAAGATTCATTAGGGTGCTAGCTCTAAATAGTGTGCTTCTCTTTGTTGGTAAGATTCATTAGGGTACTAGCTCTAAATAGTATGCTTCTCTTTGTTGGTAAGATTCATTAGGGTACTAGCTCTAAATAGTATGCTTCTCTTTGGTGGTAAGATTCATTAGTGTACTAGCTCTAAATAGTGTGCTTCTCTTTGGTGGTAAGATTCATTAGGGTACTAGCTCTAAATAGTATTCTTCTCTTTGGTGGTAAGATTCATTAGGGTGCTAGCTCTAAATAGTGTGCTTCTCTTTGGTGGTAAGATTCATTAGGGTACTAGCTCTAAATAGTATGCTTCTCTTTGTTGGTAAGATTCATTAGGGTACTAGCTATAAATAGTATGCTTCTCTTTGGTGGTAAGATTCATTAGTGTACTAGCTCTAAATAGTATGCTTCTCTTTGGTGGTAAGATTCATTAGTGTACTAGCTCTAAATAGTATGCTTCTCTTTGGTGGTAAGATTCATTAGGGTACTAGCTCTAAATAGTATTCTTCTCTTTGGTGGTAAGATTCATTAGGGTACTAGCTCTAAATAGTATGCTTCTCTTTGGTGGTAAGATTCATTAGGGTACTAGCTCTAAATAGTATGCTTCTCTTTGGTGGTAAGATTCATTAGTGTACTAGCTCTAAATAGTATTCTTCTCTTTGGTGGTAAGATTCATTAGTGTACTAGCTCTAAATAGTATGCTTCTCTTTGGTGGTAAGATTCATTAGGGTGCTAGCTCTAAATAGTGTGCTTCTCTTTGGTGGTAAGATTCATTAGTGTACTAGCTCTAAATAGTATTCTTCTCTTTGGTGGTAAGATTCATTAGGGTACTAGCTCTAAATAGTGTGCTTCTCTTTGGTGGTAAGATTCATTAGGGTACTAGCTCTAAATAGTATGCTTCTCTTTGGTGGTAAGATTCATTAGGGTACTAGCTCTAAATAGTATGCTTCTCTTTGGTGGTAAGATTCATTAGGGTGCTAGCTCTAAATAGTGTGCTTCTCTTTGGTGGTAAGATTCATTAGTGTACTAGCTCTAAATAGTATTCTTCTCTTTGGTGGTAAGATTCATTAGGGTACTAGCTCTAAATAGTATGCTTCTCTTTGGTGGTAAGATTCATTAGGGTACTAGCTCTAAATAGTATGCTTCTCTTTGGTGGTAAGATTCATTAGGGTACTAGCTCTAAATAGTATGCTTCTCTTTGGTGGTAAGATTCATTAGGGTACTAGCTCTAAATAGTATGCTTCTCTTTGGTGGTAAGATTCATTAGGGTGCTAGCTCTAAATAGTATGCTTCTCTTTGGTGGTAAGATTCATTAGGGTACTAGCTCTAAATAGTATGCTTCTCTTTGGTGGTAAGATTCATTAGGGTGCTAGCTCTAAATAGTATGCTTCTCTTTGGTGGTAAGATTCATTAGGGTACTAGCTCTAAATAGTATGTTTCTCTTTGGTGGTAAGATTCATTAGGGTACTAGCTCTAAATAGTATGCTTCTCTTTGGTGGTAAGATTCATTAGGGTGCTAGCTCTAAATAGTATGCTTCTCTTTGGTGGTAAGATTCATTAGGGTACTAGCTCTAAATAGTATGCTTCTCTTTGGTGGTAAGATTCATTAGGGTACTAGCTCTAAATAGTATGCTTCTCTTTGGTGGTAAGATTCATTAGGGTACTAGCTCTAAATAGTATGCTTCTCTTTGGTGGTAAGATTCATTAGGGTGCTAGCTCTAAATAGTATGCTTCTCTTTGGAGGTAAGATTCATTAGGGTACTAGCTCTAAATAGTATGCTTCTCTTTGGTGGTAAGATTCATTAGGGTACTAGCTTTAAATAGTATGCTTGATTTGGGTTTTCTTGTGAGAAATGGAAGGTTTTTTCAAAGCTGTAGTCCAATATGAGGGCTGTATAAAGCCATACCAACAAACAGGAAAGCAAAAACATTGAAAAGTCAACCTAAGGCAAGCGCAATATAATAATTCATTTAATCGTTGTTAATGTTTGGAATTGTTTTAAAGCTTTTTTTTTGTTCGTTACATTTTTTTTAGGTTGGAACTCTGAGTCATCATACACGGGTGAGTGAGATTTGGAAACATGCACAAATAGTTTGTCACGGTTGTTTCTACTGGTAATTTCATCAAGTATTATTGACAGTATACCTCATTTCTTCATTTAAAAGACTAGGTTTTAATCACAGTCTCCAAAATATGATAACTTGCACTTTCTGGAGAATCAGAACTATTTGCATTTAGATGTCCATATCCTGACAATAGTTTAAGTGTAGTCTATATTTATATGAATATTGACATTTTTATTCAAATGAACAAAATGACATAATATTGACTTCGCCAGAATAAGTCCCTTTTGATAAAAATAAATATTTGCAACAATGTGCATGAAAAAGTACATCCATTTTCTAATCAAAAAATCAATAGTTGTCACGGATAATGAGAGGGTTTAGAAAGACAAAGTACGGATTTTCCTCCGTTCATTGTTCTATCCGACCTTTTGATATGATCACAAAAGATGAGGTCCAGTTTGATTCTGTTTATCTTCTCTATTTGTAATTTTTGTTTTTGTTTAGGCTGGACACCGGAACCGTACCCCTGGTCATCTACTGATGGTGAGTGAGACTAAAAGGAGGTTTAGTCCTGGTAAAGAAGTACAATTCATTGTAAGGTTTCCATTTATTCAATAAAATGCGTAATAGCATCATAGCAGAAAAGACTCGCAGAGTGAATCGGTAACATTGTTGAAGGTTGATGAAAAACTGTGTAATGTTTGTATGAAATGTTACCTATTATATTCCTTCTACTGTACTTACCCTCAAACAGGCCCCAAAAATCATGAGAAAATTTTAAAACCACAAAGATATTTATGGTTTTCTATGAAGGAGTCACTGTGCAACACCTAACAGTAATTAACAGTAAATTCTCCCAACCATTTTTGAATTCTCCCCAACCGTTTTTTCTTGAAAATAAGTAATAAAACAGGCTATATAAAGTCTGTCAACACTTAAATGTCTGGAATGGTATATAAAGCCAATTCAATGCTTTGTGACGATTTGCATTCACCTCAAATGTAATTAAATTGTAATAATATAGTTGGGAGAATTAAGGAATCGATCAGATCATTTATTTTAGAATATTTATTTTTAACTCAAACTTTCTGATTATCTTTAATTGTACATCAATCATTGGCAGTCACTTCCTAAGCACCATTTTATCTCATATGAACAATGTTACTAAGTCCCTCTAAAAGGATTGCTTTTTCACACGCCATGGCACTCAATTTTCATCTAGAAATAGTTGACAACCAATCTCACATTATGTGTAGTCCCGTATATTGTATCTTTTGTGCTTTTCATTACTTGTGATTTCCAGTAAGAATATGTCAAGCGAGGTAACGAACATTTTAGTGCGCCATGTCTGCCCATCATTGAACAACTAAATACAGATTTTGATTTCATATCTTCAAAGGTTGCACGCCCGATGAATTCCAATGTTGGGACGGTTTTTGTATACCTGATTATTGGCGTTGTGATGGGATGCAAGATTGCACATTTAATGAGGACGAAGACTTTTGTGAAGGTGAGTTTAGACACACGCCCTTGCACTCAATTATTATATCTCATATTATGTGTAGTCCTTTCCTTTCTGTCTTCAGTGCGAAGAATTTTGCGAAGGTAAGTTTAGTCTTACAAAAGTGTTCAACAGTCGACACGCGGCGAACACTTTGAAAAAGCGAATTACGCACATCACGTGTATCAAGCATATCAAAGTGTGTGAGATATCAACTGCGAAACCTTGGGTTCATACAAAAATCCTCGACTCAAAAAGCATGTGAACAATTAATCCATGCATTACTCTCATCTCGCTTAGATTTGTGTAATTCTATCTTATTTGGACTCTCCAAACAGCAGCAAGACAAACTGCAATCCCTCCTGAATTCCAGTGCAAGACTCTTTACTTTGACACTAAGAATGTCCTCTTTTAATTAAAGGCTCCGAATCATTATTTTGCACAAAAAAGTAGATGCCTTTCGAACATACTGTTTCGAATTGCACGTTGAGAACCCCATATACACCGTGCATTATTCCCCGTTTTCCAATCATATGAACATACTCGGTTTTCAGAAGTTTCTTGTGACTGCTCAATTAAAAGTATTTGTAGTAATGCGTCTTGCTTTAAAGAGATGTAACTGACTAGTAGATCTGATAGAACGAAGTAATTCACCCGTATGAATACAATCTTTGTATACATGTATTTTAATGGACAAGGGTTACTTACAAATTAAAGTCTATTTAAAGTTGAATGATTCTATATAGCAATAGATATTTTGACACTTTGATACTATGATAGTGATTGTGACTTGAAGTTTTCTCAAATCTCTTTTTTTTCTTTATGTGTTCTAAAATCTCTTTGTTTCGGGTCCAATATTATTGAAGAGGTTTCCTTTATTACAAAAAAAGAAATTGCTGACACAAGACAGTAATATGGTTGTTAAAATGTCTACTTCTTATACATTGTAGACTACGGAAGCTCATCTGACTACTGGTCAGAATGGCAACCTGAATCCGCTGAAGGTACCTGCCAACATATTGAATGCTCCTGTACCGGTAGCCAGTGTCGATCTGTGGACTGTTATTGTGATGCTGCTTGTGAACGGTTTGAAGACTGCTGCAACGATCGACAATACTACTGTTCCAATTCAGCCATGAGTATGTTTCCTGTTTTAATATAAGATAATTTGGCAGTGCACCTGTTATCTTACGTATTCATATTCATATTCAAATGTTGTTCTTGAATCTTACATGCTTGTCCCAGGCATTCCCAGTATTTTAGTTCATTCATTTTTAAATTTGTTTATATAACGCTTCCCACAATAATTTCAAAGCGCAAAACTGGACAACAATATAAGGAAGCAATAAATGAGCCCGGCAAAAGAAATACTAAAAGAAATAGAAAAAAATGATGATGATATTAATAATAACAATAGTAATGAATTGCAATCTAGACCCATTTATTTTCTTCATTAGTCTTTAAAGACACATTAGCATGTGTCACATCAGGAATTTGACATCATTATAGGGTATTTATAACAGATAACAAAAACACCTGGGGGGGGGGTGTTTCACAAAGCCGTTTTTCAATGAAAAATGACAAGAATCAGTGGCAAATCTACTGATAACCAATCAGAAGCAAAACTGTCACTAGTCACTGATGACACGTTTTGTGAAACGCCCCCTGGTATGTCTTATGTAATGCACAGCTCCGTCTTAAAGCATCCCATAAACAAGAAAAGAACACAGGAAAAGCACCCCTCACTCAAAGAATTTCCGGGAGGGTATTGTTTAACGAGACATTTAGTTTGTCATGCGCCAGATTAGTATTTCCACCAGTCCGGTGTAAGCAAATCATGACAGCACATTGAGACTGCGCAGAATTTCCCTCTAAATTTGTCAAAACCTCTGTTTGCAATTTCCAGATTCAGGTCTTTACTACATCCAGGCTATCCAAGAGATGCCGGTAAGTTTCTCTCCTACATTGAACTAATTTCCCAATGTGCCAAGGGGTTTGATGTTTCAAAATTTAACCTAAACACAAACAGTGCCTACTTTACAAAAGCAAAACATGTTTCGGAGATTGATGCATGCTTTAGTCAGTGATATCATTTCATCACCATATATTTCTAGTCTATTTGTCAGGTATCAGTATGTGGCACATGCAATTTAATAGTTAACAAAACAAGTAAAACTAGACATCCTCATGGTAGGATGGAATCACTGAAAAATCTGTGTGGCAATTTTAACGAAAGAATTATTCCAACAACAAAAAAAAACTTTTTAATTTAGTTTTAGTTTGACATAAACATAGACCAAATGATACATTACAAGCTTTAAAAATGGATTGTCGAATACAAAACTCATTTTGTTTTAATACATCTACTAGGTTAACCTCCGACGTCGACGAGCAGCAGAAGCCAAGAAGCGCCGAGCTCGCCGATCAGTATCCGACAAGGTGAGCCCTGAAGCTCTTCGAAGACATAAGGACCTAGCAAAGCGCCTTCGGGGACGCCGAGCTGCAGACAAGGCCAGACGAGTCCGAAATGCTGAAGCCTAATTAAAGAACCTGGCAGGAGACATCCGCCTAATATCTAAAAGATATAGCTTAGTCTAGATGGCCGTTCAAGCTATTGAATAAAAAAAAATTAAAAATGGTCTGATACAAAACTTTAATAAGGTCTCATATCATATAATTAAAAAGCCTACGTTCGATTTCCTGCTAAAAGTATTTCCGAACCTTTCGTTTCTACAAGTCACATGCAAAGATTGAATATTGTGCAATGTTCTTAATCATTTAAATGATGCCTGAGACACTTGTCATTTATTATCGTGTAATTGTCATGTGATCATTGTTTGCCTAACATCTATTTTCATGGTAGTTGATTACCCGTTTATCAGTCTCACTAAATATGCTTAGAAATTAGGGAAACTTTTTTTTTTTTTTTTTTGTAATCATTTTTTTTACGATAGGTACCAAAAAATAACCCAAACGCTTTTATTTCCTTGGCTCCATTTCGTTAAAAAAGGGATACAGTGATAGGGAATATCACAACCTTACCTCCCCCGCAAGCTTTTTTTTTTATTATTACGTGATGAGGAAATTCAACAAATATCAATAATAGTATTTTGTTTACATTTCTTTAGTTGATTTGTGTGTGCTAGGGAAAGGAAGTGTGTGGATTTGGATAATAATATCCTTCATCATAGTTTCATACAAGAAATAAAATGTTGAAACCATGAATTTTATTTATTCTTATGCCTTTATTGAAATATACTATTACATAATTAGTAAATGAATATACAATATATATATATATATATATATCTCTCACAATGCTATGAGAAGGTTTAATTTCATGTTATAAATATTTTTCAAGAACAGATTGATATTGATGCGCTGCTGTGCGGGCATTGATAGGCGTCTGAATCTTGTCATTGATTAAATGAACGGTCAAAATACAAACAGTTTTACGATTCTCTTTTGTCCCTAGTTTAACATAAGGAAGGTCCATGATAATCAACTTATTGTGTGTTTGTGTGTGCGCGTATGTGGTGGTGTGTATGATTGTGTGTTTGGGTGCTCATTCTTTGCCCCATCGCCAATTGCTCCGGGCTTAATTTCGTCGGAAATATATGACTAGAGTTGGGTGCAATTGGGTATAAGGTTGGGTCCTGTGTTGAATTAAGGAATTCGGTTAGGGTAGGAAGTGTTGGACTCCACTGCTGAGCAGTTTGACCAGTAGCGCATGTTCTATAACAACGTCTGTGTGTTTTATCGGGGGGGGGGGGGGGTAGTGGAAAAGGCAATGCACCCATTATGAAGTATATTTAATAGTACACAAAGAAAGTGCCAGCTAATGAATGAATGACTTGACAATAGAAGATAGAGAAAGATTTTCAAGTGAGAGAAAGACATAGAAAGAGAGGCAGCGAGAGAGATAGGGGACAGAGAGACATAGATGAGAATGGATTAAAGAAAAAATAACAATGGGAAAGAGAGGAAATAGTGAGATGAAGAGACGAAAGGAGTTTATGAGAAAGAAATATAGAGAAATCACCAAATAATGGGAGAGAAAGGGAAGATTGGGCAAATTATATTCATTTGATTTTTAAAGAAGAAAAAGTGACACTTAAGGTTAAAAAAAATTGAAAGAGAAGGATAGGAGAGATAAAAGGGAAGAAAAGAAGAGTGAGGGAACTTTAATGGAGAGGGGCGGGCTAGTTGGGATCGAGCGAGAGAATCAGTGCAACTGCGGCAAGACAAACATATTCTTCCTTGAATAAACTCAATTTCTAGTAATTAATATACTGTAAAAAAAGAAAAATGAAAATCGCTTTGTCTATTTTGTGTTTATCCTTTTTCACTGTGATATATGTTGTAAATCCAGTTTGAAGACAGTTTGATTTATATTATTCTATCCCACCGTTAACTAAACTCAACAAAAATCCCTTCATCATGGAGGGTTTTAATAAATTTTTTACCAGAATCTTACTTCAATCAAACATTTACACGTTTGAAATAAATTTCCCACGAATGAACACACATCAAAATAATATTTAATTAATATTATTTGATTGAAGAAATTAATATGAAATCGAGTAACTGTGCTTTGTAATATTAATGAAAATACAAATGATGTTTGATAGTAATAATAGTGGTGTTTACCCATAGGCTGGCGTAGACTTGTCTTTGTTTACTTTGAAAGGGTATATATATATATATATATCTGTATTTCCACAGTTTTTATTCTGCATATTTGCCAGAGTTGTATTTTAGCCCAGTAATAGGTCTCACCAAAAAAAAAATGATCCTGAAAAAGACCGCAATAAGGCACATCGTTTTGGAGATTTTTCTTTCTTTCAAATTGTAAGCTTGATACACGGGATTAAATTGGATCCCCATTTTCGGTGTGTGTAGTCTCCGTAGACCCAGCCTGATTTTTCACAGGCTTTCTGAATTTGGGGTAATGCGCCCTCTTCGACTTGCAGCAGGAAGGGGGAGATTTTCGTATAATTTTATGAAACAGTGGTATGTATCACATAGGCTGTATGCAAATTAGCAGGTTGATGATGTCGTTCCCATTCTACTTTGTTAATGACATTTCATGTTTTCTCTATTGTTTTGGACACACATGTATACATTCTTCCTTTATATAACAATGTTAGCAATGGTGATTTTTGCACATATTACATGAGGATACAAGCCATGTTTTAAATTCCCAGAGCAGAAAAGGGATATGTTTAGAATTATGTGTAAAACGGATAGATAAAATATGGGTATGAAATCATCAACAAACGAATGTATGGGAGTAACTAAATATCTTATTTATTGCTTTTAAACGCAAATGCAATCAAATCATGATCGTCTATTTGGGAATTACGTTTAATTTTTAATTTGTATTCAAGCATTACATGTTTTAGACAATAGGGACGTGAAATATTTAATATCCATTAATTATTTGTCTTATGTTACCATCAGAATGCGCGTATAGGGACTAATTACTCGCTGGCGCAGTATTACTCATTGAATCAAAATAAAACGTTAATACATCGGAAATTAACTTACATGATTGGGTCTGTTTATGACTGTCAGTGACTTGGTAACAAGGTTGAAGATTGATGAAAAAACTGCATAATGTTGTATTATATATATGTTTTACTATACCCTCTAACATGCAAAAAAATCCTGATAAAATTCTCAAACCACAAAGATATTTAGGGTTGTCTTTGAAAGCGTCACTGTGCAACACCCTCTAACAGTAAATTCTCCTAACCATTTTTGAGTTTTCCCAATCGTGTTTCCATGAAAATAAGACAAAAGACAGGCTTTTTAAAAATCTTTCAATATTTAAAGATACTATGTCCCTTTTGCAGCCAATATCAAATCATGTAGAACTTTGCAGGAATTATGAATATGTCATGCATGTCCTATCTGTGAAATTTAAACGTTAGCAGTATCCTAGTATTAAAATTATACAAGGAGAACTGTTTACTTTCTTGACTTTCCTGTCAGACACTATTAAGTGACTGACTGACATTTTTTCTTTGGTAATACACACATGACATATTCATAACTCCTGTAAAGTTGTGCAGAATTTGATGTTTGCTGCACAAGGGACATAGTATCTATAAGATGTCGCCATTTGTCTGGGAAATTTGATACATATCCCTTCAAAAAGCTGGATTCACTGTTGGTACTGACAGCATATGTTGGAGCAATGGTATTCATAATATATTTTCATGATAGGTGTGAATACCAGTTTAAATCGGGTTGTTCATTTCCATTGTCTTTGTATGAGTATGAGGAGCAGTTTGAACCGGTTCCAATGGCATGTGTGGGCGAAAGATTCGCACCTTAATGAGCTTTAATTACTAGCTTTCTCTCACCGGTACATAACGCCCGACAATGTACTTAATTCAATCTTATGATTGTCTAAGGCATTAACATATACGAAGTTCAATGTGTAAAGATGCTGCAACGGTATGGAAGAACTACCTCTAAATATAAATCAAATAAATAATGTAAACGATTTTAAGTTGTTTCTATAGGAGCATCTATTAGTCTTGAAGTTGAGTTCACGTAGTGCTGATAAATATGTCAATGTTTGTATTATTTTGTATTTGTATTTATTAGAGAATAATATTTTGTTTGAAAAGCAGCAATGTAAAAACTATCCTCATATCATCTGTCGCGTTCTTCCTCTTTCTCTCTCTCTCTCTCTCTCTCTCTCTCCACGTGCCTATTATATATATCCCTTATGTTTATTTATTTTTGTGTTCATTCCTTTCTGTCTCTCAACCAGTGTCTCTCTATATTTGTGTTCATTCCTTTCTGTCTCTCAACCAGTGTCTCTCTATATTTGTGTTCATTCCTTTCTGTCTCTCAACCAGTGTCTCTCTATATTTGTGTTCATTCCTTTCTGTCTCTCAACCAGTGTCTCTCTATTTTTGTGTTCATTCCTTTCTGTCTCTCAACCAGTGTCTCTCTATTTTTGTGTTCATTCCTTTCTGTCTCTCAACCAGTGTCTCTCTATATTTGTGTTCATTCCTTTCTGTCTCTCAACCAGTGTCTCTCTATATTTGTGTTCATTCCTTTCTGTCTCTCAACCAGTGTCTCTCTATATTTGTGTTCATTCCTTTCTGTCTCTCAACCAGTGTCTCTCTATTTTTGTGTTCATTCCTTTCTGTCTCTCAACCAGTGTCTCTCTATTTTTGTGTTCATTCCTTTCTGTCTCTCAACCAGTGTCTCTCTATATTTGTGTTCATTCCTTTCTGTCTCTCAACCAGTGTCTCTCTATATTTGTGTTCATTCCTTTCTGTCTCTCAACCAGTGTCTCTCTATATTTGTGTTCATTCCTTTCTGTCTCTCAACCAGTGTCTCTCTATTTTTGTGTTCATTCCTTTCTGTCTCTCAACCAGTGTCTCTCTATTTTTGTGTTCATTCCTTTCTGTCTCTCAACCAGTGTCTCTCTATATTTGTGTTCATTCCTTTCTGTCTCTCAACCAGTGTCTCTCTATATTTGTGTTCATTCCTTTCTGTCTCTCAACCAGTGTCTCTCTATATTTGTGTTCATTCCTTTCTGTCTCTCAACCAGTGTCTCTCTATATTTGTGTTCATTCCTTTCTGCCTCTCAACCAGTGTCTCTCTATATTTGTGTTCATTCCTTTCTGTCTCTCAACCAGTGTTCCTCTATATTTGTGTTCATTCCTTTCTGTCTCTCAACCAGTGTCTCTCTATATTTGTGTTCATTCCTTTCTGTCTCTCAACCAGTGTCTCTCTATATTTGTGTTCATTCCTTTCTGTCTCTCAACCAGTGTCTCTCTATATTTGTGTTCATTCCTTTCTGTCTCTCAACCAGTGTCTCTCTATATTTGTGTTCATTCCTTTCTGTCTCTCAACCAGTGTCTCTCTATTTTTGTGTTCATTCCTTTCTGTCTCTCAACCAGTGTCTCTCTATTTTTGTGTTCATTCCTTTCTGTCTCTCAACCAGTGTCTCTCTATTTTTGTGTTCATTCCTTTCTGTCTCTCAACCAGTGTCTCTCTATATTTGTGTTCATTCCTTTCTGCCTCTCTACCAGTGTCTCTCTATATTTGTGTTCATTCCTTTCTGTCTCTCAACCAGTGTCTCTCTATATTTGTGTTCATTCCTTTCTGCCTCTCAACCAGTGTCTCTCTATATTTGTGTTCATTCCTTTCTGTCTCTCAACCAGTGTCTCTCTATTTTTGTGTTCATTCCTTTCTGTCTCTCAACCAGTGTCTCTCTATTTTTGTGTTCATTCCTTTCTGTCTCTCAACCAGTGTCTCTCTATATTTGTCTTGCTTATTTGATTGTAATAGTTTGACCATCTTGCCATAATACATATTTGTTTCGTTCGTCCTGAATCTATGTCTTCATCGCATATTCATCCTATAAACTTATAGATCTTAACCCTATCGTGACAATCATTCCACATATTGAGGTTTTATAGCCCTAGAAAATATGCCACATGTATGAGTAGAAAGGCAGCAATTCCTACCTACATTGCATCTTCTTTTTGTTTTTTCATCGACTATAACGGGTTTGATGCCTGGTATAAAAAAGAACTGAAAAGGAGCATTAAAATCCTTACATTGGTATCACGTTTAGAGATTCAAAGTCATTTTTTCCGACCAAATTTAGATTATTTTTTTAAACGGCAACATTCGCACCCATTGATATTGTTTTTAGAGACCATGCATTTTATTTTAACAATGTAGCAATATAAGAAAACTGTTTTTGTTGCAAATTTAAACGAACACAGTATATCATCAATTGAGCTCTGTTTGTCTCGAAAATGTGAGCGGCACAGCGGTGGTGGGGGGGGGGGGGTAGTTAGAAGAAATACAAAATAAGAAAGATTTGAACTTTTAAATCTATCATGGTCACTCAATCTTGCCATTTATTGTTATGATGCTCTTATACAGCTCAACTGCTATTACATGTATTATGTCATAGTTATACTACCAATTACACCTGTTTACTGCTTATATTTTTAAAGAAAGAATTCAGAAAAAAATTCAAAGAAAACTTCATCTTGTATATCAAGTACGTATACACTTCGATCGTCATTTACAGCAGAATTCCTGGCTGTACACCCTGTAAACGTAATGTATCTTGAAGCCGATACATCCTAGCATCAGTTTCATAACTCAAAACAATTCTGTACAACTACAATGTTGAGAAATATGAACATAAACATTTTAAAGAGTATTTAGTTGTTTTCTAAAAACAAGTCAATGATTGTCCTTGTTTTTGGTCATGCAATAATTGTGTTGTACGGAAATATTATTATATTATATAATTGTTGTACATACACGCAACAAGCCTAGCATTTATTTAGGTTCACTTTTCATTTCCATATTTCATGATTTACAGAACATTCTTTCACGTTATTAATTACTTTGATTCAGGATCATTTACTTCAATGCATGCATGATCTGAAGAAATATCGATGTTTCGTTAAATATATTATGCCTTTTAACTTTTGCATTGAATAAGAATAATCGCAACCCAATTAAATTATATCCGTTTATTAACAGATAAAAAGCTTCATATAATTACGTTCACTTTGTATAAGCTAAGAATATGGAAAATGTTCTGCTTTTATGTTATGAATGAAAAAGATGGAGTTTTTATAAATAAAATCAATGAATATAAAACCATTTCCATCTGTGTAGAAATCATCATCCCTAATAATTAGGAATATATCTTCCCTCGATAGTTATAAGAAAGCCCTTCAGACTTTTCTTGCAATAGTGTAATATATTTCTGTATTTAGTTAATATTAATTATTCAAGTTTTTAATTCAATGTATATAAATAATAATAGATAATTGTCATTACTATACTATGCACTGTACGAATCTAACGTTATTAATACTATTGTGAGTATTATCATCAGCCTCCGGGGTTGTCGGTTTTGCAGATTGCCGGTGTTTTAGTTCGTCTATCGACCACGATATCTCACTCAATATCACCTGTCGGAAGAAAGCAAGAAGATATAATTTATTTACAATGTTGTTCCATTTGCATCCATCAACTCAAATGATTAAATTGATAAGCAGATTCACCCTCGTAACATTTGAAATTACCTCTCAACATTTGCATATTGATTAATATTTGTTTCCCTATGTGTTTAAAAAAAGATTATTATATGTAATTATTACATACATCTATGTTTATCGGTGCATCCCTCCGTTTCCCCAATTTCCCATTAAAATAAGCATACATAATTTACCGCAAATATTAACATTTTATTTTGCAAAATGTATCAAATCAAAGCACATTAATTTGTGTGATTAATCTTAGGTCATGTTTTCAATGATTTTGTGTGAGAAATGAAAGTTAAAACCGGAACCGAATCTGAAGCTAAGACATGTATTGAGCCAATTTGTTGACATCATCAAGAAATAAGATAGATCAATGACATTTTGAGATCCCTCTATATAAACAGAATCAAAGTGCTATTCGTCAAATTCGCACCTCGTCTAGGTTACTGGTTCTAAACAACTTAGCCTTTGCATGAGGTTCACCGCAGAAGCATTCAAGCGACAGGCTGGAGCAGGGCAAATTCACTGTTTGGGCGCTTTGTTTAGCACAACATTGTTAGGAACCAGCAACGCTGACTACTTGGCCAGTATGACCGCAAACTTTGGTACTCTTATAACTAAAATCAAAAATGATAAATACATTCCATTTCATCCCACCGATTGACGTTTAATTGAATTTATAAAGCGCCCTAAACTAGACACTGCCCTAGGTTGAAATAAAAACCTAATTTGTGTACACGTACGTTTCCGGATGCTTTCTGAAGATGTCAAACGAAGTAAAATTCCTTAGAAGTACAGGGAGTTCGTTTCATAGGCGTAATGCTATAACATGGAAGGATTTTGAGGAAGTGTGCTTGACAGAGAATTAAAGTTATTACAAAGTTTTGGTATGGGGTCATGAATTTGGCTCAAATGAACATATTGGAAGAGTATTCGATTCTACAATATTCAGTGATCGTTGTGACGGTTGAAATCGAGTCTAAAGTGATAACATTGTTAATAATAAACACTTTTCGTTGGATAGCTCCCTCTCTAGGTCAAGATATTAATTTAGCTATAAAAAAATGTTTCTTGAATAAATTTGACCGATTGGCTATTCCCGTTTGAAAATTATATATCCCAAATACATATTCTGAGATTTTCATGGTCGCAGCTACCATGGTATGACCGCAGGCGCTATTTAAAAATTATCGAAAGTTACCTTGAGCACCGGTAAATTTTGATATTCATTTTTTCTCGGAAGCAGAATAATAATAATAATAAACCATTCTAATATAGCGCATATCACAAAAATTAATTGAAGTCCCTTATGAAGAGTGTTTTAGGGGCTAATTTTTTTAGTGCTTATGATAAATCCACAGGGGTATCCAAATATTTCAAAATTGTAACGAATCTTTATCCAACCAATTTTCAGAATTTCCCAAAACGTTGTATTACCTTTAATGCGATATTGACCTTTCTGCCCAAGTATGGTTAACCTAAACAGTGCGTAACCCAGTACCTTATTTCCACTTCGCAGGCAGACAGCACGCTACAACATTCAAAAGCAGCGAGTTACGGGGAATTAATGCTACAGCTGACCTGAGATGGCGCTAGAGAGGATTTTAGGCGTATCAGGACAATTACCCCCTGGGCAATCACCCCCCGGAAAATTACCCCCCGAAAACTACCCCCAAGGACAATTACCCCCTGGAAATTTACCCCCCGGAGAATTACCCCCCGAGGACAATTACCCCCCCCCCAAGGACAATTATCCCCCGGAAAATTACCCCCCGGAAAATTACCCCCCGAGGAAAATTACCCCCCGAGGACAATTACCCCCCAAGGACAATTACCCCCGAGGACAACTACCCCCGAGGACAACTACCCCCGAGGACAATTACCCCCCGAGGACAATTACCCCCGAGGACAACTACCTCCGAGGACAATTACCACCCGAGGACAACTACCCCTCGAGGACAATTACCCCCCCCCCCCCTCGAAACACCATTACCGCGGCCCGAGGACAATCGCACCCAGGGAATTTGTAACACTGTGACGTATAATGCGAGCTCCTCTTCAAATTGCTATTTAGAGAAAATGTCATGAACTTTCATTTTTTTAGTTATTTATGACGGAATAGATTTGTTTCCTACAGGGGTTGTGTATAAATTATATTTATATTCGTAGCTCACATTCAAAGCCCTCGTACCCATCTGCCAAATCTTTTTGCTTGACGTACATGTATCCTCCTAGGAGGAGATTTCACCCACCCCTCTCGCTCTGTATCCATTCCACCTTTGTGAAGTTTGACTTAATATGCCACGTGTATTGAATCAAATTCAATTGCCAGAAGACGCATGTATCAAATCGAATTCAATTGCCAGAAGACGCATGTATCAAATCAAAGTACGGAATTTACATTTCTTAGAAATTTAAAAATAAATTGCGCGCAGATGAGTAAGCGTTAATACAGCTAGTCTCCCCAAAAATAGCCCAACAAAGAAATTAGGATGTAAGATATCATTATTTATGCATCCTCTGTAACTTTTCTAATCAGCTGATCGTATATTTGTCTTTGTATGTATAATGGGCCCTCATCCATGATCTATTCCAAAATTAAGGTTCTCTTCATGTTTATAAATGTAATGTAATATATATATATATATATATATATATATATATTTTCTGTTGTCATATGGTGAACTAAAATATGTTTTCTTGTACTGTAATTTATTTTGAAATAAAAATTGCCTTCAAGTTAAATATATGGTATGTACGGTGCCATATTAAAAGAAAATAAGTATCCGCACTTGGGTACATTCATCTCAATGATTTTGTAATTCCAGAGCAGCGTTTTTTCAACTGGGGTGCCGAAAGAGAATGTTAGTTACATGACAATTTTTTTTGTCAAACGTTGATTTTGTGAAAAACAAATATCAGAAACGGGTCCAGTATTTATTTTCATGAGAAAATAAAATGTAAACAAGTAATAAAATGTCTTTCTTCCTCGCTCGCTGACAATATTTTGCGAATATATATCTTTTATTTCGACATTACATTGTTACCACACTCATCACAATTATAAACATGATGAATCAAGGCAACGAGAGGCCCGAATATCCTCATATTCGTGTATCAAGGTCATGACCGAATATTTCACTTTATATTCGTGTACATTCGGCGATGAGGCGCCCGCATACCTTAAATCTGTGCTAGTGTGTTGATTACAACATTATGTTTTACCATTTTGAAAATGTCTTGTCCTTGTTTTTCTTGCTCGTTCACTAAATCAAGAAACAAATGTGCCCATACGTGTGTACATAGCACTTGACGAGTGCCAGAGTGATGCAAAATAAATAGTTTGTGAAGAATTTAAGATTGGGCGAAACTTTTCATTTCTTAAGAGGGCATCGTGTCGAACAAAAAGTTGAAATAACGCTGCACAAGAGAAATCCTTCGTAGAAAACAGTAACCACAGTGTTGTTGCATACATTATAGCTAAAGAAAAATGTGTAGTAATGAGGAAGATCACGCGCAAGTATTTGAACGAATGTGGGTTCATGCACGGGATTTTATGGGCTTGTAGCCTTCACAGCATCTCTCAACGTGTCAGATCGTCTTTTGCTATTGAATCCTGATTGTCCCCGGGGGGGGGGGGGGGGGGGGGGGGGAATTGTCCTCGGGGGCGGGTAATTGTCCTCGTGGGGTAAATCCTCAAGGGGTAGTTTTCCGGGGGGTAATTGTCCTTGGGGGTAATTGTCCTCGGGGGTAGTTGTCCTCGGGGGGTAATTCTCCGGGGGGGGGGTAATTTTCCTTGGGGGGTAATTGTCCTCGGGGGGTAATTGTCCTCGGGGGGTAATTCTCCGGGGGGTAATTATCCGGGGGGTAATTGTCCTTGGGGGGTAATTGTCCTCGGGGGGTAATTCTCCGGGGGGTAATTTTCCGGGGGGGTAATTTTCCGGGGGGTAATTGTCCTTAGGGGGTTATTGTCCTCGGGGGGTAATTCTTCGGGGGGTAATTCTCCGTGGGGTAATTTTCCGGGGGGGTAGTTTTCCGGGGGGTAACTTTCCGGGGGTGATCGCCCAGGGGGTAATTGTCCTAGAACCGATTTTAGGAAGTGCTTCTAGTACACAATGGCTTGAAAAGTTTGAATACGTATGCTTTATAGTATTCTCTCACAAGTGAAAGCAAGTACAGTGGTTCGGTTGCAATATTTTACTTACTTGTTATTGTTGTTGTTTCTTCTTTTGGCTCGCAGGCGTACGCTATTTTTGTTCCTAAAAAGCATTCGCATGTTTGACCGTTTTTTGTGCAACCTGAAAGAAAATGTAAAATATATTATCTCAAGTACACATCGAGTATAAAAAGAACCCTTACCCCCCCCCCCCCCTCCCCCACTTCAACACCTGTGGCTTAATGAAGATCTTCCACCTACCTGGATTTTCTTTCTCTTCCTTTTTTCCTTTCCTGTGTTCAATCTTTCCTTTTTTAATAAATATTTTCTTTTCTTTCCTTTCCTTATTTTATTTTCTTTCTCCCATTTCCTCTCCTTTAAGTTGTTGTGGAAAATCTGGATCCATCACTGTTTCCATTTTTATGATTCTTTTAATTTTCCACATAAATATAATTCCATTTTTTTTCAGCAGAGCCTAGCTCTCAAATCCTGGCTTTGTTATAAAGACTGCTAAATTTAAATGGGAATTGACCTTAACATACATATTAATTTCAGTTTGTAGGTCATTTAAAACATTATCTGAAGAATATAAAAAACGTCATACATTTGACAAAATGGAAATCGTAACTTTTCTTCAAAATTCTTCGTCTTTCGCGGATTTGAGAATTTTCAGAACGTCGCCATTGTGTTTGCGCACAGCCCGTTTTGGGACGTATCGCAAGGATTCGACCGCTATTGCGTACGTACGTTTTCCTGCTGTAAACTATAAAATGATCAATGCAGATCACATCGTTTTTCCTGTGGTACTTGTTATTTGTGTCCAGAAAATTATCCACCTTCAGAGCTGCTATACCTATAGCTTGAACATTTTATTGCGATTGCGTCGGCCAGGAAACCGATGAAACAATTTCCCCTTGGCTTTCGAGGAACAAGTATTACAACGAAACACTTGGCCGTACACCATGTTTGACTTGTATTGCATATAACGCGAACACAGGGCGCTACAACAGTTCTCCTGTCGATACGTCATAACCCGAAGTTTTAAAGGGAAATTTCGACAAAATAGCAGCTTCCTTGGGGGAGCAGACAACGTCGTAAGTATGTCGAAGTAGGGACTCTTTTATTGTACTTACAAGACGATTTCATTTGGCCTACAACAATGCTTTTTATATAAAATGAAACGTTGTACGTAACGATAATGCTTCATAGTAGGCCTATTCAGTTTTAATGAGTAAAGAAACCTATTTGAGGCAACAGCCCGTGCAGTCGGCATAGTCTCCAAGCTTAGACACTATGTTAGACATAATGACCCCTTTTACAGTGAGAAAAGGGCCAGGGCCGGGCCGAGGCCAAGCCAGGCCTACTCGGCCCCGCTATTCTGTGCGTTTACAGTACTTACAGGCTCGGCAGCGGCCTATTAAATTGTAACATTTAAATATTTTGACGAAGTGGCGCTCTGCATGTAAACAAACGATTATATGGGGGAGGGGGGGGGGGGCGCCGGGGGTCACAGTGCAGATCCGGTCGCGCGCGCGCGGGATATTTGCAGTGAATCTTTTCCCCAATTTCCTATACACGGCGAACTTTCACTTAAGGGGTAACAGTTGGCCCCGCAATTGGCCGCGCACTAGGCCCTGCGTGCGTTAACAGTGAGAAAAGCCCGGGCCGAGCCGCGGCCGAGACTACCTCCAGAGCAGGGCCAAATGCGCGTCCAGTTTGGCCTCGCATTTGACCTTTTGCGCGTTAACAATGCTAGGCCGGCCGCGGCTCGGCCCGGCCCGGTCTGGCCTTTTTGCTCACTGTAAAGGGGGTCTAAGTTAACCCTAAAAAGGCCGGGCTATTTGAGGTCTTAGTACGGCCGGGGGGGGGGGCATTATGGCCCCCATAAGATCTCGGCCGTGAAGCGGTTGACCTCCGCGAAAATGTGCAAGCATGTCAAGTGAAGTGTATAGAATAAAATGATAATTTCAATTTTTTGAAAAATTTACTTGTTTGCATATTTATGGTAGTTTATGCAAATAAGGTCATAAAATAACATTTTTACCCATAAATCATATATTATTCATATTTAAGCATTCTTTTTATGGCTCCCATTAAGATCTCGGCCGTGAAGCGGTCGACCTCCGCGAAAATGTGCACGCATGTCAAGTGAAGTGTATAGAATAAAATGATATTTTCAATTTTTTGAAAAATTTACTTGTTTGCATATTTATGGTAGTTTATGCAAATAAGGTCATAAAATCACATTTTTACCCATAAATCATATATTATTCATATTTAAGCATTCTTTTAAATACATATATTTATAAGACCATTTGGAATAAAAATACGACAGAAAAAATTGGAAGAGCCAGCTTATTCCTTATGTTATCTCTTGTTTTGATAATTTCTTATGTATTTCACTGTTTTTTTAAACTTCTGTTGTTTATTATTTTTGTTGTTTTATTTCGTTTCTTACTACAATTCAACTATTTTGACTACCACAACCACCTAAACTTTAAACAAGACCCAATAACCTATGTTTAATATATTATTAGGAAAAATGACATTTCCATATGTTTAGTACACAAATCACAAAAATTAGCAATTTTCGATTTTTGGTGTGATCGGGGGTTTAGCTTTATGTGTCATAAGTTTCAGTGTAGTACACGTTACGTCATTATACAAACCAAAAAAAAAAAAAACGCCGCGGTTTTGGAGCGTAATATCTGAACTACACCTTATACTGAAATGGGTTTGTGCCTGCAGACTACTTACTGTCATGGTACCTATGCGTAACCATTTCTTGCACTGGCTCCTCGATGTCGTTTTCGCGGACATCCGCTGCCTCGCCTTGAGTTTCCAGAAAAGCACTGGCTGTGACTACAACAGCGAGTAGAAGTAACATTCTGATCACAGTATTAGATACCATTGCTGCACGGAGTCGAACACTGTGGAAGACAGATACATTAAAGGGAGTGGGTCGTCAGAAAACGACATTTTCATATGGATGGAGAAATGGGGAAATGCAAAGCATTACATGAGGCTTGTTGGTTATAAAACTGAAGGCTAATCCTAGTGATTGACAATACCTGTTATCGGGTGAACACCCAAATGTGTCGAATTTCTCATAAGAGCCCATTCCTAAGCGTCTTTAAAACCTGCTTCGGCGAATACCTGTAAAGAAAGACCACCTGCCTTTAGCGATCACAGTTTGGTTCCTTTTGGTAGTGTTTTTATTGCATCGTGTTCTTTGATTTGACAATGATTTTTATTTATTTGTGTTAACGGCCCCTTCGCAAGCACGAAAGAAATATAATTAAATAGTTCAAATATAATGGTTAACAATGATATTTAAAAAAAAACAGAAAATCTTTAAAAACAAGAAAATATTTGGCTGCTAACAACAAACAAATTATGGCAAGCTTTAAGATATACTTTAAAAAAATACATTATACCCTATACCTCAGTAATAAAACTACTATACACATGTATGTACACTGATACTACAGACGACAACTACACATTAAACCAAAATTCTAACGCATTAAAAAGGACGAAACAAATTATCCAAACTTAGACATAATGTTCTTACCACATTGGGAAAGTTTCTTGAACTGCTTAACAGAATTTGCATTAATTTGATAACGTTAGGTCTTACCGTATTTCTTTGGTCTCAAGAAAATCATTGAATGCTGGTTACACCAGAATATAATACAATTCATCACCCTGTACCTTAAGATTGGTCCTCCTCTCCTGCATCCACCCCTCCCCCTCCCCCCCCCCCCCCCCGCTTATTCACCGGCCGGCTGAGTCGGCGCAAAAAAAAAATCCTTAAAAACTGGACCAAAAAAGATATGTTATAGTTATAATGACTGCTTTGAGAGACATAGTTGTTGTTATACGCTCTCGGGGAGGTTACAACCGAGCAATACGCTCTCGGGGAGGTTACAATCGTGCTATTGCCCGAGGCGCCTCGGGTAATAACACGATTGTAACCTCCCCTTGTATAAAATCAACTATGTCTCGAAAATTAAAGCAGTCATTATTACTTTTATATACTGAAAAAAATAGTCAACTTATGACACCACCTTGGCTTTTCTCTAGTTTATCTCGCGGTTGTTTTTTTATGAGTGTATCTTTGAGAATTAGATTAGTCTATATCTAGCCTCTACGGCTCTAGGAATCTATGTAGCATTTTCCCCCTAGGCCTAATTCCTCATAAATTTCGAAGCTATTGAGTGTCAATAAATACCTTGTCCAGAAGACCTAAAGGATTATCCGAATCAAGCGAACCTTGGATTTTGTCCATGTCTTCTGCTGAGATAGCAGGTTTGTGAGTCACAACTCCCTTAATTTCCTTCTTATTTAAGCATTGCTGAAAAACACTTAAAAACTCTCGTCGAATTGGAAAAATCTTAATGCTTCATTCAATATGATGTCGACATTGTTAGAATTGAGGAAATGACGCTGAAGTCCGAATCTATTAGTTAATATTGGCCTAGATCTACGTTGTCCAGCTCCGAATTTGCAAATTTGTTTACGCTATCGAGGTCTGTGTTGATAACTTGCAGGTACTAGGTAGCCTAGATCTAGACCAAAATAATCTTCGAATGTGGAGAATTTCACGTACCCTTTTAGTGTTCTTGCTGTCAGCAGAATTAATCAAGTCTTGCAATTGATCATCATCAAGAAGTTGAAATCCAGGAAGAGTTTCTTCAGCCATTTTTGCCTTGTTTGGAAACTATAAGTATCAATAATTCATTGCAATTCGCCCGGACCCCCAACATTAACAAATCCTCTATGCCATGCCTTGAACCACAATGCATGGCAATTTTTCTTGAAATTGACAAGTCCCACAGTTTTTAAGATCGGATGGCACAACTCCAAATCATTCCCAAAAATCTCAGCTGAACCTGTGTAAAGCCTTAAATCTCTCATTGTACGAAAACAAGCTAATAAATTCAAGACTGTTTCTATATAACAAGTGTTACATGCGGGGTTACATGTAACCAGTATAGTTTCAACTCCTAAGTGTTTTTGTTTTATCCATAAAAATAAAGTGTTATACAAATTTGAATGGGGAGGTCAAGACAGAATGAAACGTTGAGTGTTTGTGAGATTATAAAGAGGGAGGTCTAAAGATGAGTTGTAAATACATCGATTGTGCAAGCTTAGAAAATGAAATGGAAAACAAGGTTTTTACTTCAAGCTCTACAGGTTAGAAATCAATATGTTTACAATTATTGTCACCAGTTGGTGGGAAATATCTTATCAACTATGATTTTGATGCGAAATTGTTGAATATTGTAGGATCCCAACGCTAGGGCCAACCAAAATACTTTTAATAATAAATGCATCAGATGAGACGGAAAATCTTTATTCAACTCAGAAAAAATTGAAGAAAAAGCATTTCTTATTGAATCAAAATCACCATTCTGTTTTACAGATCAAAACCAATTTCCTTCTAGTTACTCTGATTGAAACTTAAACGAAATCGTAAATATAATAACGAAGCAAGTTTACCATATTGCTGTACGACTAAATAACCCAGAAATGTACTCGTCTTAACCAACAACTGTTCAATATGTTAAGGAAACAAGGCTTTGATTCTTCACTTTACCAGCAATAGTTAATGTTGACTCGAATCCAGATTCCCAATTGAGCACTACAACATGTTGAACAAAATAGTAATAGCAACTGAATAGCTGGCACGTATAAGGAAGAGAAATTATCCCCTTTTTTAAATTACTGAACATAAAAATTTACTTGCATACATTTTATACTGCGATGTGAATATCAAGATGTCAATTCCAAAATTAAATATTGTCAACATTATATTTCGCCGAACAATTCTACTGGCAAGATATCGCTAGGTTAAACAAAAAATGTGTATGGTGTAAAATTACATTTCGGCTCAAAGACTTAAAAGAAATACGGGTTTCCATTTTCATGTTGTGTCTTGTCTTGTCTTATATCCTGTTAATAAATGATTAATGTAAGATTATATATCGAGTTGAAATGAATTAAACCGTCTCTTTTAAAGTTATAAGTTCATAGATGTGTACATGAGCATTACTGTTCATTTTCAACAAAACAAATGTGACACATACTTTGTACTTTTTGTGTTGATATTCTGACAAATAAAACATTTCAATGAAAATAAATAATGTGTATAAACAAAAACTAAAGGTATAATCTTTTCCTGTTAACACATACAATCGTATTTCATTAAACAAAATTGAATATAGATAAGTAACAAAAAAGTTGAACTAACTAAAACCAGAAGAAGTAATATTACCTGAAAATTGTCCTTGGGTAAAGAGAGGAATGTTGTACTACTGCAGAACGTCAGATCTTTAGTTGGAGTGGATGTGCATGGAGACAGTCAGGCGATGTGAATGGCTGAGATACAATAGATATCACACTATATAGTTTTAACTTCAATCACGAGGTAGGTACAAGAGGTTTGGATACACGTTTTCAAAAAACCATCAACATTGCGAAAACCAATTTATTTCTGTCAACCACATTCGAAACGTTTTATTTGATTATCAAAATACCACTTCATGGCGTGAGAAACGTTATGAAAATGAAATCTAAGAGAATTACTTTCATCGAATTTTTCTGGTCTGCTTTAACAGGAACCTGATGGTAAAGATTTCCAAAAATAGTACTTTATGGTGCTTCCTCGTGAATCTTTTTTTCTTCGGATTACGTAATCTATCATTGTCATGTTCACGCCTTCCTCTCCCCCGCTGTTCCTCTCGCTGCTTGTTTCGTGTCCAGGATTGTAGTTATGTAGGATACTAAGCCAAGTTTAGGAACTTCAAAAGATTAAATTCTCCCAAATATAAAGGTAATGGAAATCGGATTTTAGTGTTAATACAAAAGCAAACGTAACACAGAAACAAAAACAACAAGTAGAGACCACGAGTTCCTTACATAGCCTGGATCGCCTGTTAGTGTTGCATTTAACTGACGTGTGCAAAATACACTTGAGAAATATACATGATAGTGAAAATAGGCGATTAAATATGATCAATTTTGTAATAGACCAGTTGAATACAACAAGCACAAGAAACAAAGCACAGAGGAGCGGATCTGTGATTTAGAGTAATTAGTCTTACTTTCATGGGTCAATAATCACTTTGAGACTTCAGATTTCTGTAACAAGCACAGCCGGATTCAATGGGCTCTTCATACTAGAGGAAAGTTCGTATAAGGAAACGTCGGGAAACGTTTCTAGTTTTGAAAAGGTCAGTTGACATGAGAGTGCACGCTCACGATTAGGCTCGTCCAATGGGTCCTTTCGTAATGTAATCAAATATGATGTACATATCTTTGTTAAGCGCCTCGTTACAAATTATTTCTTTCACCTGTTACGAAAAATTGTATTTCAATAGTCAGAATACGAAGTGCACACATTCCATGTTGTTCGGTAGGATAATCCATGATGTTTGTCCTACGAATCAACAATTAATGTACGCAATAAAATGCAGTTATCTGCTTTTGAAACATGATTATCGTGAGTGTTAAACTTAGTCATACCAACCTTACCGCCAAAAGATCGACAGCAAACTGGACACAAATTGCTTTACCTCGACTTGATAAGAATCAGTCGGTTTAGAGTCGATGTGCATGGAGCTAGTCAGGCGATGTCAATTGGCTGGGCTATAATATTTAAAGGCACACTGTCCTACTTGTAGCTACTTGCTCCCTCTATATAGAAAACTTCCCCAATCGGTGCCTGTTGGTCCCCCATGATCCTCTTTTTCTTATGTTAAATGAGAGCTGAGCTAATGAGATAGCCACCTGTCACAGTGACCTCGCTGGCGCGCTTGGTGGTCTAATCCCTTCTGACTGAAGTCGTAAAGCCTGCCTCTAACCCACTATATGCTTTTCACTTCAAGTAAGAGCGGGTCAAGGAAAACAAGGATAACCCCTGGGCAATCAGCCCCGGCCAATTACAACTGATTGTTATACTCATTGTATGTTTTCCGATTGGTCAAATAAATAATAATAATAATAATAATAATAATAATAACTGGGCAAATTGCCTCCAAATGACCTTAACCCCCCCCCCCCCTGAACCTTACCTCCTAGGACAATAGCACCCCTAGGACAATTACTCCTCCCCCAGGAAAATTACTCCTCCCCGATTTAAAAAATTATGATTTTATTAAAACCAATTTATCATCATGGTACTCTTCCCCTTTAAATACCCCCCAAAAGGGGGGGGGGGGGGAGAGTAATTGTCCTAGGGTGTAATTTTCCGGGGTTAATTTTCCTCGGAGGTGGTTATCCTTGGGGGAGGGGGGGGGTTACTTTCCGGGAGTAATATTCCGGGGGGGGGGTATTATCCTTTGGGGTAGTTTTCCAGGGGGTACTATTAAAGTATAGACTTCTGCTTGGAATTCGAGAAAATACACACAAATACAAAATAATGATATTCCTCCTTACACGATGCAGTTTCAAAGAGTGAAATATTTAAATGGTCGAAATATGAGTGTATAAAGATGAAGTTAAATGTTATTGTATGTTAATTTTGTGAACTTATGTGTTGACAGATATCGCAGATTAACAAAATACCTGTACCGTGTTCGTGACAATAATTTTACGTTTTGAACGATTAAAATGTTGTTGTTTTAGTAATCGCAACTTTTGCCTGGAAAGAAAAATGGGTAATTATCATGCTAACTATCATCCAATCGAGATCTATGTCGTCCTCTGATTCATACCAGGGACTTTTAGAATGAGTGGACGAGAACGGCATAAACGTCCACTGATCATGCGTGTCTATGGCAAGCTGTTTTAACATTTATTCCTATTTCTTGATATCAAGAATTACCATTGCTTTACAACAGAAACTCATATATTGTCCACCAAGAATTGAATTATTGATATCAAGAAATAGGAATAAATGTTAAAACAGCTTGCCATGGCCACGCATGATTAGTGGACGTTCACGCCGTTCTCGTCCACTCAAAAAAGTCCCTAATCATCTTGTGTTGAGACGCGGCAATGGCGTTCCAAGGTCAGTCATTTTTAAACGTAGGATATCTTTTGCGCCACATCTGTCAGAAGTTGACACATGCCTGTATGTTTTTTATAAATTTAAATGCATACAGACTAACAATGTATACTCACTGCAAACAGATTAACAAGAGATCTTAGATTATGTAAACGAATTGAATGTGTTTATTGTCCTCCTATTCTGACAAAAACTAATGGTATATTATACACTTCAAACAAAGTTGCGCAAAATTGAAACAGCTATTGAGTAAAGAGGGGACACGCTTGTTTGTTGGGGAAACTTTTCCTGACATTTGGTAAGATTTTAGCCATCGAATAGCAAACCATGATCTCCTTTAATCCTTTTCTAGATAAACTGTATCCACCCCCAGGATTTCTTAGAGGGGGAGGGGAGGGGGTATGGGGAGGGGGTGGGGTAGTGAGCACAATTTGTTGGTTTGTTTGTTGCCGAAAATTCGCTTAGTGGGGGGGGGGGGGGTGGGATAGTGGATCCGCCACTGTCCACCCCTCCCTCCCAAAAGGTATATTATTTGATAGTTAAAATTGCGCCTTTTCCTTGTAATATTAAAAGCGCTGCACTCTTTAAGATGTCCTTATAAGTCTAGAAGACTTTATCCATATCCCTTCACTAAATAAGCTGGATTCATTGTTATTACTCACAGCATATGTTGGAGCAATCGTAATCGAGATATTTATTCATGATAGGTGTGAATACCAGTTTAAACCGGGTTGTTCATTTTCATTGTCTTTGTATATATATATATATGGATATGAGGAGCAGTTTGAACCGGTTGTGATGGCATGTGATTACGAAAGATCTGCATCTCGAATGAGCATCAACTAATAATTTTTTTTTTCTCACCGCTACATAACGCCGATCAATGTACACATTTTAATCTTATGATTGTCTAAGGCATTAACATATTAAAATTAGTTTAATATGTAAAGATGATGCAACGATCTGGAAGGACTACCTCTAAATATAATGAAATAAATAATTTTAATGATTTTAAATTGTTATTATTTAAAAGGGGCATCTATTAGTCTTGCAGTTGAGTACTCGGAGTGTTGATCAATATGTCAATGTTTGTATTCGTATTTGTATTTATTATTTATTTATTATTATGTACATGGTACACTAATATTTTTGTTTGAAAAGCAGCAATGTAAAAGCATCAACGTATTTCAACTCTTCTCTCTCTCTCTCCTTCTCTCTCTCTCTCTCTCTCATCCCAACTGTTAATTTACACTTTCCTTCCTATCCTGTCGCCTTCTCCTTCTTTCTCTCTCTCTCTCTCTGTGATTATATATATATCCCTTATGTTTATTCATTGTTTTCATTCCTTTATGTCTCTCACCCAGTGTCTCTCTTTGTTTTTCTTGCTTTAATTGTATTGTTTTTGTTTGACCATTTTGCCATAATACATATTTGTTTCGCTATACGTCCTGAATCTATGTCTTCATCGCATTTTCATCCTTTACACTTTTAGATCTTAACCATTTCGTGGCTATCATTCCACATATTGAGGTTTGGCTCAATAACTTCTGATTTAGAGCCTTAGAAAATATGCCACATGTATGAGTGGAAGAGCAGCAAATTATACCTACATTGCATTTATTTTATTTTCTCACGAGTCTATAACATGCGTTAGACACCATGAATATTTTTTAAAAAAGAACTGAAAATGAGCGTTAAATTCCTTAGATTGGCAACACGTTAAGAGATTCAAAGTCACTGTTTTCCGATCAAAATTTAGATTTCTTTTTCCAAGGTCAATATTCGCACCCATTTACTTTGTTTTCAGAGATCATGCATTTTATTTTAACACTGTAGCAATATAAGAAAATTGTTTTTGTTTCCAATTCTCGCTACCCTAAATAGGTACGAAAATCTCGAAATTCGCGAGACGAGGTAATTTTCACTCTCTCGGGTCGTCACTACAACTTCCGGTATAGAGTCCCATCCCGCTGGCGCTAGCGCCTGTGTTCGCTGTGCAGAGTTTTCACGCACGCTAAAATCAGGGTTCTTACGCTTGGAATCATGAGCCCAGCACTGTGCAGCCTCACAAAAGAAAACCATCGTCACTGATGTCAAAAGACGCAAAAAACAACGAATGAAATGTTCAAATAAACGTTGAAATATTTGCGAAAAAAAAACAAGACCGAGCAGACGACATATTCGGTGCATACACGTTGTGTGGCGACGGCGTTTTACGTTTGCGCTATCGCGCCTAGTAATATAGCGCCTGCACAGGAAGCTGTAATGTCGAAAAGCTATCCCATAATGCAATGCGCGTTTTCAGGATTTTCCCCGGATCTCGGCAGAATCGCTATTTGGGGTAGCGAGAATTGAGCTATGTTTGCCTCTGAAAGGTGAACGACACTGCAAGGGGGAGGGATAGGTGATTGAAAGTTAGAAAAAATACAAAATAAGAAATATTTGAACTTTTAAATCTATCATGGTAACTCAATTTTGTCATTTATTGTTATGATGCTCTTATACAGCTCGACCGCTATTACATGTATTATGTCATAGTTCTACTATCAATTACAACTGTGTTAACTAATTTAATGCTTATGTTTTTAAAGAAAGATTTCTCCTGAAAAACTCCATCTTGTATATCATGTACGGATA